GATCGACGGCTCTTGAACGCGCCATCCAGACAAAGCTGAAGTCAACCCTCCTATCCATCTTGACGAATTGGCAAGAGGGTGTAACCTTCAGTAGTTCATAAAAACATGAAACATGTCAACTCGATATATCTATTGGACAATCTTTTCCTTATTATTCTCTGTATATATTGTTTAGGAAATATACAATGTATCCCACCGTATAAACTGGTCAATATGTAGTGGTCATAATTTGAGACATGGAATAGTTTAGTTAGGGTTAAGCCTTCTCTCCTATTTTTTTGTAGATGGGAGACGTCACCACGTAAAGATTGCAGGAGAAATGGGCTAACAGCGATTACATGCTGAAAATATTTCACCATACAATAATTTGTCGGGATATTGGTAGCCTAGCTTGTTAAATGAGACTGAGTCAAGTCAACGAAGTACAACGAACATTTTAACAGCTGGGCGTGGAGTCAGAAATTATCACACGACCTCGAATCTCGAGTTGGAACGATTAAAGATACCGATCTTCTTCTCTCCATCTATGTATATTAATATACATTCACGTATGCATACGTCCAAACATTATACATATAAACATCCAAACTCGTTGTACTTCTATCATGCAAGGCGCGCTTTGTCTTACACATCGCACAACGAAGTGATTAGGAGGGAGGCACCCTCTCTTTGGTTATGACATGTGGGATAATGGACGTTGGAAAAGCTGGCTTGGCAAACTTTGACGACTTCTAGCTCCCAGAAGCGTTGAGAATGACAAATCCTCATGGAGATCGAAACGCTGTTTGAATTGCACATTTACAAAGAAAATGAGAACTGTTCGGTAGCATGGCTAAACATCTCTCCATGTGATTCATCTTCCTCAGTGTTCTTTACTCTGACAGAGGATATTGTCATATAATTGTTTAAAATAAAAGAGGAAAAATTTCGTCCGAGGAAATATAATTGTTTAAGGATGCGATACCTCTGTTTCTGCCCCACATCTAGCTCTTCTCTTCCTCTCTCTCTCTCTCTCTCTCTCTTTCTCTATCAGTAGTTCCCTCTCCTCCCGTGTTGGCTGCGAAGGAATTGATAATTATTATTGCTTTTGATGGCTTCATGCTTCTCCAAGTGAACACCCTGCACGACAAAAGGAAAACGATGAAGGGGATGACCTCGAAGAAGTCGCCATAGAATCGAAACTTGCAATATGACACGGTGACACAACTAGACAAGCGAGTCACATACCAGCTTGCCGCATGTACGAGACATTTCTCCTGTTGCTGCTGCTGCTGCTTCTCCTCGTCCTCCTCGTCCTTCTCCTTCTTCTCCTTCTTATGCTTCTCCTTCTCCTTCTCCTTCTCCCTCCTCCTCCTTCTTTAGCAAATCATGCTGACATGACTACAAACGGAATGAGAAGTCACGACGACGTCTCTTCTAAACAAAACGATGAGTGTGGTCCAGCAGATGTACGTATCTTCTAGCTAAAATTGGTGTCGCAAACCCATTCATCTCCTACTTGATCAGTCCTGAGGTAGTTCCCGTCGAGGGGCGGTTCACATCTCGCAAGTCTTCGACAGGTGACCGGATTATATTAAAGACGGGAATGGTGGCCTGGAATTTTAAATCAAATGTCAGTGGAATGCCCCTCAAGTAATTCAGCCTGATTTCGGACTGATTTAGTTCATTCTCCATCAAAGAGGACGCCATCCCTGTTGATAGCAACTGGCTTGGAGTTTCTACCCAGTCTTTTTCCTATTTTCCAACTTTCATCGTATCAATTTGATCGGAGTTTCACGTTTATGCACGATGTTTCAATGAGGGACACAATAAAAGCGTTACAACTGCTACGTCTTTGAGTATACTCTTATTGATTATGAAAATCAAAGTTAAAAGATTGCAAGAAAGTCGGAATAGCACGTCTTCTCTCTGTGTTGATCCATTTGGAGCTTATGAATGTAGTGCTTCAGGTTTGGAAAGTATGTAATAGATTGTCGATTTTTTTTCCCAACTTCTGATGGGAGCAGTCATACAATAATGCTTCAGGTTTAGTGCTTTTCTCAAAGAAGAATCTCACTGTTTTTTATCATGAAAATATTTCTGTGGGTCGGGCTACTAGGGTAATAGGCTGGAAACTTTGATGTCTATATATATATATATAGACGTATATATAAGTATGGGATCTCATAGAAAGTAAATACGTTTTAATTTTAGAACCAAGACAAATAGTTATGGGCAACGTGTCTGCTCATGGTTAGCATCAACTAAGAGATCACTCATTGGAGAGGCTAAGTTGAATTGACTTCTTAAAAGACATAGCTGCAGAGGTTACTTACTATCTGACAGACAATTCGGCATTGAGTGAAGCGTGACATCCCTGGACCACCATAAGTGCCAAGTTATAACAATTAATACCATGTCGATTGGTCATGTGCGCACATAAATGATAGTGGGCACCATCTATATTAATGAATGTGTGAGCCTACATTTTTTACCACGAGTAATCTCTATACAATATTTATTCTAATGAACTTGACCGGGCTACGGGGAAGTGAGGTGATCTAGCAGCCTACGTTGCCTTCAGTTGGCCGGAACATGAAGTAGATCTAGTGCACTAGTGAACCTGGACTGAAGAGAGAATAATTCTTTCACAAAGTCTGAGTCTAGCCGATTTTTGTACTCTTAACGGTCACCATTAAGGGGAGAGAGAGAGAGAGAGAGAGAGAGAGAGAGAGAGAGAGAGAGAGAGAGAGAGAGAGAGAGAGTTCATAGCGCCTTCATCGGCATGAGCTTTAGTAAACCATTAACTCGCGGAGAGCTTTGCCGGAGAATCCAATCACCGATCTCCATCAAACCTTGGACCACCTTGACGCATTCACAACCCTTTCTACAAATTTTTTTTGTTGTTCAACCCGTCATCTGGACGCCGCCTCCTCACAGCCAATGTGGGGCAAATTTGTCGAAACCCCGAAGGATTGAAGCTGCTTCCGTGGATTGGTAGATTCAGCTCGTCAGCTGAAGTTGCAAGAATTCGAAGAGGCATACGAACCCGTCGATGAGAGCCACACCTGCCTTACCCGCACTAGAGAGAACACTCATCTGTTGGCATGCTCCTTCCTGCCCTCTGGATAGCTCCCTGGCACCTATGAACACTAAGGTTGCGACTGAAACAGGCGTCTTTCGGCTGGAGAAGTGGCCGGCATGCAAGGAAGGTAAATGACTACTGGGAAGCTAGACAACAAGGATTCAACAGAACGGACGCACGGATACGAGGAGGGAGAGGGAGTCGGCATCCATTTTGCAGGGAGGTAGAGCTCTTGGAGGCCGTGGGCATGGGCGAAGTGCGCCGGTGGAATTGAATCGAAGACAGCAGGGTGGACCTCAGCTGCCGCGATATCCGGTGATGATGTTGCGGCAAATGGAACACACCCGAAACCCTCGGCGAGAGATGTTGAAGACCATAGTCTGCTGTAAATTTGTGGAAGGAACATGGGTTCTGGCTTTCTAGGCGCGAGCTGCCGTAGACGTGGAAGCTGATGTTGCAGACGGAACATCATCTGTGCGAAGACCAGGAGCCTGGGGTTACGCACATTCTACACATGTAGCGTGAAAACTCATCCCTTAGCTCTCAAATTTTGCCTGCTGCGGTGACGGAAGATCTCAGACCCACTCTGAGCCATTGCTATCTCTCTCTCTCTCTCTCTCTCTATATATATATATATATACATAACTAAAGCAAATAGATAGAACTTCTGATTGGACTCCGGTACAGCATATAACAAGTTTTTTCTGGGAAATTTCATCAAGCATGATAAGTACCCGACGCCCTGCATGGGGTCATAAATTGCATGGAAACAGAAGAAGTGAATTCAATGGTTATAATACAGATGAGAAGGATTTTCCCCCCTCCTTGCCCTTGCGGTGTGAACGGCTCTCCACAAGGCCATCGCTAAGAAGATGCGTTCTACCCGTCTCACAACGAAGTAGACGCCCCCAATCTCTAGGAAAGTCAAGGCCAAGGCCAGGCCGTGTTCTTCAGCTCCACCAGGCCAGCCATACAGTGGATGGAACCCCGCCTGGGAGTCAATACTTAACAGTCAACGCGATCTAGAGATTCTACAAGCAACTGGGTATATCATCTTGTCGTTTATTAATAGAAATAAGTAAATACATGAAGCAACTATAGGTATCTGGGCTTCTAATATGCCTATAATCTCGAGTAAGGAATGCTCTTACTAGACTCCATTAAGGAACTCTAACTCACATTCATATTAGAACATCATGTTTGTGCCCACTATTGTTGGGTATTGTCACAAATACTCAGATCCCCAATAGGCAATCATAAGCCACGGGTAGGTCTGGGCCCATCTTTATCATATTCCTAATCAGCTATTGGGTTTGGGTTTCTTTGAAACGGAGCTTGTGTAGGGCACATTCAAATAGGTCTGGATTTGGATTTCTTTCAATGGAAAGGATTGATATTTAGGGGACGAGAGGCAGAATCTTCGTCTCTTTTTGTCACTTTTGTTGCCTTGTGTTGACCTCTTTTTTGGGGCGTACGTGGGACAACAATTGATAAAGGTCAACGGATAATTTCCAATGCCGTAAATAGCCCAAACTATCAATTTATTGGCAAACAGACCTCCCTCACCAAAGACCAAAGGTTAAAACAGATAGACAATGAAATAATTTTACAGGTAAAATGAACGATGTGGGTAAGCAGAAGCTGACAAATTCAGGTCCAATTCATGCCCATTTCACATGATCTTTTCCCCATTTAGTGCTACATTTCTCAGGTTTTTTTCGTTTCCAGGTTTGCAGAGACCAATGCCAATGAAGGTGCAGAAATGATCAACTCAAATTTTCAATTTCCGAGATGATTCGCCATGTTTTTTCTAAGGTCGCATGTGAAGATCCAAAAACAAATCATTATCTTGTTTTATTTGTCCTTTCGCATTCAATATTGACGTGTTAGACTGCGGATTCGAAGTTACTTACAATACAGATTCGTTGGAGGCTGGTTAAAGCTCACTGTAGTTGCGCCATACTGCACGGAATTCCTCACGGAAAGTGTTCAGACGCGCTTTCAGATTTGGCGTTCTAAATGTACCATGAAGCAAAGTTGCTACATACAAATCAAGAAAAATATCAATAAGTGCTCATTCGAAAAAAAAAAAAAGGCCACTAAGCACTAAAGAAGTAGATGATGCGATTACCAAAAAGCCCAATGAGCAGTGCCCACAGAACAGTGAGTAGACTGCACGATATAATCCACACAGTGGAACTGGCTGAAATTTCCAAGGCACAACTGTTACTTGAAACACTTTGGAGGACACCAAAAAGTCAGCATTAAAATGACCACGCGGAATTGTCAAATACCTGCCGAGAATATCAAGACAAACATCCAACGAGGTCGCCCACATATGTGAATTGCTCTCTTCACAGATGGTCGTCCACGAAGAACAGGCCTGCAGGTATAGAGTTTTTAATACGCTTCTTCCATTTAACACAATGAATGCGCAATATTACAGATATGATATAGATATCCGATGAATATGCTCACATTATAGGTGGTCTCATCTTTGCAGCCAAGTGCGGAGATATTTGTCTCACACTCCTCGTTATTTTCTCATTAAAAGTAACAGCAAAGCTGCAGATGTATAAAAAAAAAAGAAGAGAATATGCAATAACCAAACAACAAATCAAACTCAACAACAAAGAGGATAATAGACAAAATAGAGTTAGTGACATTAAACTATTACGATGTGCTATGTGTAATCTACACTACTAGGAACGAACCGGGCACTTTGAAATCGTCAACCATGACTAAAATATCACGTCGGCAAGTAAACGGGGACATTCTAGTTTGCATGTCAGTAATATTTATGAATGAGCAGTAACATTCTCACTGTCCACCTTAAAAAACCAAGACTCCAGAAGGAAAGTTTCCGCAACCTATTGGCAAAATTTGTAGTTTTGGTCATTCTACCACCAAATGAGCGTGGACACTGACAAGCAGAGAGAATGCAGCTCGTGCCACAAGATACAAGCATCCTGGCTGTATGGGGATACTTCTGCAAATAAGACTTTTCAATCATCACAGAAATCTAATGAAGATGACTGTTATAGAGGTACCTAGAAGACCAAACTGCACAGTTTCCGAGTGATGTGCAGAGAAAAATAGTTGGATTAATATTTACTAAAACGATACCCACCAAATATAACCCAGCTCACACCATTTTAGTAGTCCTGGAGAATAGTGCATGAACAAAGCAATCTACGAGACTAACTCTACATTTGTACGAAAATGCAAACACATCTGTGAAATTGCATGTATAGGAACAGATAAAGATGCCCTTTAGTCTCACGTTCACCCCGTAAATTCTCATTTTCAGTAAAACGGAACTCCATCCCTTCAACAAAGTTTCACTATAAATAATTAGATGGTCAGAAATAAATAAATAAAATTACACTTATTGATGTTTGTATGCATGCAACATTTTGAATGAATGATTCATTGTTCATCTTTTTCTTAAGCATATATATGCTAGTTCCTGGGAGATATTCTGCAAATACCAATATCACAAGTTTTTACATTCGAATGCAAATACCAATAGGAAACTATTAACCTTTCACTTTACCAAATTGTTTTTCCTTTTGTATAAAGGGCACCTCTTCAGGAAAGAGTGAACAAGATAAACATTCTTTGCAAACAATAACAAATTTGGACAGAAGCTGATACCTTTTTTTATTCTATCTTGGGTGATCCAAGGAAAGAAAATAGAACTACAGGAAGTTTATAAGATGAATGAGATAAGGATTCGATAGAATTGACATACGAATTTGGTCAAATATCAAGTACGTTAGATAGCATTTACAAATAATCTCCCATGTAGGATAAAATCTCTAAGATCTTGACAGCAGCATAAAAATCTTATATTCTCTGACAAGTGAATTCCTTTTTGGGAGATACGCAGATCTAGACGTTTTTCTCTCTCTTAAATTTGGTTTCCTTGAATCGAAGGTAATAATATCAATTCCCCATTTTCAGCAGATTATTTGGCAAAAAGATCATTCAGGACTTAGGACGCTTGAAAAAGAAAAAAAACCAATCGGAACATAGCTTAATAGCCTGACTCTCGAATGAGAAGGAAAGACACCTATAAATGGCTCAGACAAATAAATGTGACATGCAGAAGCATAAGATTTGACATTGGAAGATGCCATGCCAGTTAGTATGATTAAATTTGTTCACAGGGGACCCTGTATTACACATGGCCCAGGAGTTTGTCTGGCTGACTACAGACGACTGAACAAACATCAGAATTTGGAGAATCATGAAAGGAATTTTTAAGCACATTTATCAAATATATTTGGGTTTTCAAAAAAGGCATAGAAAGCACTTACCTATCGTTAAGTAATGCAATGCTGAAGCCTGTTAACAACGCAGCAATGATGGCCAATGGCTTTCGAAGAAATCCAATAGCTTGATAACGAACAAATGGCGGAATATTAGCTCTTCTTTAGGATGCAGGTAATTCGTAAAAGAGGTTTCTCTGAATCCCAACGTACCGAGAATGAATATCATCAAGATGAAGTAATTCGTCCGATAGCTGAAAGTTTGCATAGAAATATAAAATATACAACAAAGCGCACAGTTAAACATAGTTTCTCGGTCAGCAAATTGAATCCTTAGAAATAACTTAAATAAAAACTATCTTAAATAAGTTGCTTCGGGCCAATCAGAAATGAGGATTCCTTGAGAGGAGGGGGGGAGACAAACGTGAAACGTTGATATTTGATTTTGAATGAAAGTTTCTCAAAATAAGGCAAGAATTGAAATTTGGTGCCGAAAAGAAGTTTATATTTCCTGACGGGGGAACATCGGCAAATTTTAGGTCTTCAAAAAAATTAAGAGGAACCCCTTATTCGCCCGAAAAGATGGCGATAAATGACTCATAGATCATCAACGTCAGAGAGAAGACAGAGACGATCGATCTGAAAACTTACTAGTACAGGTTACACTTCAGGCGGCTGCTCCATTTAGAGTAGGATCTGGGGACGGTGAACCGGGAGAAGAACTCGGAGACGGGACGCGGCGGGGAGGACCACTCCACCTCCCGCAATGCATCGACCAGGTCCTGCGCCGTTACACTACCCCAATCCATCCCCGTCTCTGCGCAATTCCCTTCGCCGAAATACCAGCCCGAATTCCTCTCGACGAGCTACAGGAATCTTCGGCGGGGTAGAAAACCTAGGCCCCCTTTGAGTCCGACTCCGATCTCCAGCTGGGAAAGGCTGAAAATGCCTCTGTCGGAGAGAGGAACAACAATATATAGTCCAAAAAAAAGGTCGGAGAAAACTGGACTGCTCGCGCTTCCCCTTTTTTCCCTGAATAAATTTAGTTACCTAATATAATTCTGAACCTTCGAGAAGTATGTACGTATGACGGCAATAAAGAAGCTCCCCCCTTTGGGCCAGGGCCAGTGTGGGCAGACCACTGATGGGCCCGTAAGGTTCGGCTTGGCCCAATACTCCGCAAGTCCCCAATTATCGCTGATCATGTGGGCTTGTGCTAGTCAGCCTGTTCTCTGATTTTATGAGCCGGAGGCTATTGAAATCGGACCTAAAACTATGGGCCGTTAGCGGGCCTAACAATATAGACCTTGTGGCGGGAGGAAAAGGGCCCGGTTTCTTTCTCGATATAATACTGAGTCCCCTCTCCCGGCTCCTCTCTATCCTCGTCTAGGGCTCGCGGCGACGCCATGGCGCTCGCTGGTTTCCGCCACCGCCTCCTGCAGTTCCTCGTCGGCGTGATCTTCTTGCGCTCAGCCCCTGTCGTCATCTCCCTCCCGTCTCCTTACTTGTACCCCTCTGCGCTCCTCCGGGATTTCCCCCGGATGATGGAGAATTTCAGGATCTTTGCTTACCCCGACCAACCTTGGAATTCCAGCGGCTTCCGACCAGGCTCTCCGGCGGCGCTGTTCCACGCCTCGCTCATGCGGAGCCGCTTCCTGACGCTGGATCCCGAGGAGGCTCACCTGTTCTACCTCTCCTTCCCCGGTGAGGCGGGGCCCCGGTCTATAGCGCGATCGATCCGGAGTCTCCGCTCGGAGCTCCCTTTCTGGAACCGGACGCTCGGCGCCGATCACTTCTACATCTCGGAGGAGGGGATCGGCGATTCGTCGGACCGCAACCTCGTGGAGCTGCGGAAGAACTCGATCCATATTTCGACCTTTCCGGCTGCCCCGGGGAGATTCATACCTCACAAGGACCTCACCCTTCCGTCTCCGATCAGCGCTTCCACTCCGCCGTCCCCAAAGGATTCTTCGTTTAGATTCCTCGCTTACTACGACGGGGTGGCAACCGACCATGCTGTCCTAGCCTTGCTGGACGAGCTCCGGAAAGTTCCAGACGTCATTATCAACTCCGGGCGGCCTGATCCAACCAAGAGGGAGCAGAGCATGTCTGCCTGCAGGTTCTGCCTGTTCTTCTACGGCTTGGAGCGGGATCCACGGCTCGGCGAGGCTCTGAAATCAGGCTGCGTGCCGGTCGTCGTCTCGGGCGGGCCGATCCTGGAACTGCCGTTCAGCGACGTGCTGCGATGGTCCGAGATCGCTCTGTTCGTGCCACTGCGAGGAGGAGCCGAAGAGATCCGTCGGACGATGGATCTGGCCAGCGGAGAGACGCACGCACGAATGAGAGCGACGGCGATCCAGGCGAGCACGCTCTTCCGGTGGGATCTGCCGGAGTCGCCGACGGCGCCGGAGCGGCCGCACGACGCATTCACCACGGTGCTCTTCCAGTTGTGGCGGCGGCGGCACGCCATCCGCTACGTCCGGTGGGGGGAGCGCAGTTCCTCCCTGCACGCGAGATCGGACTTCTAGCAGTCGATCGGCGGAGTCCCCGAAGACTTGTGACCTCTCTGTGTGAGGGGACTGCTCGAAGCGCGAAGTTTACGGGATGTTCATTTTTTATATATGTATTAACGTATTTGATTCCCGAATATAAATTAAATATTTAGGTCTTTCAAGATCGAGATCAATATTGCGATTCCAATCCGACGGTCAAGATATATCCACTCCTCTTTTGTGTATATGTTTTTTGGGAAATTATGCCGATTACAAAAACAGCCTGCGAGCTTCTAATTATCTGCCCTCCTCAAATCACCTCATCTCGTGATAATTTTCCCTCGGATTTATCAAAAAGGTGTAATTTGTTTTACTCATCTGGCCCGAAAATTAAAATAATTAAAGTTATGTTTATTTTAAAAACTCCTGATGGAGGTAGGGCCGAGGCCGGGCTCCATTTGTGGGCCTCATTCCCGCGTTACGCAACGGCGCGTAAGTTTTCTGCCCATTAAACTTATAGGAGGTAACTAGAACGGCGAAGCACCAGATCGAAAGTTTGGTCTTCCCTTCCCCCTGAGGTCCTTCCACCGCCGGACCTTCTACTCCGGCGATGCTCGAGGATGGAGGCGCATCACGCAACCCTGGGCCACCGGACGGTGCGGTCCCGAGCCTGATGTCCCTTGTGCTTGAATTCTGTATTGTTTTTGACGGCGTCTTTCCTTTGAGGGGTTTTAGTTGGAAGAAATCCGGCAGAAGCGGGCGGCGGAGAGAATGCAGAAGGCTTCGTCGGGATCGGATTTGGAGGGTTCGAATCCATATGGTATGTTCGATTTTTCCATCCTTTTCCTCTTGTTTCACCTCTGATACAGGTTTCTGTGCTCGTCAAATCTTCGTGGACCTTTCTTTATCGGTTTTCGTATTCGTGATTTCGTACAGGAATGCAGAAATATGAGAGCGGAAGTCAATTCACCGAGGTTAGAGAATTTCTAAAATTTCCCGTGCATTGTTGCTAAATTACGGTGTTTCTTTTTTTTTCCAATTACGATTTATCTCATCATGAAAACTATTTCTGGTTTTCATGAACCTTACATTACTAAAGATTTTGCATGTTCGATTGGTAGCAGTATTGAATAGATTAACATGTCTTACTCTGTTAAGAGAGCCAACACCTGGAAACCTATTTTCTCCTGCAGAAAGATTTTAATGCACTATTATTCCGGCTCAAGGAGTTGGAGAAGAAAAATGCTGAGCTAGAAGTTGAAAACGGACAGTTACAGTCGAAGGTAACACAATCTGGATAGAGGATTTATACTTTATTTTTCATAGTGTTGTTTGCTATCAACCCTGCTGATTGTCTTTTTAATACTTTTCAGCTTGAAACGAGGCAAACGGAGAACGACTCATTGCTGAAGCGTGTTAATGATTTGGTAAACTTTTCTTGATACCAAGAAATTTCTTCATTTTAGTAGTTGGATGTATATCAAAACCACGCATCTTTATTTTCTACAGAATATCGGTGATCAGTAGGTTCAATTCTATGCAGCTTTGTTTTCTTTACTGACTTTTCAATTTTCACATGGAAAACCACAGGAACATGAGAGTTTACCTGTCCTGAGGAAATCTTTGAAAGACGTTTCAATAGAAAAGGACGCAGCAGTTGTTGCACGGGTATTCGTGACCTTTACCATTCTTATATGAAGTGCTTCTGCTTACGGACTGAATTGTTTATTTTATGTGATAACCATGTAAATCTACCAGAATGGATTTAACTGTGTCCTTGTTTCCGTGATAAATCCTATCAAATAACACCCGAATTTTAACTCTTAGGCTCATTTTTTCGAACCTTACTGTCCACCTTATCATCGAATTTTTGGGCAAGTTCTATTCATTTACCTGAATCAATGCGGCTAGAATGTGAATGCACGCCAAATCTTCTGGTCTTCATCAGTTTTCACGAGCAGTTGACTTATACATATTTCACTCTAAAAATGGAGAAACAAAATTATGATGGTGGGTGTTTGAAGTGACTCAATGAGATATACTCCTCTATATTGCATCTAGAGAATCTTCTTATTTTATTTTTTTTGAAACTGCAGGAAGATCTTCTGGCTCAAGTTCGAACGCTCAAAAAACGCTTAAAAGAGGCAGAAGAGGAGCAGTGCAGAGTAGGTTCCACTTATTTCTATTTTTTTGTGTACCTCAGTTATAGGTTTTGCACTGACAGCTTTCACTGTTGTAGGCTGAAGAAGATGCTGCAGCTTTGAGAGCAGAATTAAATTCATTGCAGCAGCAAGAAATGAGGAACCATTATAATGATATGGCCTCGATGGATAGGTCGGCTGATCTTATTAAGTCAATGAAAAGGGAGATTTTGGACTTAAAGTCCCAGTTACAGGTGCGGTTTGTTTGAATTATGACCTTATACGTAGATGTAGCTGAATGTCACTTTTCTGTTTCTTATGGTATGGTCGTGGTTTACTCCAGCAAGAACTACTTCAGAAGCAGGATGGACAACAAATGTTAGCAGAGGAACAGGTTCGATCGTCTTCCCTCTTGGCTGAAAAACAAGAGTTGGAGGAACGGTTGACAGCTTTCTCGAAGGCCTCAGGTACATAGCCTGTTCACATGCACGCCATGCACCCATTGACACATCTACTCGCTCCTGCTGTGTTTTTCCCATTTGTATTTCCATTATATTTTTTCATAGGTTCTTAATTATAGTCATATCTTTTTTTTTATCCTAGAATATACAATTTGAAATTATCCCCCTTCTGAATTCTCTATACAACCGGTTTTTGTAACTAGGTCCAAAATCTGTCCGATATGCTATACTTGTTCATTTGATCAAGTTATTGTGTAGCTTTCGGATCTCTACATGTTGGTGCTTTTTGATGGAGTGAAAATATAGAGATTTTAAGGGGTGGATCTAACAAACTATATTGGAGATTTTTAATATTTTTGATGGCCTTGATATTGCTGTTTATGAATACTGCCTTTTTATTCTCTCTTCATGGATGTGGGATTCCAGCTGCCTAATTTTTTTTTGCCTTTACATAATAGGAACAAATGGATTTCAATTTTTCTATTTTCACGTCTTTTTAAAATGATGATATCCATTTATTCGTCGGTTACTTTTCAGATACAATCGTGCACGATCCCTTTCTCTTTTGCTTTTTATTTAGGATATTGGTTTGTAACCAGATTTGTATTTTTTTTCCCCATTTTGCCGCAGAGGAGATGTCCAAGGACGCTGCAAGCAAGGCATTTTTAATAGTAAATGACTGAACTTTGTAACTATATATCAACCTTTAGTTATTCTTTGGGTAATCATGTCAGATGACTGATTGTAAGAAGTAGTTGTCATATTACAAGAGGACATCCTTTGCTGCGTTTTTCCTGTTATGCTGCTAGACCTGGTCTCACTGTTGCCCTGCCCATGTGATAATGCACATCCCAGTTTACACATTCGTTATTAGTGAGGGCTGCTTACCTTTCGTAAGCACTCTATAGGTCAAAAAGTGACCGACATGAACAGTCAGGATATTATGATAGATATTTCTTGAATATTCCTACCAAAATTGCTCAAGTACTCGTGCTTCTGGCTGTTGACTTATAACTGTCACGTTTATAGGACTAAATGTATCTTTTACTGTCGCTGCAGCAAGAAAAGGAGAAGTTTGAAAAGCAGCTGCATGATATGGCAGTGATGGTCGAGAGACTTGAAAGTGGGCGTCAGAAACTTCTCATGGAGGTATTTCTTGCTATGCCTCTTTCCTTGTAATCTCAGACCCAACTGTGATTATCAGTTGACAGCTAGAATTTGCCTTTATCTCCGGCACGAACTAATCATAGACGATTCCAGGTTGATTCCCAGTCATCTCAGATAGAGAAGCTTTATGAGGAGAATTCTGATTTATCAGCATCGTATAATGATGCTCTTGGGGCTGTCGCACAATGGGAGAGCCAGGTACCAGCTATACTTTCATAGAATCATGAGTGTGGCGTTCTTTTGTTAATTAAAATATATCAGCTCTGGTTCCAGCTTTTACTTGGGCATGGCTACAAAACAATGCCCACCGCCAAGTTTCTTTCCCTTTTTTAATGAGAGTAAAGTAATCTGTCTCCGGAACGTGTCCTAAACAAGTATCATAACGCTTTCTAGAAGAAACACACGTGCACACACGCGCACAAAGATAGATAGATAGATAGAGAGAGAGAGAGAGAGAGAGAGAGAGAGAGATAGATAGATAGATCTCTTGAAGGTCCGTTGGCTTTGATTATGAGCTCTTTCTCGCACCTCCATGTGGTTGGTTTGAGGGAGAGAGAGAGAGAGAGAGAGAGAGAGAGAGAGAGAGAGAGAGAGATTCCTTGAAGTTATGTTGGCTTTGATTATGAGCTCTTTCTCGCACCTCCATGCGGTTGGTTTGAGGGAGAGAGAGAGAGAGAGAGAGAGAGAGAGAGAGAGAGAGAGAGAGATTCCTTGAAGGTATGTTGGCTTTGACTATGAGCTCTTTATCGCACCTCCATATGGTTGGTTTTCCACACGTTGCAATCTGTTCTATTCTTTTCGGGACCAGATGATTACATAACTCCGTTCCTAACAGAGAAATCGTTTCGTTTCTCATAATCACCACCTATGGCTACATCTGACGACTTACTGATTCAAATTGTAGGTGAAAAGCTGTTTGGAGCAGAACAATGAACTACGGGAAATGCTGCACAAGGTGAGGTCAGAGCAGCTGAATGCCGTCAACGTCATGGCTATCCAGACGGGCTTGGAGCCGAAGGAAGATAGCAGAAATAGTTTGGATTCTCAAGGAGTTTATGCGCTGCAGCTCAAGGTTAGGCCCTACTTTTCACTAGTGCGCTGGGGTTTGACTAAAATCATCGTTGACCATGAAGTAGGATTTCTGAAAGTTCTAGAAGTACCTCCTTAGTTTCTGCATCATTGACCCTTTGCCCAGGAAAACAGTTGACAATAGCTTTCGTTATTTCAGTAGTACCATCTGCCGTAACTCATCTTGCTTGTGATTTCCGGGTTGTAGGGGCAGCTTGCCGAAGAACAGAGCAGATCGGAGGCCCTGTCGGCTGAAGTTCTACGGCTCTCTGCAGAACTGAGACGCGCCATCCAATTATATAACAACCTCACCTGGCTGTAGGTTCCCCCCTCGCACAGTTTACTGCCCCCTCTGGGTCACATCCGTCAACGCCCAGAGATTCCCGTCTTTTTAACTTTTCCACCCCTTGGGTTTTGCAGCTACAGGCCCATTCTTCGGAATATTGAGGACGGACTCATGAGGATGAAGCATGAGAGTTTTGTCTCTTCCCAGTGACCAGAGAGGGGCCAACTGGTCAACTCTGGCCGCCTGTCAAGAACCCTAGAATCGTCCGATTCGGCCTGGAGAATTCTTGGTGCGGTGTTTCGAGTATGTGGGTAGGATCTTAAATTTATAATATTTGGTGGGCCAACAGGAATTGGTTTGATTGATTGCAAGGATGAGACGTGTATACCAAAAAGAATATATATATATATATCTCTCTCTGTGTCACCAACGCACTAGAGTGTTGGCATCTCCACCGGTCGAGAATTCTCCCGCGTGCGTGGACTCGGACGAAAATTGTCGAAAGGCACCCCTCTCGAGCCGGCGATTTCTTTTAGCGTACTGCTCGTCATTTAATATGTGGCGGAGGACCGTCCTTCTCAGTCAAGACCAGCTGGTTGGACCTTCTCGGGAAGCTATATGGAACTTTAGTTATACCAGCTGACGTATTCTTTTCTGTGGGCGGGTGCTTGGATTTAAGAATAATTGATTGGACCTGTGAGTGGAAGAGAGAGGCTCTCCTCCTGAACTGATCCAAAGGTTGGAGATGGGAAGACGAAACTCTCGCGTGATCCCCCTCGCGTGGTTGCTGGTGGTGCTCGTCGCGCCACCAGCGTTCTGCCGCGCGCAGAGCTCGCTGTCGCGGGGGTCATCGCTCTCGGTGGAGCGGGCCTCCGACACTCTGGTCTCGCCGGGGAGGACCTTCTCCTGCGGATTCCTGAACGTTGGAATCAACGCCTTCATTCTCGGCATCTGGTTCACAGCGGACCCGAACAAGACGGAGGTCTGGTCTGCCAACCGCGAACGGCCGGTCAACGGCCGGGGCTCGAGGCTGTCCCTCCGCAGCGATGGCGTGCTGGAGCTGACCGACGCCGGCAAGGAGGTGGTGTGGCAAGCCGGCGCCACCGCGGCTGACGGCAAGAGGGTGGAGCTCCTGGAGGAGGGGAACCTCGTCGTGAGGGCCGGCAGCGGCAGCGTACTGTGGCAGAGCTTCGACTTCCCCACGCACACCCTGCTGCCCAGGCAGGCTCTCACCAAGACGACGAAGCTGGTGGCCTCCCTCTCCGGTGGGTCTCCCAACCCCGGCTACTACTTCTTCTTCGACAACGACAACGTCCTCAAGCTCATGTACGACGGCTCCGAGGTCTCAAGCATCTACTGGCCGAGCCCCGACCGCAGTGTGTTCGAGAACGGGAGGACCCCGTACAACAGCAGCCGCCGGGCGGTGCTCGATGAGACCGGAAGGTTCACCTCGAGCGATCTCTACTCCTTCAACGCCTCCGACGCCGGCGGTCGGAGGAGCAGGAGGCTGACCCTCGGCCATGACGGCAATCTCAGGTTGTACAGCCTGAGCGAGGCCGGGGGCTGGTGGCAGGTCACCTGGGAGGCCATGCCACAGCTCTGCAACGTGCACGGGCAATGCGGCCGCAACGGCATCTGCGTCAACACGCCGGAGGCCCGGTGCTTCTGCCCGCCGGGGCACGAGATGAAGCTTCCCGGAGATTGGAAGAAGGGATGCCGGCGCACGGTGGAGGTCCCCTGCGGCAAACCTGGGGGCGTGAAGTTCGTAGAGATCCCCAACACGGACTTCTACGGCTTCGACCTCTCCGGCTTCGCCAACAAAGTGTCCTTCGAGACCTGCAAGAAAAGGTGCGAGGAGGACTGTAACTGCAATGGCTTCGGCTATAGGTTGACCGGAGAGGGCAGGTGCTATCCGAAGGGCATCCTCTTCAACGGGTACACCTCTCCGAACTTCCCGGGCAGCATCTTCCTGAAGCTTCCGCTGGGCCTGGACGTCGCGCAGACCCTCGTCTCCGACGAGGCGGGCACCGCCTGCAACTCCACCAGGGACGACGCTCGGGCTCCGCTGCCTCCGGTGGACCTGTACGCGAGGAAGGGAGGCCTCAGATGGGCCTACGTCTATGCGTTTGTGGCGGCGCTGGGACTGATAGAGCTCTTGTTCATGGCGACGGGCTGGTGGTTCGTCTTCGGGCACCAGGCCTCGCGGAGGTCCACGGAGGAGGGCTACCGCCTGATGACCAGCCAGTTCAGGAAGTTCACGTATCGGGAGCTGAAGAAGGCAACCGACAACTTCAAGCACGAGCTAGGCCGGGGCGGCGCCGGCGCGGTCTACAGAGGTGTCCTCGACGACAAGCGGGTGGCGGCGGTGAAGAAGCTGGACAACGTGACGCAGGGGGCGGAGGAGTTCCAGGCAGAGATGAGCCTCATGGGGAGGATCTACCACATGAACCTGGTGACGGTCTGGGGCTTCTGCGCGGAGAGCTCCCACCGTCTCCTGGTCTCCGAGCTCCAGGAGAGGGGCTCGCTGGACCAGGTCCTCTTCCCCAGAAAAGGCGGAGCCTCCGCCGCCGCCGTGGCGGCGGCGCCGCTGGAGTGGGAGAAGAGGTTCAAAATCGCGTTGGGGACGGCCAGAGGGCTGGCCTACCTCCACCACGAGTGCCTTGAGTGGATCGTCCACTGTGACGTCAAGCCGGAGAACATCCTCCTGGACGAGGACTTCGGGCCAAAGATCGCCGACTTCGGGCTGGCCAAGCTTCTGCAGAGGGGCACCTCTGACGGCCATATCACGCGAATCAGGGGGACCAAGGGTTACATGGCGCCGGAATGGGTCCTGAACCTCCCCGTCACCTCCAAAGTCGACGTCTACAGCTACGGCGTGGTGTTGCTGGAGATCGTCATGGGGAGGAGGGTCTCCGACGTACCGGCTGGGGAGGAAGAAGACGTGACGGGGGTGAGTCGGCTACTCGGCGGAATAAAGAGAGCGATGGACGGTGGCGGCGACGGCCAGTGGGTCGACGACTACGTCGACCCGAGGTTGGGAGGGAATTACAACAGGAAGCAGGCGGCGGTGATGCTGGAGATTGCGGCGTCCTCCATGGAGGCCGATAGGACCAAGAGGCCGTCCATGGATTCCGTGGCCGAAACTTTACTGTCTTGTGACAACAACAAGACAGGGAATCGACATGAAAGACAACAACATGAATAATGTTATCATGGTGAGTCATTTAACTTTTCTTTTTATGTATAAATAAATATGTAACACATGATTACAATAACAACGAAAACTCATTTTCTTGATATTAGTGAAATAAAAGAGATATCATTAAGTTATTAAGAATTTCGATGAGAACAATACTTCTATCAAACATGAATTTACGTCTCAATGCCTTCTACACGATCCAGAGAATCAACAATGTACTCTTATCTACTTCTATAAAGACTTCACATACAATAAAAGAAAGAAGATAGATCAAGATAGATAAATAAAGTCGATGAAAAAAGACAGTAAAATCAAAAAAGAGAGATAAATCTCATCGTACATTGTACTCAAAAATAGAAAATATATATCCTATTTATAGAAAAATGAAAAAGGTAACCACCCCCCTAAAAGGAGGTATCTCAATCTACGTGTGAGTAAGCCCGCACATTTCGGAGTTGATGATTTCAACCACACTCGTTTCCCGCTCTCTCTCCTTCCATGACCCCCAAACGGGTCAAAAGAGATGAGCTGACAACCGTGTCACTGCCCCTTCTCGCACGTCTCTTGAATGGGTTAGATGAGAGGAGGCTTCTCGCATGTCTCCTGAACAAGTCAGCCGTGATGGGCTGACGCCGCCAACACTCTCCGTTAAATCAGCTGATGTATGTTTTCTTCTTCTTTTTCTTCTTCTTCCTCCTCTGGATCGACGCCCAGCAGACTTTGTAGGTCACTCTCCCGATTCAAAATTGCTGAGTGAGGTACAAGAAAAATGAATTTCTTATCATTTTCTCTTAAAATATGGTGTTGGAAAATAACCCAACTTGGAGGGAGTCAAATGATAATAAATTGTCTCTGTGGCTTCACCCCCAATCTATTTGAAAAGTGAACAGTAGACCACTCCCCATCCTCTCCTTCTTCATTCCTTCGTGGCCTCAACAGACCCAGCAACCTCAAGAAGACGCCCGCATTTTTCTTCTTACTAGCTGTTGACCGGCCGGCACGCTGTGGAATCCGTCGACGAAGGTCTTCTCTAGCGAGACCAGGACCTCGAAGGTCCACTCTGATGAGAGCAACAACGCGTCCACCCCACTTGAGAGAAATGTCGACGGAGGGAGGAAGGAGACCCTACCATGCAAAGATCACTCGCTGAATGGTCGAGATAAATCGAGGAGGATCTGAGGACCTCCGCAACGTGATCCCTTCAACAATGGAAACCCGTCTACTTCTTCTTCTTCATGCAGCTCTCCCACTTCTCATTCTTTGCCTGTCGGCGCCCGCTGGGGGTTAAGAATTCTTGAGTTTGGGGTCCTGAGACTATCTTTTCCACGGGGGGAAGGTGGACGACGTACTAGTATCCCCATGAAAACCTCCTCCAATGGTTTCTACTAGGTGGGCACCAAAGCCTATGCTTCTTAATTTTTCTTTTAATTTACCAGGGGGTGAATTTAATTTTCTTTTTTTTCTTATTAAGTATATTTATTTATTTATTTCTATTTTATTTTATTTATATCTCTATATTGACATATAAATATAAAATAAACCAACAAATGATAGTTCACTCTAGATTTAGAGTAATTCGGTCAATTTCTTTAACCTACATCCACTTTCGATGACTCCACTTTGATTCCATTGTTCAACCCTTATAATACACCCTTGATTTTAATGAAATCAAGAACCCTTTACATTTTCAAGCTCCACAAGCTTGCAATCCCAATAGTTCTTAGGTCCTCATGTCTCTTCGTTGCAAGCATATCACATGTGCCTCAACGGATTATGTGATTACATTGACAACACATCAAAAGTGTCTCACTAGTTCACATACAACAATTAATATGGCTATGTTGACGGCACACCACATGTGTCTCAACCACTCCACACATCACAAACTAAGGTAGAAATAGTAAATAATATAAAATGACTTTATTGTAGTATTCAAATATTATTTTCTATTCACCAAGAGTTGTTGAAGGTGTTTACCAATGTTGGGCTAAAGGAGGAAGCTTTTGAGGGTTGAAGAGATGTCCACGACTCCCTTGAAGCAATCAATTTTGCCCTTTATTCTTGGAAACTTGAAATGAGTTGATAGAGAGAAAAAATATGTTTATGATGTAACAAGAAGTCAACTAAAAATTGTATTCTCTTTTCTTAAGTTTTGGAAGAACTGCCCTCTTTTGGCCCTTATTGGGTCTAAACAATTGAGCTAAAACAAGCCTTAACAAACTGAGTGGGGTCCCGAAAAATGGAGAAAAAGATAACTATAAATAGTAAAAAATTCACAACTCTCTTGATAGTTTGAGTATTTAAGAATGATTTTCATAATTGAATTCATCTTTGAATCAATTTTCTATTGAGTGACTCCACTTTTATATATGTTGCGTCTTATTTGAGATAAAAATTACTTTAGTATGAAAGGTCATGCTTCTAGATCATTCTACCCTTATATTAATATATAAAACCAATAATCTTGTAAAATAAATATCAAATCAATGCCTTGGTAATTGTCTCTAAAATTTATTTTACTTGAATTCTTGTTCAAATATTGTTATATTACTTACACATATGTATATATTAGTTAATCCCTTTGATATAGAAAAAATGCAAACGTACAATCTCCTCATAATAACATAACATATTTACTATGTAAAGATATTTAATTGTTTTTATATCTTAATCATCTAACAGCCATATACATGACAAAGGTTGAAATATAATATAATTTTATCAGTATAATATTAGACCTTTTATTATCATCTAAAAATTTTAAACATCAATATATTTATCACATCAATCTTAATTCAATTCACATCAAATATGATCAATTTCAAGATAATCACCTTATTATCTAAAAATTATTAAAATTCTATTTTCTCTTCTTGAGTTAATTCTTATTATTTAAAAATTATTAAAATTCTATTTTCTCTTCTTAGGTTAATCCTTAACTCAATTTCAAAACCATCACCTATATACCAATAGAGATAGCCTGGTGAATGGGAGGCTCTCAACTATACACCTAGGGAAGGGAGGTAAGCTGGAGTTGAGGGATGTAGATAGTATGAGAGAATAGAGAGGAAAAGAGAGATGAAGAAAAATAAGAATGTATTAAAAAAATATAATTTGACCCTTTACAAGGATGAATGAGGATCTATTTATAAGGGTTATTATTGTTATGAAAAGTGTTGTAACTCATATGTTAATAGAAAGTTTGTTGAGGAGCGGCAACAATTATATGTTTAACGATTTTCTTGATAGCCCATTGAGCGGATATCTTTACACCCCTTCAAGCTCATGTTAGGAATAACATGATGTTTGTCATGTAACCAAGTGAAGCAACTTTTAAGAAGACTCTTCGTAAGAATATTGGCTAATTAATCTCCACTAGAGATTAAAAAAACTTGAAGATGCTTGACTGCAATTTATTCTCGAATAAAATGATAGTAAATTTCAATGTGTTTAGTGTGAGCATAGAATATAAGGTTAATTACAAGGTAGGTGACACTAATATTATCACATCAAAGAATTAGAGTAGATTTGTATGTAAGTCAAGTTCATGCAAAAGAGAACATATCCAAATTAATTAAGTGGTAGCATTAAAATTTGTCTTGTACTCAACCTCAGTGATGGATCTAGAAATTGTGGGCTATTTCTTAGAGTTCAAGAAGATTAGATTGTTACCGGTAATAATGAGATAGCCATTATTTGAGTGTCGATCATTGACAAAGTTAGCCAAATCTGCATCACTAAAAACTCTAAGTTACAAGTTATAATGTCTTTGTAATAGTAGACCATGGGTGATGGTGACTTTCAGATATTATAGAAGATGTTTGACAAAGTTTCAATAGTCAATAGTGGATTCATGTATATATTGACATGCACAATTTACTACATAGATAATATCAAGACATATGATTGTGATATATTAGAGGGCACTTACAACACTATAATGCATAGATGGATCATAAAATTTAACTATAGCAGAATTAAATGCATGAGAGATTAGCCATGACATAGAAATAAACTTACAACCTTCTATATTAGCTTTATGAAGTAGAGTTATAATGTACTTAGATCGTGACAAAAGAGAGCCATGTGGATGTTGAAGAAATTCAATGCCTAAAAAACTGTGAGCATAACCTAAGTTTTTAATAACAAACTCAATGTTCATGAGGCGAATTAGATCATCAACACCCCTTTGATTGGAGCCAACTATTAAAATATCATCCACATAAATCAAACCAAAAAAAGTAAATTGAGAATATAATTTACAATATAAGGAAGTGTCAATCTTAGAACAAAAAAAACTAAGATTTGAAAGCCAAGTCATTAGATGAGTTAATCAAGCACTAGGAGATTGACAGAGATTGTATAATGATTTTTGAAGATGATATACATGATGTGAAAAAGATGGATGACTAAATCCAAAAGGTTGTTCGTAAATAACATCTTCAAACTTAACACGTAAAAATATATTAGAGATATCAAGATGTCAAATGAACAATCTTTTACTTATGAAGATAACTAGTAGAAGTTAAATGATAGTTATCTTTACTACTAAACTAAAAGTTTCATGATACTCAATGTCATTTTGTTGTTTAAAACTTTTGACCACAAGATAAGTTTTGTGGTAGTCAATGGTGTCATTTGATTTGTGTTTGAGTTTAAAGACTTTGTGACATACGTCGGCTTAGGAGATGAAACAATCATAATAAGATATAAGGGAAGTAAATATCATGTAGATAGTTGGGTAGTGAACAACAGAGGTCATGTGTGTTTATAGAGATTTAGGAGTGATCTTGTACGAATTGGTGGAGAGAATGAATCAGGTTGAATAGAAGCGAGAGTCATAATATTAAGAGGATCGGTGTATAACAAGATCAGTGGAGATGGTGAATCATTAAGTGTAGTATTATCAAAATCAAAAATAGATGAGAATGAAGTTTAGAGGAATGGTGCGATTGGCAAGTGATAAGTCTTCATTATCATGAGTTAATAATTAGTAAATAATATAGTTTTAGCCTTAACTCATGATAAATAGACTTATATTTGTGTTAAAATGTGAAAAGTGATTTTCAGTTGATTAATGTGAATTTTTAGGTACTTATGTGATTTTATACTATTTTTACAGTCTTACTTTTGAGATAAATGAAGAACAAGAAATAGAAATAAAAATATTGCAAAATGGGGGGATCCGCCGGCCAGCCGGGCCCGCAAGTGGGTCGGAAGCTCAGTCTGGGAGTAGCCGCGAGCAGGGGCTCGAGCGGCTTGGACTGATAGGGGCACATGTGCGCCACTCCCCTTCCACGTCACCGATGGCCAGCCGGCTATGGGGCAAGGAGTGGTCGTACACGCGAGAGAAGGAACTTTGCTCAGAAAGCTAACATTACTATATATTCACCCGAAAAATCGGCGCACAACCGATGTGGGACTAAACCCGCGTCACACCTTCCTCAGAAGGGGCAGACAACCGGCGCGGGTTCGAATCCTCCTAGAGTCAAAATTCATATATTTTTATCTGATTATCGCAACTTTCCTACAGATCGTCGGTGAAAGATTAAGCAACGAGAATCACTAGATCATCGGCGAAAATCTCGTCAACGCGATTCGCGGAGTATTGCTACTAAAATTGTTGAACGATTCGCGATAAGAGGATCGCGAATCCATCGAGTAAATCATCTCCGATTGATCGATGAACAAGCCGTCGTTGGGAAGAGGACGATCTGCCGAGAGACGAGTCGCCACCTCCTGAGAGCGTACCAGATGCGATGAAGAGCCTCCTCTTGTTGTGCGGACCTGAGGATGAAGCTTCTTGACATGCGCCCCACCTCCATCCAGCTCCTCTCCGTCGAGTGACAGCCGCCGGAGAGTCGCAAAGTCGTCGTTTTTTCGCTCCGCTGGGTGACAGCCGCCGGAGATGATTCGACGACCCATTTCATTAATCTCTAAACTTCGCAAGAAGATCTAGAGATTGCCCACGTCGTCCTTGTCCAAAGAGAGCCTTTGAGGCCGTGGACACTACACGACGATCCTCCCGAACACTCAGAATTTCGATGCATCGCCGACGCATCGCCGTCGCGACGCCGGAACTCTGTTTTCCTGCTTTTAACTTACTTTACACTTTATTTAATGATAATTTTTGTGTTTTTAATTTACCAAAATATACTTTGTTCAATTACGATTCTTCCGGCTTTTATAGATCTTAATTTGATTAATTAAATCGTCTGTAATCGCTTACGTAAGAATCGCCGGGTGGAACTCTGTTTCTGCCCGATTCGCGTTCGCCGGGCGCTGATGTCATCCTGACGTCGGCACCCTTATTTCCCTTTTTCGTGAATTTTAAATATATTTCCTTTTCATTTCTTAGTATAAAATTCATAGAAAATTATATTCATTGAGAAAAATTCTGAATAATTACCAGATATTATATTACATCCTTGTGATCGACCTGGAAAATTACCGCTATTTTGAAAGTTTTATTGAATTATAATTGATATATTTATTCAGAAATACTTCTAAATATCTGAAAAGTCGTATTTTCTAGTTTTATAAATTTTAGATTTGCGTGATTTAATATACAATGACTGAGTCACGTCAGCAAGGTTTGGGGGTTAGTGATAGAGGATGTCAAAAGATAAAATGAGTGTAGTAAAGAAAGAATTTCAATATCACTAGATGGAAGTTGGATTTAGATGATATGGTAGAAGTCTCAATAAATGAAAAAAAAGACTAATCAAATACAACATGATGTGAAATATAGAAACATCTAGTGTTTAAAGAAACACATATTAATGATAAAATGAACTATATCTGAAAAATATGCAATGTTCATATCATTTTGTTAATGAGAAAGGTAGTAGTCGACATAGGTTCATCCCAATATTTAGGTGGTATGGATGCATTATAAATGAGAACAAGTGTTGTCTCAACTAAGTATTAGTGTTTTCATTTGGCAATCTCATTTTATTATGAGTGTGTGGACAAGACACCCTATATTGAATACTATGTTGAAGAAGATTATCATGTAGTGATTGATATTTCCATTTCTAGTCAAATTGTAAGAATAACCTTTATATTGAATTATCATTCAACACATCTTTGAAATTATATAAACATTAGTAGTGCATCGCTTTTATGTTTGAATGGATATAGTCATATATACTTACAATAGTCATCTATGAATATGCTATATTAAGAAAAGTCATAATGAGATAAAACTAGAGAAGGTCCTCATAAATCTAAATGAATAAGTTCAAGTGATTTGGATGAAGTGTGATTGAATATTAGAAAAGATAATTTGTGAGCCTTAGATAGACAACATGACTCACAAATAGTAGATTGAAGAAAATGTGTAGTAGGCAAGCCATAAGTATTAATAATTTTACGAAGAATTTTGAAGTGTTGATGTCTTAACCAATCATGTTAGATTGACAAAGATGCACATTTGCCAAGAAGCATAAAAAATTCACCAGATGATGCTAGAAAGTGATAGAGATCATCCTTGTGTCAGTCGTTGAGTAACTTTTTTTATTCTCTAGTCCTTCACGAGGCAATATGTCAAGTGAATTTCAAGATAAATATCATTATCAATGATAAATCTACATACAAAGAGTAAATTCTAAGTTATATATCAGACATAAAATATATTATTTAATCATAAAGAACATAATAAAGTTTTAAGTTATATGTCATGAGATTGAATGTGCAAATTTGTTCAATTATTAATTTAGAGTTGATGTAGTCCAATGTAAAGTAATGAATTAATGATGTTGCTTGGATCAAGTGTGACATGATAAGTCACTGACGTGACCTAGTCGTTGTATAATAAATTATATAAATTTAAATATTTATAAAATATAAAATACTATTTTTTAGATATTTAGAAGTATTTCTAAACAAATATATTAATTATAATTTAATAAAAATTTAAAAAATAGTAGAGATTTTCTAAGTTGACTATAGAGAAATAATATAGTATCAAGTAATATTTCAGAATTTTCTGAAAAAAATATGATTTTATATGATTTTTAGAATAAGTAATGAAAATAAAATATATTTAAAAATTATAAAAAAGAGAAATAAGGATGTATACATCATGATGACGTAAGTATTTCGATAAATAAAATCAAATCAGTCAGAAATAGAGTTTTAGCTGACCACAAAGTATAGTTTGAATTAATTGATCAAACTAAGATCTTTAAAAGTCAAAAGAATTGTAATTGAACGAAGAATAATTTTATGACTTGAAATCACACAAAATATCACTAAATTAAGTAAAAATTAAGTTAAAAATAGGAAAGGCAGAGTTTTGGCCTGCAACAGTGATCACCAAAATTATGTGTTCAAGAAGATCATTAAATAATGTCCATAGCCTCAAAGGGTCTCTTTGGATATAGACAATTTTGTCATTCACTAGATCTCTTTTTGAAGTCTAAAAAATAATGATTGAAATTTTAAACTAGTTAAAAATAGTAAGACAGAGTTCTGACATTGTGTTGATGATGAATAAGAATTTTAAACATTTTGTAAGATTGTCGTACAATATTTATGGCCTCAAATGTTTTTATTAGACAAGGACGACATGGGTAATCTTTAGATCTTCTTGTGAAGTCTAAAAATAAATAAAATGGGTTGTTCGAATGTCATCTCCAATGGTTGTCACTCAGTTGAGTGAAAAAAATGATGACTTTGTGACTCTTTGATAACTATCACCTAACAGAGATGAACTAGATAGAGGTGAGGTGCATCTTAAGAAGCTTCATCTTCATGTTCATGTAGTAAGAGGAGACTCTTCATCGTATCTAATGCACTCTCAGGAGGTGACAAACTTGTCTCCCAATAGATCGTTATCTTCTTGACAACGACTTGTTTGTCAATCAATTAGAGATGATTTATTGACTAGATTCGTGATCTTTTTATCCAAAATTATTCAACAATTTTAGTAATGATACTCTGCAAATCGCATTGATGAGATTTTTATCAATAATTGAGTGATTCTAGTAACTTAATCATTCATCAATAATCTGTAAAAAAAATGTGATTTAATCAGATATAAGTATGAGTTTTAGCTTTGATAGGATTCGAATCCTCGTCAATTAGTATAGAAAAATAAGTACTCGAATATCCTTATAAAGTGATGTCATAAGGATATATCATTCTTATAAACAAGAGATATTTTAAGTATTAAAATCGTTTAAAAATATTCAAGAAGCTGGTTTAGTCTCACATTAGTTATTTTATGAGTTTTGCGATCAATAAACCTCTCTCTCACATGTGGATGACCACTCATTATCCCATGCCTAGTTAGCCACTAGTGACGTGGAAGGTGATTGACACACATGTGTTCCCTATCGGTTTGTCCTTAGTTGCTCGAGCCCCTTGCTCGCAACTCCACCTAATTATGTTTCCGACCTACTTACAAGCCCGGCTGGTCGGTGGATTCTCTTCTTTTTTAATCTTTTTATTTTATCTTATTACTCTTCATTTATCTCAAAAATAATATTATAAAATTTATATCAATTTACATAATTAGTTAAAAATTTAAATTTATCAACTAAAAATACTTTTCATAATTTAACATAAATATAAATCTATTTATTATAAATTAAGACTAAAACTATATTATTAATTAATTATTAACTCACGATAATGAAGACTTATCACCCACTATTAAGATATCATGACATTGTTTCCATCGATGATGTACTTGGTGATGAATGACATGTCATAGTATAAGTATGAGGGGAATCACTTTTGTATAGTGGTGGAAAATACATTCGTTGATTGTGTGCGACTTTACTAATGAAATTCTTCTGGAAGGGTTCATGGCATTCATGTTTGCGATGGCCAAACTAAAGGCATATTTGATAGTGTGGAGTTCTTCTTCTTTCGTGGCTTATATGTTCTATGTTTAGTAAGTGTAGTTTCCTCTTGTGTTGGAGTCGGATTTCTTCCATACTTCAATATTGTGTGCTTGAGAGAAGTTTGTTTGAGCATAATTAGCTGAAGGATATTACCATAAATTTTGAAGTGTAGTATTATCCTAGGCATTGATTGCTTCATGGGCGGCTAGATGCACAAGAACATCATCTATTGTAAGAATATCCATACGAGTTGTTATGTTTGTGATGAAGGATTGATAGCTGGGGTCCCAGACCTTGTAAAATAATCATATGATCAAATCTTGATCATTAATCAGTTGTCCAATTACAACAAGCTCATTAGCAATCCGTTTCACATAACGAACATAATCTTGGACAAAGTGTCCCACATTGAGCAACATGTAATTGTGATGTCAATTGAAGAATGTGAGATTTTGTTTTTAATATAAATTATCATGCTAAAGCATCCAAAATATCTTTCGACATATTATAGCCAACAATAATTGGATAGGCAACCTTTGTAAGAGAAGACATAATTCAAGAAAAAATAGTTTGGTCATTCCATTCTAATAAAAAAGATTCGAGATTTACTTCAAAAATCTCCTTTTTCATTCTTGATTGTTGAAAATAGAGGTGTAATAGAGCCATCAACTATATGTAGAAGTCCTTGACTCTTGAGCAAAACAACAAATTGAGTTTTCCATAATATATTATTGTCTTCTAAGAGCTTTACTGGAAGAAGAGCCATTACGGCTGGTGGTGCCATGACTTATGTGGTTGATGATGTCGTCATTACTTCTCTCCTCCTTGAATTTTGAGTGATAAACTCTAATACCATATGAGAGAATAGAGAGGAGAAGATAGAAGAAAAGAAATAAGAATGTATTTAAGAAAATGTAATTGGACCATTTACAATGATGAATTAGGATCAATTTATAAGAGTTATTATTGTTATGAAAAGCGTCATAACCCGTAAGTTTGTTAATAGAAGGTTTTTTGAGGAGCGGCAACAACTGTGTCAAATGATATTCTTGGAAGGCCATTGAGTGGATGTCTTGCGGTGTTGAGTTATCCTTCATAGACCTGAGCCACGCTTGAGAGACCACCGTATCGTTGCCGGCAGCGGCCGAGGTGGAGCTCAGTGAGATGGGTAATTTGGTGCTGCTGAACAAGACGGGGGGTGTCATCTGGGAGAGCTTCGCCTCCACAACGGACATGCTCCTTCCCCTCCAGCCGCTGACATAGGACAACAAGCTCGTTTCCAGAGGTGGACTTAGAAGCTATTCCTCCGGCCAGTCTCCGTTCCAGCAACGACAACATACTAAAGATGGTATACGACGCGCCTAGGTCGCCAGCATGTATTGGCCGAAACCAGACATTTCCACCTTCGACGACGGGAGGTTCCCCAACAACAGCAGACGCATCGCCATGTTCGATGCCCTAGGTCGTTTCTCGTCCAATGACAAACTCAAATTCAATTCCTCTGACAACACCGCCGGCCGCTGGCGGCGGCTGACCCTAGACTACGACGGGATGGCATGGCTATACACCCTGAACGGCTCCGGGAACTGGGAGGTCACCTGGAAGCCAGAGCTTCACGCCTGCAATGTCCACGGAATCTACGGGACATACGGCATCTGTGTTTACTCGCCGGAGCCGAGCTGCCGGTGCCCTCCGGGGTACCGCGCAGTCGATCCGGCAGACTGATCCGGTGGTTGCTCCCCTCCCTCTCCTCCCAAGTGCAACTCGTCCGAGATCGATTTCCTAGTCCTGCAGCACACAGATTACTTTAGTTATGACCTCGAGACCTATGGAGAGAAAGTGTCTTTCGAAGACTGCAGAAATAGGTGCCTGAGCGACTGCAAGTGCAAGGGGGTGAAAAAGTTGAACGGGATGGCAACCGCTACCCAAAGTTTAGACTCCTCAATAGGTACCAGATGCCGGACTACCCCACTGTCATGCTCATCGAGGTCTCCACCGAGAGAGCAACAACCCTAATTGGAGACGGTGAGGCGCTGAGCAGAAAAACACACCAACAAACACACTAGAAAAACACTACCTCTTGAATCCTTGTATTCCTTCTTTGTGAAACAATGAATAGAGCAAAAGAATCAATTAAGAGGAAAACACACCAAGAAACCCTTTTGGACCTTGCCTTTAGCATATTGCAGAAAAAAATAAATTAATAGAGGATTAAAAGCCAACTGATGAGGTAGTGTTTCGCATAAGCATTGAGCAGGTAGACGTGAAAAGAACACCCAATGAATTTGACCTTGAGAATCAAGAATGAATTTAACCTTGAGAAAAGAGCAAGGATTCTTTCAATCTTCCTTGCCATCATTTTCTCATCTTCATCTTTTTCTCACCCAGCCTAAGAATCAAGAATGAGCACATTAAGCTTCCATCAACACTCATTGTTTGATGTAGCCTTGAACACAAAACCTGAAGACTAGTCCAAAATTAGAGGTTTATCCACTTTAAAATTCGACCATAATGAAGAAAGTACTACAAGATGACTCAAAAGTTAATTAGACTACTGTATGAAAAGTTACTTTATCTCTCTATCATCCAAGAATCTATTTTGATACTAGCCGAAGTTTGTTAGGGTATATTTTATGTCATTTTAGAGTAAGGTCTAAGATCTTTCAAGAATTCTCATTTTCAAGAGCATCCCACCAAATTTTTTTAATCTATATAAATGATTCACATTATAACCTTGAGGGAATGAAAGTATTACAAGTTTATCTCTCTTACGAGGTTTCCCTTTATATATTTATAAATAAAGAATCGATACATCATCATTACTCTCCATAGTAATTTGGTGATTAAAATATTGTAACCAGTTGTCAATGAGCAAAGAATTAATGTCCATCCTTAACAACTTGACTAAAAGAAAATTCCATGTATCTAAAATAAGTAGAGCTTACGCCAAGCAACCAAAAAAGATGAAGAGAGAATTCAAAACCTGATGGGCATGACAAATAAGGTCCAAATCATGCTTTGTTAATACTTCAATACCTATATTCACACCAAATGGGTAAAAAAATTCCATTATCATTCATTCCCCAACCTCGAATGTCTTTACTAAGATCTGATCAAAGCAAGTGACATAGCAAACCTGTGTCATGAACCTCAGTGGAGCGGGTCAGACCCTTCAGTTTGATCCAAGTTTAACAGATCAGGGGAAAGGCCACCATGCATGCACAAAATCTTCACATCTATACGTGCAGCTACTAGAAGGCAGTAAGAACAGTCGATGCACACATCATAAAATCCATATATCCTATTTATCGATGAACATTCGTGATTCCCTCTCGAAAAAAAGAAATTTTATGGATAATTCATTTGATATGTCAGGAGAAGGCATATTGTCTCCAAACTCTATTTGCCGAAGTATGTTTGCGCCTGTCTACATAATCATCTAGGAATATATAGTTAGGCTCTTGAAGGAAACCTCCGTACTCAAAAAGCTTCAATAGGTCACTACATTGTCCATAAATGTTGCCTGAAAAGCGCGTAAAAAGGTATCAAATATTAATTTCCAGGATGATATCTCTCAGAACTGAATAAGGGACCATAAAACAGGCACCCTTTCCGAATGTCCAATAAAGGAGAGAGAGATAAGAGCTCTTTGCTATCTGATAGTTAGGGGCGCTCCGACGAGAGAGACGACGAACCCTGTGAGAGAGATCTCCGCGGCGGGCACGCGGCAGGTGAGACGAATACTACCAGCAGAAGAAAGGCAGGTGAAGCTCCACGAGTCGACCCCACCTGAGAGAAATCTCCACCGGAAGAGGGGGTTTTACACCGGTGGGAAGGCAACGTTACTAGAAATTGCCTAGAGACGAGAGGGCGCCGCCGCCGGCAGCTATGCGGTAATGACGTAGGCAAGTAAAGCTAAAGTCTTACCCCAATCCTCGAGGAGAAGTCAATATTTTTTTAGAGAGGGAAGGTGGCGGAGGCTGACGTTGGAGCTCGGGAAAATGTCAAAAGATACTGAGTCATCCTCATTACGACGACCACGGTAGATCCGTCAAACAGAGGAAAAATCTTCACTATAAAACGAGGACGAGGACCTCCCCCAACGTTGGATCCCTCAATAATGGAAATCCGTCTTCTTCTCCCCCACCTCATTCTCTGCCTGTCGGCGACGGCCGGGGGGCGGGAATTCCTGAGCTTGGGGTCCGGGGACTCGCTCTCCCCGGAGGAAGTGGAAGACGTCCCGGTCTCCCCCAAGAGGACCTTCTCAGGCGGATTCCACGAGGTGGGCACCAACGCCTACTGCTTCTCCGTCTGGTTCACCTCCTCCGTAGACAAAACCGTCGTTTGGATGGCCAACAGAGATAGCCCTGTGAACGGGAGGCTGTCGACCGTACGCCTGGAGAAGAGAGGTAACCTGGTGTTGAAGGACGCAGACGGGAGCCGCGTCTGGGAGACCGCCGCATCGTTGCCGGCGGCGACCAGCGTGGAGCTCAGTGAGACGGGTAATCTGGTGCTGCTGAATCAGACAAGGGGTGTCATCTGGGAGAGCTTCGCCTCCCCAACGGACACGCTCCTTCCCCTCCAGCCGCTGACAAAGGGCAACAAGCTCGTTTCCAGAAGCGGACCTGGAAGCTATTCCTCCGGCTACTATAGCCTCCGTTTCAGCGACGACAACGTACTAAAGATGGTGTACGACGCGCCTAAGGTCACCAGCGTGTATTGGCCGAAACCAGACAAGGACTCTAAAGGCTCCTGGTCTCCGAGGTCCAAGAGAGGGCCTCGCTGGACCAGGTCCTCTTCCCCAGAGAAGGCGGAGCCTCCGCCGCCGTGGCGACGCCGCCGCTGGAGTGGGAAAAGAGGTTCAAAATCGCGTTGGGGACTGCCAAAGGGCTGGCCTACCTCCACCACGAGTGCCTTGAGTGGATCGTCCACTGCGACGTCAAGCCGGAGAACATCCTCGTGGACGGGGACTTCGGGCCAAAGATCGCCGACTTCGGGCTGGCCAAGCTTCTGCAGAGGGGCACCTCTGACGGCCATCTCACTCCAATCCGGGGGACCAAGGGTTACATGGCACCGGAATGGGTCCTCAACCTCCCCGTCACCTCCAAAGTCGACGTCTACAGCTACGGCGTGGTGTTGCTGGAGATCGTCATGGGGAGGATCTCGGACGTACCGGCTGGGGAGGAAGAAGACGTGATGGGGGTGAGTCGGCTACTCGGCGGAATAAAGAGGGCGATGGGCGGCGGCGGCGACGGCCAGTGGGTCGACGACTTCGTCGACCCGAGTTTGGGAGGGAAGTACAACAGGAAGCAGGCGACGGTGATGCTGGAGATTGCCGCGTCCTCCATGGAGGCCGATAGGACCAAGAGCCCGTCCATGGACTCCGTGGCCGAAACCCTACTGTCGTGCGACACGGCAAGGCAGACATGAAGAACAGTAACAGGAATAGCGTTACCGTCGTCAACAGGAAGAAGAGTCCTCTAACTTCTCTCTCTCCATTAAATCAGCCACTGTAAGTCTCTCTTCTTCTTCCTCCTCCTCCTACTCTGGATCGACGCCCGGCCAGACTCTGTAGGTCGCTCTCCCCATCCAGAACTGCTGAGCGAGGTACAAGAAAAATGATTTTTTTATTATTCTCTTAAAATATGGTGATGGAAAATAACCCCACTCGGGGGAGTCAGACGACAATAAATTGTCTCTGAGGCTTCACCCCCAACCTATTAGAAAAGTTGAACAGTTGACCACTCCCCATCCTCTTCTTCTTCATTCCTTTGTGACATCATCAGACCTAGCAGCTTCAAGAAGACGCCTGCATTTCTCTTCTTAGTAGCGGTTGACCGGCCAGCACGCTGTGAAACTGATGGGTTCCCACCGATGAACTCTCCGGCAGAGGATGAAACGTCTACAAAATAAACCTGTCTATTGCCTTCAGTCCTGGAGACCTGTGAGATAGGGGGATATAATACCGAGACCTGTGAGATCTCTCGGTGCGGCCGATGCGAGATGGCCAGTTTCTAGATCCTCTCGAAGTTCACTCAGATTCTTCCCGCTTCGGACGAATCTCGGTACTTTCTTGGTTCGCCGCTCGCCGCCCGACCTCTCAAGTCCCCCTTCTTTCTTCCCTGTTCGGCTCGGGTGGGGCCGAGCGCCTTCCACGTGGTCGTCCTTCGGCCAATAGGGACTCAACAGGAACCCGCCGGTGATCGGCGAGACCAGGACCTGAGAGGTCCACTCACACGAGAGCGACGGCGAACCCACCCCGTGAGATCGAGCACTGCGGGCGGAGAGAGAGAGAGAGGACACCAGCACGCAAAGATCACTCGCTGAATGTCGTGATTGGAACGGGGATAGAGATAGAGAGAGAGAGAGAGGAGGGGGGTGCGTCGGCAGGATGGTTTTACTGCGTGCCCGGTTGACTGAAAACGTAAAACATATTGGGGAAAGACCAATCTTTTCAACCCAGATTTAGTCAGCCCACCCATCGTGACCGCGCACTGAAGGCTAGAGTAGTAGAAGTTGACATGGAGCTGAGGGGGCGACGCCGGCGGCGGCTATGAGTCAATAAATATGGGAGACTGTATGGACGGCGACAAGTTCGGGACTGAAACCTGGAGCCACACCCCATCGTAGCCCCCATCGTCGAGGAGAAGGCATCAGTATTCAGTGAGGAAGGGCAACGTGAGGCCGACGATGAAGCTCAGAAAAATATCAAAACAAGTCGAATCCTGAACAATAAGACCAACCCTGTGGATGCCGTCCAACAGAGGGCAAATCGTCGCTAAAAACCGAGGATCTGAGGGCCTTCACAACGTGATCCCCTTCAACAATGGAAACCCGTCTTCTTCTTCTTCGTGCAGCTCTTCCCCTGTTCATTCTCTGCCTGTCGGCGCCCGCCGGGGGGCGGGAATTCCTGAGCTTGCGGTCCGGGGACTCTCTCTCCCCGGAGGAGGTGGAAGACGTCCTGGTCTCCCCCAAGAGGACCTTCTCAGGCGGTTTCCACGAGGTGGGCACCAACGCCTACTGCTTCTCCGTCTGGTTCACCTCCTCCGTAGACAAAACCGTCGTTTGGATGGCCAACAGAGATAGCCCTGTGAACGGGAGGCTGTCGACCGTACGCCTGGAGAAGAGAGGTAACCTGGTGTTGAAGGACGCAGACGGGAGCCGCGTCTGGGAGACCGCCGCATCGTTGCCGGCGGCGACCAGCGTGGAGCTCAGTGAGACGGGTAATCTGGTGCTGCTGAATCAGACAAGGGGTGTCATCTGGGAGAGCTTCGCCTCCCCAACGGACACGCTCCTTCCCCTCCAGCCGCTGACAAAGGGCAACAAGCTCGTTTCCAGAAGCGGACCTGGAAGCTATTCCTCCGGCTACTATAGCCTCCGTTTCAGCGACGACAACGTACTAAAGATGGTGTACGACGCGCCTAAGGTCACCAGCGTGTATTGGCCGAAACCAGACATTTCCACCTTCGACAGCGGGAGGTTTCCCTACAACAGCAGACGCATCGCCATGTTCGATTCCCTGGGTCATTTCTCGTCCACCGACAAACTCAAATTCAATTCCTCCGACGACACCCCCGGCCGCTGGCGGCGGCTGACCCTGGACTACGACGGGATGGCACGGCTATACACCCTGAACGGCTCCGGGAACTGGGAGGTCACCTGGAAGCCAGAGCTTCACGCCTGCAATGTCCACGGACTCTGCGGGACATACGGCATCTGTGTTTACTCGCCGGAGCCGAGCTGCCAGTGCCCTCCGGGGTTCCGCATGATCGATCCGTCGGACTGGTCCAGAGGTTGCTCCCCTCCCTCTCCTCCCAAGTGCAACTCGTCCGAGATCGATTTCCTAGTCCTGCAGCACACAGATTACTTTGGTTATGACCTCGAGACCTATGGAGAGAAAGTGTCTTTCGAAGACTGCAGAAACAGGTGCCTGAGCGACTGCAAGTGCAAGGGTTTGGCCTACAAGTTGAACGGGACGGGCAACTGCTACCCAAAGTTCAACCTCCTCAACGGCTACCAGATGCCCGACTACCCCACCGTCATGCTCATCAAAGTCTCCGAGAAAGAAACAACCCTAATTGGGGACGGTGAGGCGCTGAACTGCACAGAGCAGAGGTCCGTCCTCCTCAATCAATACAGCGAAAGTGAGAGCCAGAGCCCCTACCTTAAGTACCTGGTCGCGTTCGTAGCCGCCGCCGGCGTCGTAGAGGGGATGTGCATTCTCTTCGGATGGTGGTGGATAGACAGAATACACCGCCGAGAGAAGGAGAGCACCATGGGCTACCAGGCCCTGATGCTGGGGTTTAAGCGCTTCACCTACGCAGAGCTAAAGATAGCGACCCACAACTTCAGAGAGGAGATCGGAAGGGGCGGCTTCGGTACCGTCTTCAAAGGAGTTCTCTCCGACGACAGGGTGGTGGCCGTGAAGAGGCTGGAAGTTGTGTCCCAGGGGGAGCCTGAATTCTGGGCAGAGGTCACCTTTATAGGGAGGATAAACCACATGAACCTGCTAAAAATGTGGGGCTTCTGCGCCGAGGGGAAGCACAGACTGCTGGTCTACGAATTCATGGAGAATGGCTCTGTGGATAAGATCCTATTCTCAAGGTACGCTGCGTCCTTGGGATGGAAGAAGAGATTTGACATCGCCATGGGAACGGCCAAGGGGCTCTGTTATCTCCATGAGGAGTGCCTCGAGTGGATCCTTCACTGCGACATCAAGCCTCAGAACATACTCCTGGACGAGAATTTCCGCCCAAAGGTGGGGGACTTCGGCATGTCCAAGCTCATCGAGAAGAACAACCTCAAATACAGATTCTCCACGGTGAGAGGAACGAGGGGTTATCTGGCGCCGGAATGGATGATAAACCAGGAGATCACTGCGAAGGCGGACGTGTTTAGCTATGGGGTCGTCCTGCTGGAGCTGGTGACTGGCAAGAGCGCGGCAGATTTCCATGAAGACGTGCACAACTTGATTCAGTGGGCACAGTCCAAGCTCAGACAAGGAGACGAGATGGGCATCGTGGATACCTCGCTGGCTGGAGATGTTAACGAAGAGCAACTTCGAAGAGTGGTGAAGGTAATCCTAATGTGTCTCGAAGTGGAGAAGGACAGGAGGCCATCCATGAGCACGGTGGTGAAGGCTCTACAGGGGGATGATGATGATTGCTAACTTTTTTGGATCGACAAGTTTGCGGCCATGTCTTTTTGGATAGCTCCAAACAAGAAATAGATGCCAAAAGCATACCAAGATACCCTGCAGATTCATACTTCATGCGTATGTGTGCCCACCCTACAAACCATGGTTATCTTGCCTGAAGAAAATTTAAAGACCCTCTACCCTCTACCCTCGTTTCACACATACCATCATGGGTGGGGATCTTGGTCATCTTTATCGCCTATTTCAAGAACTTATCCGCGCATTTCTCCTCCAACAGCAGAAATTCTCTGGCGGGTTCAATTACGGTAGTCTTCAACACCCGCCCTTCCATCTTCTTGGTGCAATGGCAGTAGGCTACTGGAATGCATCGCAGCTACCTCTTGGGATCCTTCTATTCGAGCCCTATTCAGCCTCGATGCTGAACAAACTTCCTGCGACTTAAGCATCGTCATTCTGTGACAAATCAGGCGAAGAAACCAGGCTGTTCCCTTCTCGAATGCTTGGTGTATAATGACAACAGGGAAGGAAGAATGAAGAACACATCTGCGTAAAGAGGAAACTGGAATTTCTGGGGTTTCCTGAACATATGAAAGAAATCCGAAACTTTATACCTCCTGCTACATCCTCTCCATCAAGGTCCAACTTGCTTTAGTGCATCGGTTGGACAGTACAATGATACCTCCTGTCCAAGTCTTCTTTGTATGGGTAGATCATGTTGACTGTTCATCTGAATGAGGATATTAAACTAAGAATAAGATGTATAGTCCATGCTTCTGTAATCTTTCCAGTATCAGAGCTAGAAATCATATAACACCGAAGAAAGTTCATCTGACCCGAGCTTGAAGGATATTAAAGCTAGAAATCATATTTATGTGAGAATTTCTCACTCTGGGAAGTTTCTACGGTCTGTCGGCGGCATATCAGTTGGCGCGCAGAAAGGGAGGATGAACCTGAAAAGGCCAAGGTCTCTAAAGGCTTTGTTGAAATCATTTCATATGCGTTGTTTTTCGTCTGGCCCAATAATGTCGACCCTCTTGTAGTAGCCCTGATGGGCTAATTAATGGCCCAATTTGTCCTTCTGCAGAGCGTCGGGTAAACTGCGCAGTTGGATCAAAACCCATCCTCATTCAACATTTTAAACAAGGCCCGATAAAAGCCCAAAAGGCCCATTCTCTATCACCTTTGAGAGGTGGGGGTTGGAGGGGAGAGAGAGAGAGAGAGAGATAGAGAGATCTAAGCCTACGCAGGATGTCAACAATTTTTACGAGGTTTGAGCGTGGCCAAATCGGGCCCGATTCCAACCACTTTCACAATGTCTGAGTCTAGATGATTTTTTTGTTGTCTTTAGAGTCACCTTTGAGAAGAGCGAGAGAGAGAGAGAGAGAGAGAGAGCTAATGCCTGAAAAGGATAAATTTAAAATTTATTTTTTTGAAAATGAGGCTTTCAAGAATGGTTAGAGTAAATAAAAATCAGGTAAATTAAAAATTTCCCCTTCGAGAATATATATTTATATATAAATAGAGAGAGAGAGAGACAGTTATAGCCCAAAAGCCCAGTGCCAGGTATGAACCATTTTTCTTAGGTCTGAGCCGTTGTTAAATCTGATCCACGTCCATTTCCGGCCCAATTTTAGTATAATCAGCTCTAGGGTTAGTGAGCGAGCGAGCGAGAGAGAGAGAAGAGAGAGGAGAGATGATATAATCTTAAACCGAAATACGGTCAGCTCTTCCCAAATCTTAAACCCAAAACCCTGAATAGAGGTGCCTATGAGCCTGACCTGGGATCAGTCGTCAGGGGAAAAAAAGGGAAAAGAAAGACTGCATGTACAAAGAAATGGGGTGGAGAAGAGTCTAATTAAGATGAAGAACGAAGAACAAACGGAAGATCGGCTGATCTTAGTGTCGTTCAAGGCGGCCTCTGGAGACTGGCTCCTGAGACCGCCGCCGGGATAAATTACTGAGGCCAACTCCGTCTGGCTTTGAGGCCTCCGGCCACTAGAGCCCGCTCCCACAGCATCTCCCAGTTAGACGCAGCGTAGAGATTCTCAAAATGGACCTGTCCAATCAGAATATAAGAGAGATTAAGACAGAGAGGCAAAAGTATGGAGGAGGGAGGGAGGGAGGGAGGGAGGGAGGGTGTTCACATGAATAGCAGTTACAGGATGCTATAGAAGAATTCTCTCTCTCTCTCTCTCTCTCTCTCTCTCTCTCTCCGTAATGGATCTTCTAGATTTTTTATGTGTGAGACAATATCAGAACTGGCGGGTCAGGAGCTCCGCTCCATAAAAGTCACCAACTGCAATTAAAAAAAGAAAACTTATTCTCCATCCTAATCTAATGGAAACGTAAATTGAAGGATGACAAGACAAAAGTAGAAGTTTTTTTATCGACATCCTTCTCGGGAGGCTTCTCTCAACACCATTTAATGCTACAGTGGAGCTTCTAGAAATGGCATAAATTGGTGTTAGCTTTCTTAAACATTCATTGCCGAGAGACCAAGTACCATAAGAGATCAAACATAAGTTTCGTCCCTATAAACATAAAGTTCATCAGATGCAAAATCAGTTCCGAAAATAATAGCAGAAGTTTTGTGAAGAATGACAGATCATGTAGCAGTATCATACCCAGCGAGTTATCTTTTTTAGAGCAGACGTTACTAGAAAGAAGTTTTCTCTGTAAGAATGAAAAAATATTGTAGCAAATAAGAAATTGCAAGGAGTTATGGAAAGCACATTTATTTCCACTTTAAATCAGTAGATGGGTTCGCCCTTCAGCGCATATAAAATATATTTAGTAGTAGACTTGGAGAAATTAAAAATATATAATCGATAGGATTAAAAATAAGCTTTAGACTTTGATTGAACAGAAACTTTGAAAAGTGATGAGCCCTATATTCCTATAGTTAGATAGGAATAAAAGAAAGAATCTAAATATAATCACCATGAGTAGAATAAGGATCATCTCAAAACCATGAGATTACGGAGGTCAACAACAAGGAATAAGCAGCAAACGAGAAATCCGAACTGTTGTAGCAGAGAATGGCTCCTTTTTCAGATTGTCGATCTGGTCAATAGGGATTTAGATGACTAAAAAGAGTTGGACGCGTGCAGGCACATCTCACGTTCCAAGTCTGAATCTAAATCCAGATTAAATCAGAGTCAACTGTTTGTTATTTAGTCCGTCATCTTGACTTCCGACAAGGCACAAACAAACTTAGTTGGGAGGTCATTAGGAGTGTCTACAGTCATGCGGTTGATAAATCAAGCAATTAGACGGAAATGTGATGAATCAGATTAGGAATATCCCCAATCAATAACGGCTATCTCTGGTTCAGGCAAGAACTATTTTGGAAATAAAATTAGAAGGAAAAACGAAACAGAAAACTATCTCACCCTATGGGTTTGTATTGGGTATATCCAAGCTAGAATGATCCGTCTCAGTTTTTCAGGAAATGGATCATGATCCACGTGGGAACCAATAAAGTCATTTCTCTCATGTTGGGAACTAATAAAGTTATTTGAAAGAGATTTGGCCCGACTCTCATAGGCATCAACTGAATCTGTAGAATGACACAGGAGCACCCGCAATTTGACTTGACTCCAATCAAGCTTTTCAAGCCAGCCATTGCCTTGCGGCAGCTACCCTCTCATAGACTTATCTTTGTAATCTTTTTCATTAAGGATGTATCAACATGTACCCACCCTACTTGCAAATACATAAAGGGAATAAAGCCAACAAATCCGACTCAAATAATTCGGGCTGGTATTCTCAGCGCCAACTAGGTCCAGGGTTAGCAGAGTTGACCTCAAATCTGAGCCAGTCAACCTAGTCAATTAAAACCTTCAAATATTTCATGACTAGCTTACAGTTTCTATAGACTTCCCAGTAATCGATAGACATCTACCGTAAATTTTGAAGCCTATGCAGAGTTTGTTTTGTTGATGACTGTATCACAAAACTCTTTTTGAGTGATAAATCACACCACTTGACTATATATTGGTCAGATGATTATGTCATGCCTAGGTTACAGACAGTTATTGCTTATTTACGATTGGAAGGACAGGTCATTAGCACTGGGGTAGTGCCACAACCAATGGCCATTAATGCCGGCAGTAATATGAACTGCCCTCCTACCCACTCACTTTCTTTTCTATTTGTCAGTGCAAAGGAAACAAGACAATACTAATCAATGAGACAATGTTTTGGAGATTGCCGATTCCTAATTGTTGCAACGGAGGACGCAATCCCGTTAAAAAGTATAAATTCCAGATCAGCTTGAAACTGGCCACCCTAAACCTAGGCGAGGCTCTTTCAAAGGGTGTGTAAACCTGTCAATGTCAACCTAAGCAACTAGTAGATCCATGATCTGTTCTTTACATAGGACTTCATGAGAGCAATTAGGAAGATAAGAATGAATCCATTCCAAGCTAATGGTGCACGTCAATAAGAACTAGGGTACTGATGAATAGTGCGAACCATGCTACTATTATTATGGTCATAACTCGCAATACGATATACCACAATAAAACAAAAAATCAACTAGGGTCTATATCCTCCATTGCGAATGTTGTGAATCCAAACGTAAGCCCGAAAAAAAATTATTAGTGAAAAAGCTTTTAGGTCAAAGAACCCAGGTATTACAAAACAGGCCACAGAACACAGATCAGAATCAACCGTTCTTTCATGTAGGCATCACGAGAAGCACAACTTCCAAGCTATCGTTTTATAATATAGTAAGCTTTTTTGCGAAGTTGGAACGAATTCAAGACACATTATGAATGTGCGTAGACATTTGAGAAGATAATGATAAACTTCGTACAAAAATACATTGAAGTTGAATCGTCATATGAATTAATAAATATTTACTCGAAAAAGATATCAACTGTTCTTTCAAGCTGTGACATGCTATCTTCGATATCCACAGTGATGAAAACGTTGTATATATTTCCAAGATAGTGAAGACTGTTGGAAATATAGGGAAGAAAATATTTCTAACAGATAAAAGTTAAAATCGGGCTTACTTTGATACTTATTAAGTTAATGTGAAAAAATAGTTTCGTATATGACAACAATATATCATGTGTAGAAATATGTCACAAAAGAAAAAATAACCTCACGTCAACGCAACTAATCTTTGCTGTGATTTTAATTTATAAGAAGATTAGAATATGCTCAGACAGGAGCCAGAACACTAGTTCGGACTGCTGCTGGCAATGTGTAGAGTAATTTGCCCGCATGAGCAAAAGGAACAATAGAACTTTTACGATAATTTTTTATTGGTATTGACTTACAATATGGGCCTATAACTGCTACAGTTTTATGATTGCACAGTTTAGGTGTTGGATATGGTTGATGGGGATGATAAAACCGGAATGAGTTGGATTCGTGAGACAATGATCAGAGCAAAAAGAAAGGATTAAGAAGAAAACACACCCAAAAACCTCTCCTTGCCTTTAGCACATTGCAGCCGAATTTTTTTGACAGAAGATTAAAAACCTATATGCATAGACAGCCTGAGGTAGCATTTTGCATAGGCACTATGCACAGAAACGTGAAAACAACACCCTATGAATCTGACCTTGAGAGTGAAAGGATTGTTTCGTTCTTCCTTGCCATCAGTTTTTCATCTTCACCTTCTTCTCAGCCGGCTTAAGAATTTGGAAGGAGCACATTAAGCTTTCGTCGACACTCATCATTGCACCAGCGTTATCGAATTCTCCACAGTAATTCGGTGCAGAGAATATTGTAACAAGCCGTCGATCAGCAAAGAACTCATATCCATCCTCAACAACCTGACCAAAAAAAAGTCCATGAAACCAGATAAGCATACCTTACACTGAGCAACCAAAAGAAGATGAAGGGAGAATCAAAAACCTGATGAGCACGACAAACAAGATCCAGATCATGCTTTAATAAAAATTCTGCAACTGTATCAGCACCAAATGTGTAAGAAACCCCTCTGTCATTCATTCCCCAACCTCGAGTGTCCTTACCAGGATCTGACCAAAGCAAGTCACATAGCAAACCTGCGTCAGGGACCTCAGCGGGGCGGGTCAGAACTTTTATTTGATCCAAGTTTAACAGATCAGGGGAAAGGCCACCATGCATGCACAATATCTTATCATCAATAAGCGCAGCAACCGGAAGGCAGTTAAAACAGTCAGTGAAGACCTTCCACAATCTCACGTTAAATCGGCGCTTGCACTCATCATAAAATCCATATATCCTGTTTATCGATGCGCATTCATGATTCCCTCTTAAAAGAAAGAAGTTTTCTGGATATTTAATCTTATATGCCAGGAGAAGGCATATTGTCTCCAAACTCTGTTTGCCCCTGTCTACATAATCACCCAAGAACAGATAGTTAGCCTGTGGAGGAAAACCTCCGTACTCAAAAAGCCTCAAGAGATCGCTATATTGTCCATGAATGTCGCCTGAAAAGCACATAGAAAAGGTGTCAGATATTGAGTTTCAGAGTGCTAACACCATAAAACATACACCATTTCCGAGTTTCCAAAAATCAAGGGAGAAAAATCAGGGCATTTCTGATCAGTCACATTAGGATACTATCCAGAACTCTTAATGGCATTGGACGATTTTTTCTTGCAAAACATGAAGTAAAAAATGCTAACGAGGCATCTGATTATGAGAAAGGGCTACACCATGTGGCTTAAAGAACCTAGAAATTTGCCTCGTGAAGGGGGGGGGGGTCCATACATTCAAACATACCAGCGCTGAAATTCATGAATGTGGCACGGGCTCTCTTCCACTCTCCAGGGTTCAAAACATGCATCCTGTGCTATGCCTTATTTCCATTTGTGCCGTTAGCCATTTGGTCAATGATTTTCATACGGAAATAAATAAAAATTATAAAATAAATGCTCGATTCCCCATCGCATATATGGTGTAAATGGAAAAATAGTTACTTCATGGCAGACAGCACTCTGTAAACAGATAATACAATCATAACGACAGTCCTGTACTTTAAGTTAGGAGAAAAATAGAAACTTTCGGGGGGGAAAACATTAACGCGTATAAAGAACAGTCCGCGAGGGGCAAGTTACGCGCGTGTATCCCTGGAGTTCCCTGCTTTCTGACTTAACATCTTGGTGCCCCCCTCGAAGCCTCCCCGCAATTGATATCCCCTCAAATTTACTTTTCTTGTTTTCTAAGATCTTGAGGATGAAACGTTGTGAGAGATTTGTCTCCAGGACACACACCTAATCATCAATATAATCTACTCCGTGGATATGGAAAACCCGACATTTATAAAAAAATGTAAACAGATAAAAGAAAAGGTATCTAGAAACAGCAGAAAAATCAAACAGATACCCATAAAGAAGGTAATATAACAGCGAAATTCAGATAAGAAAGAAAACCAAGGAAAATTGCAGATTATGGCTCACCGCAGATCTTGATGGGTGCCTCGAGTTCCAAAAGGTTGGGCTGCTTCAGGAATATTTCCCGCGACTGGAGGCAGAGTTGCCGGATCTCGTCCTCTGATAGCTGCGCCTGTTTCCCCGGCCTGGAGTTCCGCACTTCCACCAGCCTCGTTATGATGCTATCAAGCACCTTCTGGTCCATCCCTTGCCCCTATTCCACCACAATGTCGACTTTAATCCAACCTCCAACCTGATCCAACGTCAGAATCTGATCACAACAACGAATGTGAAGCCAGACGAACCCTATCTCTCCGCCTCCGTTCCACCCTTTATCCCCCCTCCTCGCCCTCGCCGGCCACTCGCTCCGCCCCTTCCCCGCCCCGTCGCATTAATGCGTGGTGCCCTCGGCGCAGAAATAGAGAGAGAGAGAGAGAGAGAGCTGGGTGACCGATACGCGTCCCGCAAGGGTTTCTTCCGGTTACCCTTTCTTCCAGAATAATTATAACAATAAAATAATAACTCGACGGTGACGTCGGATGATCGCGCTGAACGTTAGAGCCAACGTGGACCATTCTTTCCTCTCCACCTTCAAATAGAGCCGATGACGTCATCGTGCAATTCTCATGCTGTGCTACGTTGCGCCTCACACGCCGCACTAAGCCACGCTTGCGTGGCCGCCATTGCAGGTGTCAGCGTCGCTCATATTCCTTGAAGCGCACCCTTGCTACGTTGCGGCTCATACGTCGCATCAGGCCACACGGTCGATTGAGGGGGGGACTTGGCTCGGACTCGCGGACGGTCCAGCCCGCCAAAATCTGCAGGGTGCGACCAGTTGACGCGAGTGGGCCAGGTCAACGAAGACTCCATTAAATCGATTTATTTTCGACTTATTTATTTTTATTTTACACCAATATATATATATATATATATATCTATTTCAAAAAATATGATAACAATGTGGAATTAATTATAATTTCCTATTTAGAAATATTATTATGTATATCCGTAATAAATTACGGGAGCAATTAACGGCAATAAAATATCAGCAGGCACAACAAACTGATGACCTTTGAAGACGAGGCTTAGCCGAAGGAAATAAAAATGTAAAATATTGCGTTTGAAAAGTATCGATAACGGTATTACGTTTTATTTTCGTAGGAGTTAACTGCCGTGCATCTGTCGTCTTTCGCGCTCATCTGCACGACGCTTGTTGCCGGATTTGAATTTCTACGTCTCTCTCTCTCTTCCTCTCTCTCTATATCTCTCTCTCTCTCTCTTCCTCTCTCTCTATATCTCTCTCTCTCTCTCTCTTCCTCTCTCTCTATATATCTCTCTCTCTCTTCCTCTCTCTCTATATCTCTCTCTCTCTTCGTCTCTCTCTCTCTCTCTCTCGCTCTCTCCTCTCTCTCTCTCTCTCTCTCTCTCTCTCTCTCGGTCTCTCTCTCTCTCTCTTCGTCTCTCGGTCTCTCTCTCTTTCTCGCTCGCTCTCTCTCTCTCTCTCTCACTCAATTTCTCTCTCTCTTTCTCTCTCATAGGCTGCGTTCGATTTCGCCGCCTTCCTCTTTCCATCCGTCAGGGCACAAAGAATCCCGTGCTTTACCGTCTCGCTGCCTCTTCTCCTGATTACACCACTAGATTCTCAACTTCTGTAGCATTCCTTTCTTTAGAGATGCCTTGGTTCTTCCCCGCAAGCATCATCCCCACCCACCGGCTTTATCTCATCCACTCCTTTCCCCGACGCCTTCTATGTCGTCCACTTTCTCGGCCAATCTCCGTCTCCACCGGCGCCGCCAATCGTCGTCCTCCAGGGCTTCTCGGCGATCAAAGCTCGACTCCTTTTTCTTCTCACATCCAAAGGTACTTCCGAGTGGATCGTCGGCATGGATTCGTCCGGCACCACCAAGCATTTCGTCCAGCCCTGCATTTACGGTAGAGTGTAGCTTCTGCCCTCGTCTCTTCTACTTCATATCATCAAGTTCGTCGTTCGGCGTCCTACCTGTCTTTGTCTAGTTATCCTAGAATCAAGAGAACGTTGGAAAAATATTGGCGTCTCGGGACGAATGAAATCATCTCTGTCGGAGAGCAAACGATGCGGCATTATAGTTCTCTCGTAAAATTCCGAACTCACTGGAAAATTTATTCGTCACGGGCCTTTTATATGTAACTAAAGAATGATGCTTGTCTATTGATTATCACGAATTTGAATAGTCGCTCTTTCAGTACAGGGATGCCGATTATGCATAAAACTGATTTCTAAACTGATCATATACATGCAGTATCCTATCCTCTCTACTCAGCCGGCAATCCCATTTATTCACGCCTTCTTGATGCAGAGGCTGGGGAATAAATGTTGGCTTTAGAATTTTATAGGTGAATATTTTTTTGATTTATTATTTCTATTTTTTTCGAATAGGGCACTTGGATCCACCTCACGTAGAGAGAAAATCTCGCTTCATGAGGTGGCTCAAGAAAATTCTCAAGGGATTGAACAACTCCACGTTAAATGAGCGGTTTCCACGTGCTGGTGATGGTCCCACGAGATATCCGGTAATAAAAACTGAATCAAACAATAGTTCACCCGTTGGCTTGCAACGCGGGTTTGTAGGATTTCTCTTCATGTTGTTGTGTAAATTTCTTCTGTTCTCTTAGGATGAGCGAACTAGGACTGATGACGAGGATTTGGATCATGCTATGGCACTCTCCCTTGCTGACAAAGATGCTGGGAGACCAAATGGTATGTCTGAAAGACTAGATTTTATCATTGAAATTTGTTATCATCTGTTGACTATGGCTCAAGCTGTCTTCTCCCATCCATCTGAAAGAATGTTTTTTGCCATTGACCTTTGGCGCGGTTGCAGCTTTTCCTCACTGGCTATCTGAAGATATAGTTTCGCATACTATATTCGATCTATTTTATTTGGCTATCATGCGATGTTGTAGGTGCATATGAAACCGTGATAATAAATACTGTTCTAGGGTTTCATTGTATGATAACCTACATCTTCTTTCTTTCAACAGGTTTCCAAGGTCGCCAAGACGATGATGATGATCTTTCCAGAGCAATCCGGGAGAGCTTAAACCCGCCTGCATATCCACCTTACCCTCCAAGGCAGTTTTTACCGACCAGATATAAGTTAGTGTTGTTAACTATCGTATTTAAATTTTTTCATGAATATTCCTTTTTCCCTCAATGACGTGCAAAGTTAATTTGGAATTTTAATGAATTATTACTATTATTGCCAGAATCTGTGGAGCCTGCCATCGTGAAATCGGTCATGGTCATTACCTAAGTTGCATGGGAACGTTCTGGCACCCACAATGCTTTCGTTGTTATGCCTGTGGTCTGCAAATTTGTGAGAAAGAGGTGCTTCGTCCACGTCTCAATTCACTTGTTTCATTTAAAATTGCTTCTATTTGTGGAAGACTGTTTTCTCGTTATGATAGCTGTATCATCAGTCATTTACAAAGAAAATACTCTAACACATACGTTCAGTTTTCTTTGTCAGGGACGCGTCAATATCATAGGATTTGCTACAAAGAGCTATATCATCCTAGATGTGATGTTTGCCTCAACTTTGTAATGATGCGTTCTCTAAATTTATTGGTTTAGTTTTTCATGATACATCTCGAATTTATTTTTATATTTTCCTGTGATGGCATTTTTCGGAATTTTTCTCTGTATTTTGTGAAATGAGACGGAATGAAACCACAGCACCATGAAGATGCTCTGGGAGATCCGAATCTTTGTACTCATAGTGCTTCTTTACTTAAAATGGAAATTGTCATATGAGATCAGATCGCTTTACGTTCCTTGATAGCTTAGGGGTAGGGATGCCAATCAACCTGTCCTAGCCTTGAATCTCACATGAAGAAGTTTGATTAATTTTAATAGATAACGATTACTTAAATAGAAGGTCTGGTTTCGACGATTAAGGGTTTTGTAGTTCATTCCATGACCATGTTTATACTTGATTTTTTTTCTCATCTCATCACATCCTGCTCTTTGATATGTGGGCATCATCATCAATACCAGACAGTTTGAATCAGATGGGCCACATTATATTTTATGGCACTGGAAAATCAACACCTCTCTATCATGACAACAGGCACATTCTTACTAATATGATTGTTTTAAGCGGCTACTAAAAACATTAATGAAAAAATGATAAAAGTAACTTATGTCAGGCATCTATGCAAATCTTCCTAACTTAGGTTTGGTATATATATTAGGTAACTGTAATTTAGCAATACAATTTATGACCTTGTTGTTTGGTGAATGATGAGTAAAAGATGGTTTGTTTGGTAAGACTTCACTCTTTGGACCGGTGATGTCTTATATAGTGATCGTTAACTTGCCAAGAACGATTCATGCATCGCTTAACGATCGTTTACTTGATTATTGATTGTTGAATTTACTCTTATACATAGACTCAATCGTCTCTCTTCAGGTTTTTGCAACACTGCTCATGGAATGTACTTGATTTTTCAGTGGTCTTTTTTTCCTTGATTATTTAGGGTATAAACTAGGTTGTATGGCTTGTAAACTACTCTTTAATTCAAGTACTGAGGGAATTGATCACAATTTTGGTTCATGTGGGAAAGATTCTCTGAGAAAAAATCGAAATAAAGTTGCCACATATTGATTTTTAGCACTCACTAGTGATGTGCTGCAGTACTATTTTATGATCATCACTATACTTGGATTTAAAAGCATAACGATGGAAATAAACCTTTTTTTAGAAATGATCAGTTTCAGGTGGTGTTATTTATTTGTAAGGAAATAAACCTTTTTTATTTGAACGGACAAATAGGAGTACAGAGCTTTTTTCCTATCATGCTTTGAAACTTTCACGAAGCTGCTAAATGAGCTTCATTAAGGCTTTCACCACAAGCTATTGGACTATAACCACGCAATATCAAGGTTCAGAATGCTTCATTGACTACGTAGCTGTTTTGTGCTTGGATTAAGTAGTCACCTAACGGTTTAATCGTACCTGGGTGTCATGGTGATAAGTAATAGTGTATGAATTTTCTTGTATATCATTAAAATATATATCTACCTCGTGATCATCGTTTCTATCGTACCTCATAGACGTACTTTGGAGAATAATCATATTCTTATGATGAATCTGGTTCATCAGAAGCATGACGCATGTCTGTTTATCATTTTGGAAAAGTTTACGACAAGGGGTGCTCAGCAATCACTATCAAAATATTCAGAGTTACTAATGGGGGTTGTTTACACACTTCCATCCGCCTTCCCAGGGAGCTCGTGTGTATTAAACATAATTCGAAGTTCCTTATTTGATGTCTGAGCACAATTTGATGTGTATTACACATAATTTGAAGTTCCTTATTTGATGTCTGAGCACAATTTGAAGTCCACGGTTACCCAGCATCATGAACTTCACCATAGCAAGAAATGATAAAAATAGGACAGTGGCATTCATTCCGTAGATTCCACAGGTTACATTCCAGTAGATATATTCCAAACATCAATCCGTGGTGATTCATCTTTAAGTGTTTGATCTTGTACATTGGTTACACTCATTTTTCCTCAATCATCTTCGGAATCGAATAACTTTCTCCTCTGGGCTTATCTTTTTGTTGAATTTTTGTTAGATTAATCTTACTACCAAGTTTTTCAAACCATGATGCTTCAATTACTTAAATCCTCTTCTCCCATCGTACAGATTCCGACGAACAGGGAGGGTTTAATTGAGTACAGGGCGCATCCATTTTGGCACCAGAAATATTGCCCTTCACATGAGCATGATGGTACACCTCGTTGTTGTAGCTGTGAAAGAATGGAGGTAATACCTGCGCATCCATCTGCTTTATAGGATTATTGCCATGATTGATTGCCATCTAGTTCACATAATTTGACAGCCTTTTAGCTTCCTATGTGGTACTTATTTTCTCGTTGAAATTCCAGTCTAGGAAGGCGAAGTACATTTCCTTGGGGGATGGACGCAGTCTATGCCTCGAATGCTTGGATAGTGCGATAATGGATACCGGTGACTGTCAGCCTCTTTATCATGGTATACGGGACTACTATGAAGGAATGAACATGAAAATAGATCAACAAATTCCCATGCTTCTTGTGGAGAGACAAGCCCTCAATGAGGCCATGGAAGGGGAAAAGGATGTAAGTTTTCCCTAGATATAATGTGTTCAGACTTACCTCTCTTGGCTTGATACGCCTTCCATTTCAGGGTCACCGTCATATGCCTGAGACAAGGGGCTTATGCCTTTCTGAGGAACAAACTATTAGCAGTGTAAGGAAATCACGGAATCCTAATCTCGTCCTTGTGTGTTTACTAAACAGCATGTAATTCCTTTTTCTTTCTCGTTTCCTGCGGTCCTCATCATATCTAGATACTCAAGAAGCCAAGAATAGGGTCTCATCGGGGGCTTCTAGGCATGAAAACCCAGCAGCAGAAGTTGGTTCGAAGATGTGAAGTTACAGCCATTCTCATTCTATATGGTCTTCCGAGGTAAGTCACATCTGTCGTCGTTATGCCCGTCCTCACAGCTCATAAAAAAATCGGTAGAAAATGGTCTTGAGATCTGTATTTTCGATTTTATTATCATATTTTAAATTATTTCGCTGATGAACGCTCGTCGGTTTTTAAATCATCATGCCTCAACTTGTCTGAAAGAGCATATCTGCCATCATTGTGCATGGTCAACGGACATGCTCCGCGATTTTCATTATCTTCCCGTAATTAGCATCGTGGGGTATTTTTACTCAGAAGAAATCCAACTGCCCAGATCATAAAATGAAATATCATATTTTTTTAGATATTGCTCGGATTGACTTCATGAAAACCTACCAGTGGGCAGAAGAGTTTCATTTTCTTTTGGCCCCTCGGTAATCCCACCCATTCCATTCCTCCCTCTCAAACAATGTGATTGGAAACCCCGGACAGATTGAACGTCCACGCCTAATGTTTAGGAATTTTCTGACCGCAGGCTCCTAACAGGTGCCATACTCGCGCATGAGCTGATGCATGGATGGTTGCGCCTAAAGGGTACGCTTCGTCTCAGTTTCTTCTACAGTTCAATGCATGGACGATGCACCTTCTGATGATCTATGGTCGTTTACATGGGAGGAAGGGGTTGGCCAAAGAAGCTAAGATTGGCCAGTCCCGCTCAATGGTCTTCTGCTGATTCATCTGTCTGTTCAGGCTTTCGCAATCTTAGCCCCGAAGTGGAGGAGGGCATATGCCAGGTGTTATCTCACATGTGGCTGGAATCCGAAGTGATACCGGGAACGAGCATGCCCTCCACATCCGCCGCCGGCGCCGCCTCGTCCTCCTCTTCCCACCCGAAGAAGGCCGGGAAGTCGGACACCGAGAAGAAGCTCGGCGAGTTCTTCATGCACCAGATCATGCACGACACTTCTCCGGCCTACGGCGGCGGCTTCAGAGCCGCCAACGCTGCCGTCGGCAAGTACGGCCTCCGTTGGACCTTGGAGCACATTCGCCACACTGGGCGGTTCCCTCTGTAGCATCATCACTGCGTTCAGGCTTGCCGTATTGTTAGGAGAACTCCGGACTATGATTACGCGTGAGATTCTAAGGACCCAATGTCTCTACTCTTCCCTGGTCAGAGATTGCGAAGAGAACCCACCCCTTGATTTCCCCGCCATTGTCGCCGCCGGTCCCCTCTCGTGGGCTCTGATTCCGCCGCCGCCGGAGTCGGACCATGGGGAGGAAGCCGGAAGTGGCAGAAAAGAGCCGGCTTTGGAGGAACCAGAGGTGCCCAGAGCCAGGGCACGAGGGTTAATCGGATAACGAACAGCCGCCTGCCCCCTGAACCCTAGTCATCTGACAGTATCGCCCTTCTCAGATTATCAGAGCTCCAATATCGGAGAGATAGTAATAAAGCCGCACTGTTACGGACAGCAACAGGGAGGGGAATGAGAGAGGACAAAGTACAAGTCGCGAGATGAAGAACATCAGCGACATTCCAAGAGAGAAAGCTCGTAGAATTGACGGACATTGTCCAGAGATACGAGACGCATGAAATTCCACCCTCGTGGCTGCGTGAGCAATATTTTCCTCATTCTACCACAGCGAGCGATGATCGAATGGTTAGCCAGGAGTGTCATGTTTACATAACTCAATCCTTCCTCTCTGCAACATATAAAGTGGAGGAGAATACGAGCGATGGAGACTGATAAATTCAGGCGACGAAGTCTCGCAGCAGCTGGCCGTCGAACTCCTTCCCAAACTGCCGCTCCTGCCCTTCGAACCCGCCCATGACGTACGCCACGTTGCTCTCTTCAAGGCCGAATCTTCGGACGACGTTGAGTGGGAGCTGCTCGGAGAGGCAGTAGCCGTTGTTCTGGTGGAGACCAAGCGTGAGGGAGACGCCTCCGTGGCCTCCGCCGGCGGTGACGCCGGCCATTGGCGCGTCGAGGCGGTGGTGGGAAGAGGACAGGTTCTCGAGTGAGAAGTTCACTGGTTCCTGGACATGGCCGGCTATGTCCGCAAGTTCATTCTGGAACCGCTTATGGGGAAGCTGCTCCTGGTTCTTCAGGGAGCTGCTGCTGGGATGCGTCTGCTCATTCACAGGAGATGCAAATGAGGAGCTCGACACGTCGGGCTGCTTGCTGCTATTACGATTGTCATCGGAATCGGAGACCTTCCGCCGCAACTCGAGGGAGTGGATCTCTTCCACCATGGGCTTCCACAGTCTCACTCTGGCATTGATGAACCAATTGGAAACCTGCGTAATAGATGGCGCGATTGACCAGCTGAGCCATCGTACAATAATTGAAGGAATTTTCTATACCATGAACGATAATGCAGATGATCCCCAAGATACATACATAGTTCTGAGCATCAAAATATAACAAATTCCTTGTAACTTGAGGTAATTAACGTTAGAAACACGCAAAGTACCAGAGATCTCGGAGTACCTGGTTTCGCGAAAGCCCGGTTTGCTTGGCCAGCATCTGTTTGTCCATATCGGTGGGGTACCTGGGTAATCCAACGTAAAATCACATAAAATGCTCAAAAACAGGCTAAGGATTACTCCTGCTTTCTCATAATAAAGCTTTCAAGGATAAATTTTATTGCAGATAGAAATAACAGCAAACAGTGCCCTCTCCGGGGAGGCACGTAACTTCATGCATTTCTCTGGCGCCCCGCAAGAGCTACTCTACTCTTCATACCGAACAGAATGATAGACATTGACTAATGATAGAAATAAACCAGTTTGGCAAGAATACAAAAGTAATAGCAGATGCTCATAATTCACATGAACAGAGAGGAGACTTACGGATGGAGAAAATGCTCGAACAACCACCCTCTAAGAACAGCCACTGCCCGCTCAGGAAGACCTCTCTGGGGACGCCATGCAGGCTGCTGATTGATCTGAGCCGAGCCAGAAGCTGCCCTCTGGTACCCGAAACCCCCGGTCATAAATTTATGCCCAGAGATCTCATCCTTACTCTGTCCATCTTTGCCGAAGGGTTCATTGACGAATCGAAGCTGACTGGAGATGGCCTCTTTCAAGCATCTGAAATGCTTCGACAAGGTTCGGACAGCCAATGGAGTGTAGGGGGCAGCCATGTTGAGGCCTGCAACTGCTTCGAAGGACGTGATGACCGCTTGTATCTGCTGAAAGTAGAGTCTGTATCTTCTATAAACCTGTGAGAGGTAAAAATCATTAAATACAGAAAACATAATCCGCGGATCAAATATTTTAGGCAACTTCTAGGATGAATGCAACCCGCTGAACTTAACTATAACAAGAATCAAGAAGAACAAGTAATATTTGCATAAATTGACCACGCAATAATCTACGAATATGGTGTGACATCTTAAAAATCTTTTAGGGCGATAGGAATTAAACCCACTCAGTAATACTTCGCAGATTTCTACTCGAAAATGAGTAACAAAACTTGAGAATCATTCAACGCATGCACATAACGCGACAGCATGTTCACGCAAACCAACCCTTTTCAGAGTTTGAACATTAAGGGAAAAGTTAATATGGTAAGCCCACAGCATAATGTTTCATCCCCACAAATACGCTCTCAGAAGAGAAAAAATTCCAAACCAAATCAATTAGCTGAAGATCCACCTGACTAACGATTTCTTGTCATTACCCTTCATCGTATTTAATAAAATACCAGCTCTACATGCTCGAAACCTGCGCCACCTCGAGGATTTAATGCTAGAAGTTGCGAAAAAATCCAATAAATGCTGAAGTTCTGACGTAAAACTTTAGAACTCCAGCTGCAACAGTTATTCTCCAAGAAAAATCAGCCAGTGATACTCATCACCTAAGATTCAACGTCTCCAAATTTCACAACTATCGCCGAGTACGAACAAATCCTGATTTTGTTCCGCTGGGGAACCTCTAGAAGACAAATGAATGATAACCGTTTGAACTCATTGTGGAAGGAATAACCACTGAAATTCGGACACATTGCGTTTGAGAAAGAGCTATAGTAACTCCATCGATACATATTCTAGGGCTGAGCGATGTTGTACGCATCTATAGGTGCGCAACGATATGCTAATTTTCAGCAGAAGAGTCGTGGCCCTAAAAACAGGTGATAAACTCTCTCTTGAGAACAATGAACCGGGAAGACAAAAACCCTAGGAACACACGGTTTCGTCTCCGTCCTATGACGTAGGTCTACTAGTTTACATTTTTTTTTGAAGAGGTAGATGAAAGGAAAAGAGAATATAATGCAGTCACATGGACGAGAACACTTGCAAGCAACAAAACCCAACCACACTCCCTGCCACGACCCCACCGAGTGGCAAGTGCTTGTCGGCATTGAAAGCTACACAGCAGCTTCCAAGTGAAACCTTGACAATAAAGAGCCGTCTCGGCGGAAACCCTCACTTTGGTGCAACAACGGCACTGAAGAACTTGTAACACCGGGTATCCCAAGTGAGAACAGGCTGTTTAGAGCGATAACAGGCTCATAATCGTCACAACGAATATTGTAAGTAGGATCTACAGTAGAACTATGCATAGAATACAGACCCATAACCCCACCGAAGGCGATGCGCAATGAAGGTAAGTCAACAGCTACATGGCTCCACAGAGAAGAATCCAAAAACCCATCTCAGAATATTTTAATCCATGTTCCCATTATGAGAGATCGATAGGCGACAGCTTGCGCAGCGAAAAAAGAATGCTTGAAGCATGTCACGAGAGAAACAAGTTCTTGCGGCTGGGCCGATATGGTGAAATAATCCGACACGAAGGCTAAGATAAAACTGTGTTCATCAATAGTAGTGGCAGGAGAAAAGGAGATATAGCAAGCTAAACAACGTCAAACATCCCATCAAAATCCTTGCGCGCAGAGAAATCAAATCACCGACAATACTTCCAATTGCATGAACAGTGAGAAAGATTCCGCGAGGTTTTGCTCGTCCGAAAATTTACCGGGCGGAAAACAATAAAAAAACACCGAACAGACGGAAAATGAAATATCATGACCCTCCAGAGAGAAAACAAGGGCAAAATCAATCAGAGAATGGGAGTGTCCATCTATCAATCACCAAGTTCAAGGGGAAAGAAAGAAACAGGAGAAAAACAACTGAAAATCACTGGGCACATGTCGCAGACCTCTTCCAGCATGGACACGAGCCTCGTCTTCATTCTCCGCTGCTCACCACTGATCGAGCCGTCCAGGTTCCTGTCCACCTCACCAACGCTCTCTGTCGCAAAATCCAACGGCTCTGCCTCGTCTCCGTTGTCACCAGCCAGTCCTCCTGCACCCCCACCGCCGCAGACCTCCTCGAGCATCTGCTGTGCCGGCCTGAGGAACCTGGAACCCTTGAGTATCGTGGCGTAGCCGGTGAAAGGCCCGGCCGGGACGGGCTCCATCCTCACCGGCCCACCCCCTAGGGAGGCTGTACCGATCAAGTGGTCCTGGTGGGGGTGATGCGAAGGAGAGGCGACGGAGGAAGAGAGAGACAAGGATACGCCATGGGTTTGCTGATGGTGGACGCCGCCGTCGAAGAGAGAGTGGTGGTCAAGGACGTTGAAAGCGGAGCCCGTGCCGTATTCGTATGCGACGGAGGGGCTGCTGCCAGCGTTCAGCATGTGGTAGGAAGAGGAGCAAGGGAACGTGAAAGAGGTTGCTGTCGATGGCTGGTAGTGAAAGAACGACGGGGGAGAAGCGGTAGACGTGTGTGGGTGCAACGGTGGTGAGTCGTTGGCATTGGGATAGCGGAGCTTTTCCCTCCTACACTGCTGTGGAACGTGATAGAATGGCAGGCAGACGCCTCCTGCTGTGGCGACTCCGTCGACCATCACTTGCTGGTGCTGCCCTTCTCCTCCTGGATAACTCTCCGACATGGGTTCCGCTTTTGTGCTCCCCTCCCTCCTTCCTGAGAGCTAGATACTAGAAACTCCTCCCGATTCACCCAGAGGAGAAGAGAGATTAGGCTTGTGGTGTGAGCGTGACAAACGAAGAGAGGTGGATAGAGAGGGGGGAGAAGAGGATCATGATGTACGCTGACGCCAACAGAGGACAGAGATGGGGATGAAGGGAGTCTCGGGAGGGCCGAGAGAATGAGGGAGGCGGCTGAGTGGTGGGGGCAGAGATAGCTGTGCCGCCAAGCGAGAGGGGGCGCCGGGTGGGCTGCATGGCGGGCGGGTTGCGGCTCCCTCAACCGGGAAACCGGATGTACCCAGTTGTTTTCGCTGCTTGTGCGGTGACGCGATCCTGTGTCACTTAGGAAAGTTACCGTCTTCTCTGATTTTCGAAGTTCGCTTGTTTCAGGGGCCTTGCGAGTCGAACATTTACGAGCTTACGCTTACCATCGGTGGCCATATCCAGGCCGGTTCTTCCCCTTCGAAGGAGGAGGCTGGTCATCGGTAGCTTTTCTCGGCAGCAAATTCCTTTAATTATTGGCCGACGGAACAGAAACGATTGTTTGGAGTCCGAGTGGTCACCGCTGTTGTTTTGCTGACGCACCTGGAATCTAGTGGACGGGAGAGAGAGAGAGAGAGCCCGACTTTAAACGATGCATCATCTCTCTCTAACAAACATCCCATGAAAGCAACTTATCATAGAAGAATTCTAGCTTCAAGTAGCCGTGTATATCTGAGTAAATTCCCTCTGCATGAGGATTCAATATGATCGGCTCGCAGGAATCCGATCTCCAGAAGACAGCAGCTTAGTTAATCCGTTTCGGACCCCGAGCCCCGAATTAGGAAAAGACGGATAAACCCACGAAGAAAACTCACAAAATTAGTGTTAAAAAGATAATTCCCACTAAGAATGGCCCTGTAATTAATGTTCTGTGAATTCCCCAGCGAGAGAGAAAGAACCGGGTTTGGATAAGATAGAGGCGTTATTTTTCAATAAAAGCCCGATATTATTTACCCTCTATATCTTATGATGGGTCATCCCAGAGTAGCAGTGTGTACTACGCGAATTCGCTTCTAATTTACACTCGCTACTTCGTTTTAGTAGTTCTACGATTGAAGTGCTGGAAACATTGACGGAGATTCATGGAGACGGAACTAGGAAGTTCCCTTGGTATGGTCGGTCAACGTATCGTGATTTAGAGAGAGAAAGGTCCCAGGGAATTAAGACTGCAGTACGATTGATTGGAGCTGACAAATGGGGGGGAAGGAGAGAGATGTTGGACGCAACAAGGGAATAATTGAGATGGATAGGTTTCTGGATTCCAAATCTATGAAAAATACGTAAACTCGTCCCATTCAATTAGCTTGTACTGACCCATGTATGCGAGACAGTAGGCTGCAGGTCTGGACCGTAGGATTACGCTAATCAACCCTCACGAACGCTGCACGTGTCGGGGTCTGACGTCCCCCAAAAGACGTATACCCAGATGTAGAGAGAGAGGATAGGTGGGGAGAGAGTTTTGTGTTGCAGGGGGTGGCCATCAAAGCAGGTGACGTCGGCTTTTCCCAACCTGGGGTTTGGGTCGTCCTTCCCTGGCCCGTCCACCGCTAGAGAGGGAGAGAGGGGGAGAAAGAGAGAGAGAGAGAGGGAAAAAGAGGGAGAGAGAGAGAGACTGCACCTCTCAAGGTCGGAATAAATAATATGAGAGTTGATAGAGAAGAGAAGCCTGCCTCGGTGGTGCAGAGAGGCGTACGGCCGCCCTACCGCCGGATCTTTTGCTTGAGGGGGCGCCCGGAGTTTTCGTCGATCCAGGAAAGCCGGGAGGGTCGCCGGTCGGCCTCATCATATGTCCTCGAGAAGGAGCGAAGACGGAGGGGGATGCCCAGATAAAGCTGCTCCTACTGCTGATACTCTTCGTCTACATCTTAATGGTGATGGGATAATTAATTATATAACGGACGACGAACAGTAATGACTCAGAGGCTTCCTGACGACCAACCCCAGAGACGGAGATGTCGTGTTCTTCATCAACTTTCTTCCCCAGGGCGAGCGCAGATGACGTATATTAACGGCGGATCAGGGTACGAACAGAGTAGGGTTTCGGGAGGCTCGGCAACGAGGTTAAACAAAGGCGGAGGTTTGGACGGCCAACCAGCCACATGCACAAAGCGGGGGCTTCACAGCTGTGCCAATGAATGCGATCCGATGGGGACCCACTATCCCCGCCGCCCATCCTTCCACGATACATGCAAGAATCACCTTGAAGACCTACTCGTCTGTTTTCGCTGTTCACTACTGTGCGGCGCATCATCAACAGGCTCCGTCCCGATTGTGGCTCCCCACTGTATAAATCTTTTCTCTCACGAGAAAGTTACAGAGGGAGAGAGAGAGAGAGAGAGCTGTATGGGCAAGCCGAAATCTATGAAACGAGGGTAGAAACGCCGCCGCAGGGTCTCGCAAGTAAGAGGTACCAAAAACAGTGTTCTTGAGGAGGATCTCACGATGAGACGTGGGCGCCAGTGGCAGAGTGGAGGATATTTTCGGCTAAGTGTGCGAGGCTAAAACCTGCGCCTCTAGGGCAATAAGGAAGTTTTCACGCAGATCATGTAACGGCGGCCTCCTTCAGGTGGAGAAGGATGGTAAGTCTTCGGAAAGCTAGACAGTGAAATGACTGTCGACTTGACTGAGTGGACCAAGACACTGGACTGCTGTCAGCTGCGAGGTAATATATAAATAGATGGTTTATTCGACCGAATTATTTAAACTCGATTCCACAAGGTGCTCATGCGGGACGCCGTCTTGGCGGCTCCGCAATCTAGACACTAGAACTGAGATCTATCTGAGAGACTTCTAGTTCTGCTTTCTGGCTGGACCCGATATCACCACTGCAACTATCTTCTGTTTCCATTCCACTGAAGAACTCGTCTCTTGCAGAAAACTCTACTCGTATTGGCGTGGTTATCTGTGCGGCTGTTGGCACGTGCCTAATTGCTTTCCATTGCTCTCTAACTTTGGGCACAATTGGTGCTAAATCGTCGTCATTGTAGAGCAGAGAACCTGCCTTTTTGGAAGTGGCAGGGGATCCTACACATGCCCTTTCGGGGAATAAGTTCTCCTGGTCAGGATGAGGAACAAGTCGCTGCTCCGCATCCGCACCATTGTCCTCTCGGCCGGACCAAAATTTCTGCCGGAAAGAGGCAATGATCAACGGAAGGGACGTCGGCCTTCGCCGGTTCTTTGCATCTATCAGTAGTGCGGTTACTACGTCGAAGAAGGTCAGGGTGGCGAGCAGAATAAAGCACGGCTTACGGCGACGGGGACTCTGAGCGGACGAGGATGGGTGCAATCGTCGCTACATCCTTCTCGGATTGGCAGACCCGGTTAAAGGGTCATTAGAGTTGACTTACGACGGTATTAAACTTTCTTCTTCACTTTTAGACTCCTGAATTACCGTGAGAATGCTGACGTGAGATAATGAAAAGTCAAGAGGGTGATGAACATGGAGGTAGGGACTACTACCTCCCGGTTGATAACCAGAGAGTCGTACCTTCTTCCCATGACTCGAGGTAACGAAAACTCAGGGAGTAACAAGTCTCGGGGTGCTTAAAAGCTCGACGTAGCATCTGAACCTGACCTCCGAGTCGATCGATCCAAACGCAGACAAGGTTAGTGATCTAGAACCGGTCGTAGCCAAAACTTAGCAAACTTATCGGGCCCTTTTCTCCGAAGATACCCGCTTTCGGACAGTCGATCTAGCAATCGAAGAAGATACTGCGTAAAACGCAGGGAAGATAAGAGACCTCCCTCTCCTAGCATCCTGCTCCAACGTTAATTGACACTCCCTATCCGAAATGCTCATCGCATTCCCATCTATGTGAACTCGCTTATTCCAAAATGGGAAATAATTACTGCATGTATTGCGGACGGTAAGGACCGAGGGATGCTCGGTGTTCTCAGCCTGAGAAGGTTACAGAGAAAAAACGAGAACGGGGGAGGGGAGGGGCAAACCCATCAGACGCGGAGGCGTATCGCACGTGCAATACGGTCAAGGGACACACTCACGTGGGAACCCCGTGGATGGTTGTTGACGGTGGAGGCGGGGCCCTGTGGGGGTGACGACGCTGCGCATGTGCCGTGGCGGGCTTCGGGGGAGCCTGTGGAGCACCACCTTCTCCACGCAGGCGGCCCAGCTGCCGGCGGGGCCTTCGCGTTTTCCTCTCCGAGCTCCGCCACCAGCCGCCGTCGAAGACTCTTCTGCTCTCCTTCCTCAGCTCGCCAGCCGTCAACGTCACTATTATTTTCCACCACGAAGAGTGACATCACTTCGTGCACTACGCACGTTATTACAGAAGATCAACTTCTTGTCGGTTGATCTCTCCCTTTCCCGCCGTACCTCTCTCTCTCTCTATCTAGCTTCTCGACCAGGCCATTGATAGCGTGAATGGCCAAGGGCCATCTGGGACTTTCTACGGCCATTCATCTCCCTCTGTCGCGTCAGGCCATCCCACACTAGGGTATTTGTTTATCTCCAAGAACGCCGTCAATCGATGGCTTAAAACCTCACGCGAGTTGACGGCAGGCCCCACGAAAGGCTTAGCTTTCAGTAGTTGAGGGTTCTAATCATCCTATATACTCACAGTACCTGCATAATTGCGTATAATACGGCGATCTTCTCGACCCACCGATTATTTTACATGAAAATAGATCCCCCACTACCCATGCTCGCGCGTGATCTAAGGCGGGCGGTGTATGCGACATGAACTAGTTCAAAGGTCCACGCCTCGCGACGCCGTCTGGCAATGTCTGACGGAAGAGGGGTTGACCCATCCCAGATCACAGCTTAATCAGATCGTTCTTTCATACATGCTGTGATGCGTGGAATCGCGCGTGAGGATCAATGATTTCCAAGTAAAAATGGAATACCCGAATAATACAACAGTGCCCCCTTCTCCGAATTAGTTCCTTTAATACTCATTTTTCTACGAAAAAACTTATTTATCGCATGGTTTCTCCGACTTCCAATTGATATGATAGTTTATATATTTATAGATTATTTTCTTTAAGGCGTGGAGAAAATACTCCAAAAGTTGCAAATTATTTTTGCGTCGTTACGGAGTTGGGTCCCTGTTATTGATTCGACCCAGCAGTGCGAGCCCAAATATAACTGGGCCATGCCGTTATTGTGCCCATTAGCATTACAATGGCTGTTGGAGCGTGAGACGATGATATCAGTAGCCCGATGGTTTTATTAAAAACCAGACGTTCTCATGCCGTCTGAAGGGGGAAGATCTTCCTCCTTACAACAAAACAAGACAAAAAACACAGAAGAAAACGCCGTAGAAGGGACGGAGGCACTTCTACCAGGACAAGAGACGGAGGGCCGACAATTCCGGCGGCCGAGCTCTATTCCGAGACGGCGGGAGGGTTCACCTCGTGGAGCCCCCGGCCGGTGTTTGCCGGCTTGCACCCGTCGCGGCAGGCGTCGAAGCACTCCTTGTAGTTTGTATACTGGAGCTGCAGGCACTGCGGCATGCAGACTTGCATGCAGGTCTTCGCCTCCGCCGGGTCAAAGCTGACCGACGCCGCCACCAGAACCACGGTCAAGAGAGAGGCGGCGAATTTCGCGAGAGCCATATTTCTTGCTTCAGAAGGGGAGGAAGGGGGGGGGGGGGGGGGGGGGGGTCTCTTCTACTACTGTTGATGGACGGGTTGAATGAACCTCACCCACCACCGGTCGAGCTTATATAATCGGTCGGCAACGACCGGTCAACGCCTACAAATTGCCATCTTTAGCATCTGAGAGCTCCGAGAGCCTCTCGCTGCCATTAACAGCTTGAGTGCCTATTAGAAGGGGGAGGAAGCGGAACCCCTAATCGGCCGTTGACCGTTTAAAAGTCAGCACACAAGCTTAAATCGGCCCATGTATCCGGGGAGAGAATGTAGACCAATAAGGGAGCAGAAAGAAGTCTAAAATTGATGACGTGAAATGCCCAATAGAGTAGGGAGTAGGTTGTCCGCTCAAACAAACCGGATTAAATCTCCTATAATGGAACCGAAAATAAATGTAGTCACGGGTTCACATCTCAACTGGCAAAATCTTAAACTAGAAGAGGGTTGCTCCGATAGATACACCACCATCCATGGAGGGGCGTCTCACTGCTCCCCCGGCATGCTCTTAATGATGTCGGAGTCACCTGAGGAAACAACAAACGGTCTCATTGAGCACCGGCGTTTACACAGAAGTCAACCGTCAAAATGAGCAGATCTGATGGATATGGTGGTCCGTGGAGCTCACCTGGATCGATGATGCTCAGGCAGCAGACTCTGTAGTACTTGCCGCACGCCGTTCCCAGGTCAACGTTGTCTGTGAGAAGCCCACGCGTTGAAACAGTCAGCTGAATTACACGGAAGATCTTTTTCAAAGCATAACTACTAGCGCTTTCATTGGATTGTGGTCTCAATGAATAAGTCAAACACGAGGTTGTGTAACAAAAAACATAATTAAAATAGTAATGTTGCACATCCCTACGAAGCAGTTCCCTCCCCAAAATTTCATGAATACGTATAATAAAATGGGCCATGTCCTCCCTGTCCCCCGGTCTCCCATGAACTGATTCACAGGGTTCAGTCTAGAGCCCACATAACACAAAAAAATTCAAAGCACTGCCTAGGTTAGAGCATGAGCATGTTCTTATAAAATCCAGAACATTCCACTAAATCTGGTTTTCCGTACAAAATTTAACACTAAAACAGGTTACGAATCGATGAATACACATTCTGTATGTAAGTATTGAACCATGTAGACACAAAAGATAACTTATGGGATCTTACATGACGAGAATGTAAGTGTTAAATACGTCGCCATTGACCTAGTAGAACTTAATAAATGGAGCGACTGTGATAGAAATTGCATCTACACAGAAGCCAAAAACTTCAATTATTATGTTCCAAAGTTACTTCATGAATTTTTTTAACATGTGGGCATTGCAAAGAAAGGAATGATGTAAATACAACCAAGAAAATGAAGAAGAATGGCTATAATGAACATGTAACCAAAAGCCAAAAGCTTCAGAGGCAAAAAAAGACAAAACTTTTAATGGAATATCATCAGAATATAATATCATTTAGCATAGCAGCAATTCAAAACTCTAGCCAGAGGAATGCCTACTTACTTCCATTGAAATGATGAACTCCAACCTTCGCCAACATTGCGTAGTACTCAATCTCTGACTTCCGAAGGGGAGGGCAATTGTTTGCGATGATAATCAGCTTAGCTGCAGGAAATGGTCATCAATTAGCTCACAAACTTGAAAGAAGAATAATCTATACATACCTTCTAACCATATGGAACGAGATACATTAGCATGTTGGCGCCGTTCGCCGTTCATTAAACATCAGCTCGAAAGGAATTAATTAAAATGACAGTAAATGTGATGCTTATGATATCAGTAACAATTTGGAGAGAAAAAAACGACGATATCTTTTGTAACTTATGATTATCTGGTCGCTTATTAGTGTTTTAAACGGAAAAACCTGCTTAGGAAAGTTAAACGTATAATGAGGTATTTAAGGTACGCTCTCAAACACTTTCACACAAAGTACACTCTTCTGGAAATGTGAACTTAGGCATTAAGTTAGATAAAACTCATAATCGAACATTGAGAAGCAACAGACAATCGAATCATAATGTCTCACTCTCAGTGTTTCCCCGCGAAACTTTAGGAAAAAAATCGAGAGGAGAAAGAAATAGTGACTCTTTTCTAAGGAACTGGATTCATCTCTAGGACACGGTTCATCAGTTCAAAGAAACAAACTTCAGTCCCAAGTAATTGAGGAAACCTCACCTCATAAATCTTAAGTATTCAACAAATACAAGATAGAATAAATGTCTTTAAATCTAGAAAAACACCCAAATTGAATTAAATTGGATGGTGGTGTGCATTCGAAAAGATGCGGGGCTGCAAAATTATCGACGACATCGGTTATTCATCACGAGGCATTGGAACTGTACATCAATGAAATACAAATCGTATAGTTGGTCAACGTCGAACGTCTAGCAAAGACGAAAAATTTCTATTCATAAGCTCACGATGTGATCCCAAAAATCGACTAGCGACCATCCTTGAGTATCCATTCCCAGGAAAAGTAATGAAACATAAAAAGTACCTAAAAAAGAATACCGATTCCTAACAAGACAGGGCCACGCCAAAGGATTGTTGCGGAGTGATCAGACTGAAGACATATCGCTGGTGGAGAGAGTCGATAGGGATGGTAACAAGAACCCTTACCCTTGGAGCTCCGCAGCGTCCTCAGGACGGTCTTGTATCCAAGAGTGTACTTGCCACTCTTCATCACAAGAGCGAGCCGGTTGTTAATGCTCTCATGGGTCTTCTTCTGCTCAGAGAAGGAAGCAAACGTTGCGAATCAGAACGACATACGGGAGACCACTGGGAATAAATCTAGCGGAAAAGGAGTTTAGCGAAGGCATGCGCCAGGCGATAGATCCATTCATCTGGGAAGAGAAATCGAACCGTCTTCTTCGTCGAAACCATGGTGGCGGCGGTGGCGGTGGCGGTGGCGGTGGCGGTGGCAGTGGCGACGGCGGCGGCAAGGCCCTAGAGTTCAGCGGAAGGCGAAAACCCTAAGAGCGTGAGGAGTACTTCTTGCATCAGCCGAAGGGCAAAATAAAAGGGCAGCGAGGGACATCCAAGCCGTTCAGATGGATCGCAGGGTCATGATAAGAGTGTGAAACTTATCACAAAGCTCTCCTTCTTATATTAAATTATCATATTACCCTAAAAGATTGACTATTTATTATATCCACCGTAGAAGACACCTACTTCAAGCATCGTGCCTCTTGGGATATTAGTCTTTTTTTAGGTTTTTTTAATTAACGGGAGCTTGTAAAGAATTATTTTATTATTATCTATCTTGGAAAACATATCGGGCCTTCCCCTCACTTTATGACATTCGGCCCACAGTGGCCCAATGATGGCATTGCTAAGTGGGTGTTTACGGGGAGACAAGTCATCAAACTCTACCTACGCGTCCTGCCCAGCAGGGACCTTATTGCGAAGCCAAGGCCCAAAATAATTTGGCTCTGTTGAGCTCCAGACTTCTATGGCCCATTAACAACTAGGATTGTGACTTTAATCGCATAGGAGTGTGCATGGAGATAAATGGACCGTATGTGGTCCATAACCACATCGAACATGGGCCTCTTTAGCGCTTATTGGGCCATATTTGGATCTCTTTACAACGTAGTGGAGATGGGGCCCAAGCCAGATACAGATGGCCGATTTATAGTGAGACACGTGTGCTGGACTTTGCTGCCTCGCCCATGCTTGGGTCAGAAGAAAGGGAACCGTTGCGGTCCTCGACGGTATATATTTAGGAGAGGAGAGAGAAAATTAGACAGAGTGGCGTGAAGACTCCCAAGTCGAGAGGAGAGAGAGAGAGAGTGGGGAAGGGGGAGCTATGGAAAGATTGCAGAGAATTTTCTCCGGCGCCGGGGGGATGGGGCATCCCCCGTCCGACGCCCCACTGCTCGATTCCTCGGAGCAGGTCTACATATCGTCCCTCGCGCTGCTCAAGATGCTCAAACACGGTTGGTTCCGAAAACTAGGGTTTTACTTGGCGTCGTTTTTCTTTCTCTCTCACTTACTGTTTTCTATGTTGAATTGGGAAGCATCGACATTTAGTATCTGATTGCGGAATAACATCTGTGGGCAGGGAGGGCCGGGGTTCCCATGGAGGTGATGGGGCTGATGCTGGGAGAGTTCGTGGACGAATATACAGTGCGAGTTGTGGACGTGTTCGCGATGCCGCAGAGTGGGACTGGCGTCAGTGTTGAAGCCGTGGATCATGTCTTCCAGACCAACATGCTTGACATGCTCAAGCAAACTGGCAGGTGCTTTGTCCCCATGCTTTGTCCCTATACACTTACATCTGTGCGTTCCGGACACAACTCGATGGTCTGATTCTCTCCCGAGTTAAATTAATTGCCAGAAAATCCCTTATCCGGAGTGTTTACTTCTCTCTCTAAACCCTGCGGCTCAATGACTAATCGAATTAAGCCATCCGTGGTACAGATCTGATTAGTGGAAGGGAATTGAAGGGAGAGATTCAGTATCTTCCCAAATGTACATAGAGAACCCTCGCTAATTGGCCAAATAGTTATAGGTTTCTGACGACCTTTCTCCTCTCCCTTAAATTTATTAATGAGCTAGACTTGCATGTTTTATTTAGTTAACTAGAGGAATTGTATAACTTCACGAGAGGTTATCCCGAATCCAAATGTATATGCTTCGTGTTTCTCATTGTTCCATGATTTGATTCCTCTGAAATTATTGTTCCTCGACATTAACATGTATGTGCCACAAAAGCATTGCTCCTTCAAGATTTGCTTGATAGTTATTGAAGGTCTATATATTGTTTGTCAACTCAGAGAAGTGGGCGTGGAACGGAAAAAAGGAAAAAGAATTTTGCAAACAACTGTTCACACCCTTCACCGTGGTTCACACTATCTTATTGACTCAGATATTTCTTACGATGGAATATCTCTCATCTTTGCATCAATGTATTTTCATGTCCCCAGCTTTTGAACTGAGCGCAACTGAGCTTATTGTTTCATGTCTTTATTTCATTTTTTTGTTGATTATGATCACCGCTGAGGTGAGCCTGGTCTTTCCCGAGTTTTACAGGCTAGTGTCTCCAGTTAAAACCAGGGAAAAAAATGGAAAGTTTGGCGATGGTATTCTCAAGGAAAAATGGACAGTCTCAATGGTATCTGGCCTATGGCCAGAATTCATTTTCTTTCATGTAGTCGTCTGAGAATCTCCTGCCTAAAAGTCCCCTTTCTATCTCTCATCTGATTTCAATTGATGTGCTTATGGGCACCCTTTTCTCACACATTATTGTCGTTGGAGTAATAATGTGAGTGTTATTTACTTACATCCTTCAGCTGGGTTAGATCTCCTGGGAATCTCTTCAACATCTTACCCATTTTTCCAATTTTCTGGGTATGATAATGCGTAGAAGTGATAAGAAACGACTATATTTAAATTCTGCTCCTGAGCATAGGAAAAAATTTACACATTAAATGATTTAATTCGGAACCCGAATAACTGACTCAGCTGAGTCAGCAGAAAAGAATTGTTTCCATGTAAGCTGTGGATTTCGTTTTTCTTCTTGGTTATTGAACTTTTAAACGACAACTTTACATTTATTGGCCTTGTAAAATTTTGAATGGGTGGTAATGAAGATAATAAGTGATTTGGAATCTAATACGATGAGTCCTGTATTAGGGCTCTCTAGGATAGGGGATGATAACATCCTTTGAAGGAGAAATTTCAGTGGGGTGGAGTGATTCTCCTTCCAAAGAGATATGGCTACGATTACTGAGCGATATCTAAAAAGGGCATGAATAATGCATTCTGAAATGTGATGGACGGCCGCAATTTGGACCTGTGATTTGCCTCTTTGCTCCACATGTGTTGAAGCCTGGTGGTTCCTTGAGTACATCTTCTTGAGAAAATTGAGCTCTTTGTCATTGAACAGAAAGATGATTGCTGGGTAGATAGATGCATCCCTGGTTAGCAGCAGGTCTCCTGTAAAGCATCGGAACATGGCTGTGGAATGCTGCTGACGAATTGGGCCATCTTACTCCAAACCCATTCCCTTTCAATATGGATACTACACCTGTAGTAATCTCCAGATATAACGACCTTTTTCAACCTCGTACACATTGTTCACGTTGTATATGCTTAGAAGTTGGACTTATAAAACATATATTGAATCAGACTTTTGTGGTCAAAGGGGCTGAAACATGAGTTATTAGGTTTTTCCGAATGACATTTCATCCCAGTTTTTCCTTCAGAACATTTCTTCAGTTTGACAGAGGACATCAGTGGTGGAAAAACAGCTAGTTTTGGCGAAAGTTAGCATTGATATTATCGAAGCCTACATGAACATCTTCGTGAGTTCTACGCTTTGCTTCGCACGATTTTGAAAATTTGGTATTCAGAATTGGAGAAGGTCATTTCGAGTTTCTAGAGGGATTTTCCTGTGTTTCAGGTATGAGCTTAATGATACTTACCCTAGGAGCTCACTAAATAGCCCATAAAGGTTCCCTTCGAAGGAAACAGATAATGTTTTAATTTTTTTCGTACCTCGTCGATAATCAAAGTCATAGTCCTACATATATTATGGCAGAGGCGATCAAGTTCTGCTGACTGGTTTGCTGTTGTACCTTTATAATTATCAACGTTCTTCTCTAAATGACATTGGAACATGAAATTGATTTTATGTGTCCCTTGCAGATTTTTACGTTGCGATCTTCGGTCTGTGCGAGGATAGTCTTATGAAATCTTTAGAATAGTCAATACCGATTTCCTGTGACTGGACATGAAGAATGTCAAGGAAAATTGGCCTGTTCGACATGCTTGGCCGGGCCAGGCTTGGCCTTCAACAGGATCCGACACAGGAAACCATTCCAAGAGGCCACCTGCTCATGAGTCTGTTTTTTTAATATTTTTTTCGGGTCTATTCCTATATAAAGTGGTGGGTCCTAACCAGACCACTGACATTCACTTGGCCCCAACGAGGCTTGGCCCACTTAACCCCAGTATATTTACTAAATGATCGAATCAAGAAATATGAGACGAACTATCTTGCAATTCTCTCTGAAAACGTGAACGGATTAGTCAGTCGTGTTTCTATCTTTTGCCATCTCATTCTGTAATGTGTAGCTCTGGTGAGATTTGGTACGATATTTTTTCTTTATACAGTGGTCATGGAAATTTGAGTGATATAAATTTGGAGAGAAAATCACGAACACACTGCTGGAGTTTTTGATTTTTCTAACTTTCGTTTGCTGTGCCGCAGACCTGAGATGGTGGTGGGGTGGTACCACTCGCATCCGGGCTTTGGCTGCTGGCTTTCCGGGGTAGACATAAACACCCAGCAGGTTTCTGCCACTATCTCCTTGCATCATTTTGCAGCAATTATAATTCCTTTCATTCGCGGGGTTTCATCATCTTCCCATAATTAATGTGAATCAGCTCTGGTTTCATTTCCTCTTCCAGAAACCAACACGCATCCGTTGATTTGAGATGACAATGGATTCTGGTCTCATGTTTCCTTAATCTGGACACACACCACTCTCCTCTTCCCTTCCCCCATCTGCAGAGCTTCGAAGCCTTGAATCAGAGGGCCGTCGCAGTGGTGATCGATCCCATCCAGAGTGTCAAAGGGAAGGTGGTCATCGACGCCTTCCGCCTGATCAACCCCCAAACCATGATGCTCGGCCAGGAGCCCCGCCAGACCACCTCAAACCTCGGCCACCTCAACAAGCCCTCCATTCAGGTGACCCTTTCTTCCCCCTCTCTCTCTCTTTCTCTCTCTCTCTCTCTGTGATGGCAGTAGCTGATGGGGGGATCTGGCGCAGGCGCTCATCCACGGGCTGAACCGGCACTACTACTCCATTGCGATAAACTACAGGAAGAACGAGCTGGAGGAGAAGATGCTGCTGAACCTGCACAAGAAGAAGTGGACAGACGGGCTGACCCTGCAGCGGTTCGACGCCCATTCCAAGACCAACGAGCAAACGGTGCAGGTGGTGCTCGCCCTCGCCGCCGCCATAGCTTACCATTCCTTTTGGCACCGAAGATTTCCTTCTGAATGAATCTTCCCCTCGAAAATTGGGTGGAACAGGAGATGCTGAGCCTGGCCGTGAAGTACAACAAGGCCGTCCAGGAGGAGGACGAGCTCCCCCCGGAGAAGCTGGCCATCGCCAACGTGGGCAGGCAGGACGCGAAGAAGCACCTGGAGGAGCACGTCTCCAACCTCATGTCCTCCAACATCATCCAGACCCTGGGCACCATGCTGGACACCGTCATCTTCTAGAAGAACGAATATACAGGGGGAACTCGGGGATCCAACAGCTCGCAGCCGAGCCCACCTCTGGCTTCCTTCTTCCCCGTCTGAGCACTGACTGATGAACCTTCTCCATATTCTTTTCCATTTCTGGCAAACCTTTGAACCACCAAAACGGGTAGCTTTTAAGTTCTTTCCTACCCTACCCTTCCCTGACTGAAGGACTTATGGTCCATGGGAGTACTATGGTACCGCTCAGTGCGGCCCGGGCCCACCAATCTGGGTCCGAGTTCGGGCTTCCCCGGGACTAACTTGTGAGCTATATATACATATTTAGAGAGAGATATGATGGAAGAGAGAGAGAGAGAGAGAGGTTGGAAAGATAAGACGGGTTTTGAAGACTCATCCGATTTACCCCAAAATTTTTGGTGAAATTTGAATAAATAATGCCTAAAAAAACGCTCAAAATGTAGAAATTTAATGAATCGGGACGGTTTCTTGATTTGAATGTACCAAAAATATGCCGAAGAGTCTGTTATTAATAAGCCCGATTTTACAGATAGTTTCAGATATGCGTGAGGTCGTAGCTGTCGTCACGCCCTGCCACTTTCACTAGTTTTGACTCGGATAATTGACCATGAGGGAGGGAGGGAGAGAGAGAGAGAGAGGGTCTATCCTCCTGCCTGGGTATGTGCATGAACAACAACGAGGAAGAAGAAAAGAAAGAGAGATCCATCATCATTATTCGTCTCAGAGGAACTTCCACGGATGGCATCGGACCTCGGCGCACGCGGAGTCCCACTGCGTCCTGCACTCCCCTCCTTCCCCGTCGCAGCACCGGCACGTCAATCCCAGCGACGCCAGCACCTTCGCATAGTCTGCCAGCAAGGCGACCATCCCTCAGTCCCACCAAGACCCTTTTAGAGAGAGAGAGAGGGGAGAGAGAGAGAGAGCTTACTCCGATGGTCGAAGAAGCGGAGAGGCCGGGCGTCTACGCAGCCGGGAAGGTCACTCGAGGAGAAGGCCAGGAGCAGGAAGAGGACGAGGGAGAGTCTTCCGGAACCCATCGCTTCTCTCCCTCTCTCTCTCTCTTCCTCTCTGGTTCTTGAGGAGGAAACCCTCCAGACTCTAGCAGGAGGAAGAGGTCCGCGAGAGCCACTCCTCTCTCTCTCTCTCTCCTTCTGGAAGTCCGCCCAAGCCCGCGGTCATACAAAACCGGCTCCTGCGTATCGCCCTCGACTAGAAGGAAAGAGGGAAGACCTTCCGCCTGAGCCTTCCACCGTAGCCCAATCTGAGCCACAAGACGACAAACAGGAAGAAGGATTTTTCGAAAGTTCGCTCGCTTCAGAGTCGGCAAGCCCGCTTCGTCGTCTTAACGGGCCCCGTGTGCACTCATTGACCCATTATGTATCGGGCCCACGCCGCCTTGGCCTGATCTTGTACTCGTCGAAAGATAGCGGGCCTACCATCGGCATCAGGTGGGCCCAGCATTTATCGGGGTTTAATATTTATTGAGCCGAAGCGACCGGAACAGGTATTGGTTGGGTTGATCCCGTGGGCCATCCGGGCCGTTTCAACTCACGTGGGGTTGATTGGGTATCGATTGGGTTGATCTCGTGGGAGCCCATTGTCCAGCCCATTAGCGGATGCGGTCAACGCGAATATGATAGGCGCATCTGTCCAATACAAGCAAAGCAAATGCTGATGGCATCTCTGACCGTTTCTCTGTCTCTCTCTAACCATAGGGGGCGACACGAAGATCAGATCGCCAGCGCTGCCCCAGCGCACCGCATGTTTCAGACTCTTCAGAGCGTTCAGCGAATACATGCTCATCGTCGTGATCGTAGCTTCCCGGGGAATGCGCTATGCCTCACTGGTTTGCGGTCAGCTCCGGGGAATAGACAAAAACCATACGCCAAAACCTTACGACTGGCCCTAGGCGAAGGACGAAGCATGGGAGAAGATTTGAGGGGAATGAATGCATGCCATGGACGTGATGCGGCGCCATCCATTCTCATTCGATGCCTAGAAGGTCTGAAGACCTGGTTAAATATCGACGAAACTCGCCAGCTTATCGGTGTTTGTCCAGAAGAAAAGGAGCCATGACAGAACGCCGTTTATTTAATGACAGAAGCGGTCGTCGTCGTCATGGCCGCATCAGGGCTTGAAGTCGGGGTCCTTGACGATGGTCACGGGGCAAGATGCGTGGGACATAACGTAGCTGGTGACGCTCCCCAGCAGGATCCTGCGGTTAGCGGAAGATTTCCGATACTGTTCAGCCAGTCCTGTTCATCCATTGAGACGTATGCATCGAGTTGGATGTGGAGTAGAGATACCTTCGGAGCGTGCTGAGACCCCTGCTTCCCATTACGAGCGAGTCCAGCTTCAGATCCTCGACGGCGGAGCAGATTTTCTCACGAGCATCGCCCCAGTACAGTTTCGTCACGATTTTCGCCTGGCCGGATTCCACCAGCCGTAAGTGAAAAAATAAATGGTCCACATTAAGACGAACGGAATCAGAGACGAGGAATCCTCATCCATTCGGTGCTCAGCTTCCGCGCGTCCCTTACTTCGAAGGGAAGCAACGGCGGAAGGATATGCGTATATAATAAGCAGGAACGCAGAACAAAGAGGAAAGCGCTGCGGAAGGCACAGATGCGTGTGGAACTCCAGATAACCTGTTTCTGCCTGGCGGCTGTGTCGAGCGCGTCGAGAACGTCGATGTCCGGCTTCAGGCCGTAGCGCTTTAGCACCTCGGGCTCCCGGAACTCGACCAACGGGATCAGAGCTGCGGCCGCGCGTAGAACAAACATCCCATAAGCAGACGCTAGGATCGCACGGCAAAGAGGCGATAACGATCGGAGAAGACAAGAAGAGCTCACGGGATCCCGATGACGACCAGAGCTGGTTCCCAGTCTCGTTTCCCCCCTCCGGCAGGACGTGGAGAAGAATCAGCGTCTCGTCTTTGTCGAGCAGGTTCTCGATCGTCCAGTCCAGCGCGTTCTTGCTGCTCTTGGAGTAGTCGATCGCCACTCCGATCTTCCTGTCGCCCCTCATCTCTTCCCTTCTCTGTCTCCTCTCCAGCCAACTCCGCTTCGTCTCTACGCCACTCCGATCTTCCGAGGTGCTCCGAGCTATAAAAAGCACCAGAGCCAGCCCAGTGGGCATTAACGGATTCCGTCACGGAACCGTAAGTACCTTCCTGGCGCCGTTAGTGAATCTCGTGAGAAACATGTCCCCAAAAGGACACTGACCGGAGCTCTCCGAGGAGCCGGGGACATATATGCATTGACTTATTTTAAAAACGCGTAAATTACCTAATTTGTGAAAGATATCTCTCATTTAATTTTCAATGCTCACAGCGCAGCATGACGCAATAGAGGGAAAATAATTGGTGGGTATAATTACGATAAAACCGATGATTGCCAAAGATCTGACGTGGACTCAAATCGACGAAAAGGCTGGGGGCATCCCACCCAATAACCTTAGCGGGCCGGCTCAGGTGGGCTGAACAGTCGTTGGCCCAAATTGGTTCTGGTCCATCATCGGTTGACTCTTAGAAAAGCCCACTATCTGTTGACAGGGCCCAACGGAAAGTTTGGGTTCTGCTGTCGCATACTGCCGCCGAATAGTGACGAAGCTCGTGATTTGGGTTTCATCGGAGGCATTCATTCAACTGTGATGAAGGGAAAATTTGCCGTTTTTTATTGGTTGGGATTTGTAGTTATTTGGAGTATTCAACTGTGGATTGCCCTCTCGGTTGGGAATGCTTCCCGGTGACAGTCCCCCAATCTCCGGCTGTGGCTGGGCTTCTCCCACTGCCCGGCGTGGAGGGGCCATGCCGGCGACTGTTCCCGCCACCACGTACGGCGGCGGAGAAATTGTATTTTTATTCGTCGGGGACGCAGGCGCACGGCGGCGCTGGGCCCCGCCGACAGCGACGCCGAAAGTTCCACCGCCCTCAGCGCGGGCATGTGACGCCTGAATGCCACGGAAGACGGAAGCCCCGCTGCCCCCATCGAGTCCCGTCGCCCATGCGAGGGAAGGAGCTGCTGTGGGTAGCGGGTGGGTGGCCGCCGTTACTTCCCTGGGGGGCAACTGCAACGCCAACCCACCAAAGGGAGGGAGAGCAAATTAGGGCAGAACATGTCGCCGCCGTTGGATAAGATCCTAATCCATACACACAGAAAGAAGAAGAAGAAGAAGAAGAACTAGCCCATTGGGTCCTGGGCCGCCGCAGCATCGAGGAAGACGCGGGCGAGAGCTGGGGCCGCAATGGCAACGTGAAACGCACCGAAATCGTCGGTACAGGCGGGGAGAAAAACATGAGTCGCCGGAAAGGGGACAGAAGGCTTCGGAGGACGACCCGATTCGCCGCCGGAGAAGAGGAGCAGTCACGAGGAAGAAGCCTGAAGCACGACGGGCCCCATGTGGGCGGCGGGCGAGCTCCCCCACCTTATCGCAGAAGAAGACGGGAGAGGCGAACCCAGGTATGCTCGCCGCCAGGGAGCAGGGGTTTTCCTCTCTCGTAGACCTCTCGAGGAGACGACAACACGAGAACGCTCCTATTGGGCCCCACTCAACTGGGCCCACCTATTTCGGCCCGAAGGCATCTCACTGTCGTGAGAGAGGAGAGAAGAGAGAGAGTCGTGAGGCTGACGCAGGAGAGCAGGTTTGAGAAGGCACCACAGCGGATCACGGGGAAGAGTCCACGTGGGACAGCTGTACCGTGTTCGGACGGGTCGCCTGATCGAGCCCCTTGATCAGGGACGGACGGCTGATCATGATGTACCAGCCTGGCCCACAAGTGGGAACCGGGAACCTAAAAAATTAAAAACTCAGGTATCGGATCCGGTTGTCAGGCCCCGGGACCCGCCGCATGCCAGAGGTGGAGGGCTGTAAGTGGATCCGTAAATAGACAGACAGCTGTTGCTCACCGAGTTTGCAGAAAAGGGCGGGCGGTTTAAATTTTCGAGCCTAGCCAGCGGCTTCGGAGACTGGACTCGCCAGTATATTACCCAATAGACCCCTGTACGGGGCCCGCATCCCCAGGAAACCCTCCCTCCGCTGCCGCCTTCCCCCCGTCCCCTGGCGGCGATTCCCGACCGTGGGTGGCTCGGGCGGCGCCACCGAGCCCTCCGGGTTCGAATTTTGAAAAGGCCAGGTGGGCTCGGCCGTGCCGCTGCCGCCGTTTGTCCTCCCGGTGGCGGGAGATTCGAAGGGAGGGAGGAACAGTGAGCTACTGCCCCGGCGGCAGCAGCCTCTCTCTAGACCGGGGGGGGGCCAACTGTAACGGTCGTCACGGCCGTGGGAAACCTTGAAAATATGTCGAACGGGACGGAGCCACAGAGGGGAGCCAGCAGAAGAGCACAAAGGTCCCATACCTTCGTCCTCCTCCCTCCTTCCTCCTCCCTCACTCCGTTTGTTCTCTTCCTCTTCCTCGTCGCATGCGCCTACCTAACATTCCACACCGTCTCTGTACCGGTTTGTTTTTACACGGGGGGGCGTTTTTGCACTCGCATCCTTACAATCCCGAAAGTTTCGTTTCCATCCGTGTTTCTGGCCGCATCAACAATTCAGTGGTCTTGCAGGGGTTAAAACTTAGAATCCCGACTCCAGATTTCTCTGTTTGATTCTCTTCCCCTGTTCCGTTAGAGAGGCCCGTCCTCTTCAAACCTCTTTCCCGGTGAATCCCCTCGAAATCGAGCGGCAAAACTCCGTCCTTCCCTCCGCTGCCGCCGCTGCCGCTAGTTCTCCGCCGATTTTCTTACCGCCGTGCTGTCCTTTTCGGCAGGAAGATGGGAAATGGCATCCGCACCCCCAAAGTGGCTGGGTTTCCCCCCCTCTTTCCTCCCTCCTCCTGCCTTTACGCCGCCATTAAACAAGCTTCTGCCCTGTTTCTCCCTCCTCGCATGGCGGTGGGGGCGACGGCAGCCTGGGCTCTTAGTGAAACCGAATTTGATAACTCGTTGACGTCCGCTGTCTCTCCGCCGTCTCTCAGGGCTGCGGCGGCGGCTGCTGGTCTGTCTGCTCACCTCCCACCTGTGATTGTGATGTCTCCCCACTACGTGGAATCCGCGGAGCAGCGACGTCACCGCCGGGAGGAGATTCAGATTCCCCCCGCCCCCCCCTTCCCTCAACGGTACAGTGAGCCGCGCATGGGATCTACTTATCGTGAGACCTGGTAGAGTACGCAAGATCGAAGGGAGATGGCAATAAATCCCGTCGTTTTTACCCGCATCCGGGGTTCATCGCACCGGAGCGGTTGTTGGTTTTGACTGAGAACTGTTTCCCGAATGAGCTGGCTACCCCTGGGGGCTTACACATAGAAACTAGGTCCCACAAGGATCACCGCCGCAGCCACGGTGGAGTTGGCAGGCGGGAACTAGGGTTAGGGTTTCCCGGGTGGTTCCCTCTTTTCGAAAAGTCGCCGTGAAGATAACTTAATTTATATAGATTTTATTTTCCGATGATAGAAAAACGGTGAGAGATATTGCCAACATTAGAAACATTATTATCTAAAGTTTTCGGTCGAGTTTGAGAGAATAAAAGGAGGAGTGTGCTGAGTCAGATGGGATTTGCATTGAATTTTTATATTTGAGGTCCTTAAAAATAATAATTTAAAATTAATAGGGGTTTAATGAATAACAATTATACTTATGAAACTGTATATTAAAATTCCAGCCGTCTCCCGTCCGATAAAAACCACAGCTTGGGGCGTGCGTGCCACTACAGCTTGCTCTGCCCGGACATTCCGCTTGTCTGCTCTCTCACTCGCCGCCTCTTTCTCTCTCTCTCTCTCTACCCCTTCGATTGTAGAGCTCACTCTCTCACTAGAACCCCCCTTCTTCTTCCGGCACTTATTAGGTCGCCCTAGAGCCACCGGGGGGGCACAGAAAATCTCTACATCCCGAGCAGTCTTCTGATTCTGTTGCTGCCTGCTGGCGTGCTCTGTCCCTGGTCGCTTTTTCTTCTCGCTGGCCGGGACCCTCGGAGCTCGGAAATCTCGTAGACCACGACTGGGCTATTATTATTTCTTCTCAGAACAGCAAAGCCCCCACCTCCGTCCTTCCCCGCCGCGCGGTCCCGCTTCCAGGGACCCCAGTCCCCTTCCCTTTGCTCCACTGGGATCGTCATCCTCATCCGACCTGGGGGGCTATTTCCGCTCCTGCACTTCCAAAACGAGGCAATCCCCTCAGACGGCAAGCTTGCTCACTCGTTCGAGGGCCCGGCGCGCATGGGGGAGGAGATGACCAACGCTGAGTTTCGGCTTCCGTCAGAGTTCCTGGCCGATGATTTCTTCTTGGAGAAGAAGAATGGCGGCGGGGGTGGTGAGGTCAAGGGCGGTGGCGGGGGATGCCGCTTCCCCACCGAGTTCCCCTACGAGTGGGAGTACGGGTCGAACCTGAGTTCGCCGGTGGAGTCGGTAACCGGGACGGAGAGCAGCGACGAGGAGGACTACATGGCAGGGTTGACCCGTCAGATGGCGCACTATTTCCTCCAGGACGAGGAGAAAGGGCCTACATATGCTCTCCCCGGCGGCTACGCGAAGGTATTCGACGACGAATCGAACTTCATGCTGGTCCGTCTCTTCCCCGGAGGCCGGTGGCGTGATTTTGAACCCTTCCCCTTTATGTCTTCGCTGCAGGTAACGCCGCCGGTGGGTTCTCCCCAGTCCACCCTGTGCGCATTTGGGGGTATGAACGGGTCGAGCAGGGAAAGTTCGAACGGTCCCTCTCTGGTGTCGTCTCCGCCCTCCTCTCCGCTGGAGCAGTACAAGGATGATGCGTGGGATCTTCTATACGCAGCGGCTGGGCAGGTTATGAGGATGAGGCTGAACGACGAGTGCGACCAGCAGCATACTGGCCGAGGCCTTTTGGGACAACCAGTCCGGAAGCCTTCTCCGCCGTTACCTGTGTGCCATCCCAAGAATGTGGCCACGGGCTACTCTAATGCGCCGCTGAATCAGAACCAGCTTCGTGCTCAGCAGGTACGCCGTTTAATTAGCCGCAAGCTTCAGAATCGCGTGGGGCTATAACTTGTTTACGGTTTCTGGATGTAGTTTCAGCAATTAAAGCAGGAGCAGTTCATGAAGCAGCAAGGTGCCGCGGTCTGGAATCGCCAAAGCAGGCCAAAGGGTGCCGGTCCGAGGGGAGGGATACCGAGTAGCAGGCCCGCGCGACAGCAGGGCTTGTCGCCGGCAGCTTGGCCGCCTATCCAGCAGCAGCCTCGGTCTGGTATGAGGGCCGTCTTCCTTGGGGTGTCCTCGAGGAGGGAGTCATGTGGCACGGGAGTGTTTTTGCCTCGTCGGGTTGACAGCCCTACGGACTTTCGGAAGAAACCAGGTAAGACTCTGTTCTTGGTGCCACCATCCACAGTATTCTTCTTGACGAAGCTTTCTTTCGCTCGTTTTGACGATGCCGACATCTCTTAGATCTCCTGTTTTTACCGAAACTTACCCCATTTCAGCATGCTCGACTGTGCTGCTTCCGGCGAGAGTCGTGCAGGCCTTGAATCTTGACCTGGAGGAGCTTAGTGCCCAACCTCGCTTCTCGGGCGGATTTGTTCTCGACCACGGTAGGGTTTCTTCTCCTTCCGCCCTTCTTTTCCGGTCCAAGGTGTTTTCTTCTTTTTAGTTTTTGAGGGAATCGCTAGGAACCCTAGGCTGACTCGATGATCCCTTTGTCAGGCTCCGTCGTTGCCCGGGGCAACGCGATGTTGCTGCAGAGGCAGAGCTACCGCCCCCAGCCGGCGCCAGCTAACCCGCACCACCTCCACCATCACCACTACCCCGAGATCCGCCTTCCCTCGGAGTGGACCTACTAACCTCACCTCCCGTCATTAACCTAATCTAAGCAAAGTTTTTTGCCCCGCAGCAGTAAGATAAGCGTCGCAGTAGCAGAAGCGCCAGCGAGACCAAGATGGTAGATGGTGCTGTAGGTTGTCTTAGGTAGGATGATTCTTAAAAGGCATGCATTTTGATTTGTGGAAGGATGTTTTTGGGGGCCGTCCGTCGACGGCGGGGGTAGGGTTTGGGAAGGGAAGGATGATAAGTAAAGGGTATGTAAAATAATAAAGATCCTGGTTTTTTGGGTTCGGTTCTCTGGTTTTGGGGGGCGGGGAAGAAGAGGGGTCGGTGCTTTTTGAATAAGCCTGTCCAACCGACCTTGTACCCGATATTCATGTGAATGCTATTGGCAGCCGCCCTCCTCTTTTGTTCTGTACCCTTCTACTTGCCCCCCTTCATCTATCTATCCATCTAAGCTGGTGGTGGTGGTGGGCACGCCTTTGCTTTTGCCTGGGTTGGGGGTGACTTTGATTATCCGCCTTTTACATTTCTCGGGCGCAGTGGAGACGCATCGGTTGCCGCACACGGTCAAACTGCGATGCCCCTTTCACCTGCTGCCCGGGGAGGAGCAGTGGAGGCCGATACCCGGCAATATGATAAGCTCGGCGGCGATGGCCGGGTCGCACGGCGTAGAGCGCGCGGCGTGCTGCGGCACCGGCGGTGACGCATTAAATAAGCGTAGTCCGGCGAGCCGGCGCCGCAGGGCGCCCCCACCCATGTGCCGGAGATGTTCACCCCCCGGCGGGCGAATCTGGCTCCCCTTCGCTTCCTCTTCCAAGCCCTATCTCCTTTCAGCTGTTAAGGCTGAGCGCGCCCCTCCCCCTCGCAGTCTCGGGGCTTTATTCCTTCTTCTTCCTGACGGCCACCGCCTGGTCCTCACGCAGGGGGCCTCCCCATCTCCTTTCGGTGGGTCTGAGGCTCCACGCCGGGCATTTATTACAGACTGCTGGTCGTTGACCGAGGCGCGGGGAATTCTCGGTGGAACTGATGATTTGAGATTTCCTTCCCTCCCGTGGATCACGGACAGTCTCGGTGCAGAGCAGGACGCAGACGCCACAGTTGTTTGTCGAACTTCCCAAGTGAGCATGTTCTTTCAAAAACTGGGCTCGCCTGTTGGTATATAATATGGGCTTTTAGTGGGCCTTTGTTTGTTGAGCAGCGCAGTTGTCCAATTCTCCCCAGGAAGCCCAGATAAGGCCCATTTAAGGATGGTCGAAAATGGGCTCCATAATTGATACGGCCAAGTAGTGGTCCGTACGGGTGGAGTCGTTAGAAGGACGACTGCGCTTCCGCCAGGACCGCATCTGACGAGACGGTAAAACTGATTCAACGGTTACGATCGTGCGGAGACAGTGGACTAATCTCCAGGGGAACCCGGGGATCAGGAGGTATAAATATGCAGTGTTCGCATTGGGATCGACGAAGAAGTTGTTTCCCACTCTCTCCCGACACTCCGGAAATTCGCAAGGTTGTTCTTGTCTCGGTGGGAAGTAGGCTGGCTGATTGGTAAGGTTTTGTTTTCCGTATCTTCTTCTTCATCTGATCGTCGGTTCTGCTCGGCTGGGGGTCGAATCAGGCGGCGTCTCAGGCGATTTCGGTGGCGCAGGAGGTGGAGGGATGGCTGCCGGAGACGATTCGGTTAAGGATTTCGCTCCGAAGGGGAAGAAATCATCTTCCAAAGACGACCAGAGGTCGGTCCCTTTTTTTAACCTATTTCGGTCTCCGTTCGGTAACGAGGAAGGCATTATTTAGACGAACAACACGACTGAGAAATCGCAGAGCTGATTGTGGGATTCGAATTGACCTATGCCGTGACAATGCCGGGTGAAAGTTACTGAGAATATGGACGTTGATGTGAGCTTTTAGTGAAACTAATGTGAAGGAGAATCAGTAATTTTATATTTCTCGGGGAATTCTGAGATTTTTAATTCTCTTTTTCTTTACGCGTCGATTCCTCGGCAACTCTTACAAGATTGGTCGTTTATTATATCTGCCATATATTTCCCTAAATGAATGATATGATTGGATTGATGGCATCCGACGTATTCCTTCTGAGCTCCCTGGGATATTTCTTCTCAGGAGAAAAAATATGCCACCCGGAAGTCTGATGAAAGCAGTCATAAGGTCGGGAGTGGACTCAACAAAACCGGCTGAAGGAGATCAGGTTTGCGTTGGTCATCCCTCACATATCTTTTTTAAGTCTGAAATGTTTATGCCATGATTGAACTTTGTGACTTATTAAATCATGGAAATCAATGCGTCTTTGTCTTTTTGAGGACATATACAATCCACGTAGAAAACACGAATATTTGTTTTTTTTTTTTTACTAACGATGTCTGATTTTCAGTCGGGAGAAATTCCATGGTATACTAACCGAGGTCTATTTTAGTTTCTCTTCATTAAATTGTAGCTATAGCGTCATTTGCTCATGATTTATTAGTACAGGACGATCTTTCACAAAAATGTCATCCACCCTTATTAGTGTCTACAGTGAAAGTTGTACTTTCTGTTTAGCTGGTAACGTCTCTTGGGTCACATAGAGCTGAATCCTTTGATCCATCACTAAATGAAACCACTTTTTTTTCCTGAAGTACCTGAAATAAATGTGTGCATCTACTGGAAAGAGTCTTGCGTACATTTTTTCTTAACTAGCTGTCCAGAATTATTTTTAATATTATCTTTTTTCTTAGGAAATATTAGAGCCAGGAACCGAATGTAAAGTTTCAGTCGTCAGTATTTGTTATGGTGACTCTCTGAACATAACTTATTTTATCCAGGGCTCACTGGTCTAAGGTTATGATTTGCATTACTATTTTTGTGAAGAGCCCGAACTTCTAAGCTGCTTTATTGACTTAAGCCTCGATGATTTGCTCTGTTTGTTTTTTATCAACTTCTAACTTCGTAAGGATACTCGTCGTGTTTTGCAGACCATTAGCTAAAACGTGACCATAGGTTGCTTTTCATGTCTGGATGCCTCTCCTTATACCTCGCATGCTCATTTTATGGTAATTGAACTTTTTTCTTCAAACTTCCGATAACATCTCTAATTTGAGTTGACAACTTTCAGGTAATAGTTCATTGCACAGTTAGGACAGTTGATGGGGTGATTGTCGAATCTAGTCGAGCAGAGAATGGAGGTAAGTATAATTCATATATATCCTGTTTAGTTTTATATTTGAATGGATTTATCTCGTCAATGTACTCCTGAAAGAGGCATCTCAATGGCATGGGTTTTATACATGGATCGAATTATTTTGAATTTATACCAGATCAAAATCAGTCGATCTCCTTAAGACTCATGTAAAAGAAAATACGGTTTTCTGTTTTCATCACAAAAACAATACAAACTGTCAGCTTATAAATGAAGGATCTGTTGCTAGTGTTACAGCTTAGAGAAGAGCCAGCTTAGAGATCATGCATGAAGAATTGTGGCGGTTGCTTTCTGCCAGCAATGTTGTTTGACATCCGGAAAGAAAGGAATAGGAAGCTTAGAGAAAGATTTCGGAAAATCTCTGACATTACAGAGAAAGAAATACTATTTATACAAGGGTGGTATGGGGTCCTCAGGTTGTGAGCGCAGCCGACAGATGGTCTTAAAATATGACACACTTTGATAGGCTAAAAGGACGCAGTGGTCTAGTATTTTCCCGGCGGTGATCATGAGTAACTTGATGCTTTAGACTGGATTGGTCTCGGGACTTTTTTGGCCGGGAACCCTTGGCCTTTCGAGATAGTGCTATCCCAGCGGTGCTGCTTGTGTTTATGTTGTTGTTCGCTCGCCTCTGTTCGAAACCATTCTCTTCAATATAATAGATTGCGTCTTCTCTTATGTTAGTTGAATAAGATTTCCATTTTGTGGCTTCTTAAATATTCTTGCTCTCATTCTCAGGCAAAGGGATTCCCATTAGATATGTTCTGGGGAAGAGCAATATGTTGATTGGCTTGGTGGAAGGCATACCAACAATGCAGCGTGGTGAAGTAGCAATGGTATTTTATGGAAACTTTTCTGGTAATTCAGAGTCCTTGCTTTTAGGTACAAACATAGAAATTTCTTGAGTAAAATGGCCACTGCATCTGGCATCGTTTGCTTGAAAACTATAAAAATCTATGTTTCCTTATGAAAGTACTTGTCGTTGGGGTAGATGCTACTTAAAAACTGTGATTGAATTGTTACAGCTTCTTAGTAGTTTGTTTAGCCTTTAAGCATCACCTTGCTATTTCAAACGAGAGTAACTGTGAAACCTTCATGGATATATTCTTATTTGGATGATTACTTGCATCATTATCGCCTTTAGTTCCTTACTTGTATTGTTTTATGTAATAAAACAACGTTAATCTCTTAATATGCATACAAAAATTCTCAGTTCTTGTCTAAGATTCAAGTTTTCATTTTTTTTCATTTTAAAGTTTCTGGAAGAATGAACTGGTTTTCCTTATCCAAAGATATTTTTTCTCACACAGTTCAAATTGAAGTCTGAAGTACACTATGGTGAGGCTGACTGTCCAGTAACAGCTCCAGACGGTTTCCCAAAACAGGATGAACTTCAGTTCGAAATCGAACTGCTAGATTTCTTTAAAGCAAGGGTAACTGATATCCATTTGTTGAACTTCACCGTGCAGACTCTCTCCTCCATTGTCTAAATAGTTATAACTATTTTTTCCTTTCCTGCTTTGTGTCACCGTTGAACTGTGTCTCTGGTTTGGTCTTGGATATGTTTTGCTATCTGGTGAATTATGATATTTTCTTTCACATGCCTTTTCTTGATAATGTATGAAGGCTTAATGCTCTGCATTCGAAATATTGAAGAGATTGGATCCCGCCCCCAAAAAGAGAGGGAGACCCATAGCCCATGAAAGAGAGCTTATCTTGCGCTCGACATTTTCTTCCATTTTGCAATCTATAAAAGTTCTCTTCCCATGGATGAACCTTCTAACACAGTATAATATCATGCTGATTCAAGGATAGTTATAGCTGCGAAATCACCAAGGTTATGAATTAATGTGGACTTTTGAAAATCCCTGGCACAATAGACAAAGTGTGATGATAAAAAATACGGAGTTCTTCTACTTACACATTTACGTCTAGAGAGAAATTTTCAGGTTATCCTATAAATTTTCTGCCGACTCAAATTTAATTATACTCGTAAATGTATGCCACAGTATGATAACAGGAATTTAGTCGTTGTCAATTTTGGAATGCGTTTATTTGCTTACTCTCTGTCTCTCTCTGTCTCTCTCTCTCTCTAATGGTCCAAGGAAGAGTAAATCATCTATAATGTATTGATGCATCCTAAGAATGTTCAATATTGAGGTGCATTGTTCTCTCTCGGTTAATGGCTTTCAAGACTGACGTGGAAAGATTTGCTTAATGTCTCCCTCCCCGGGGCATGCACGGTGAAGGCTGACTTCAATGTCTCATAACTTTAATAAGGGTTGACTTCAAAGTCAGCATTTTGAGGTGGGTCTATTTTACTTGGACCGAGGGTTCTCCAGACAATAAAGTGTAAGGCTTCATTAATAACTGGGGCATAAATTATCACCTACCTCTTGATTGTACCCTCGGTAGAATCACCTTTTGGTCGTATTAATATTTAGTCCACCATCAAAATAAAAAGTCTTGGAGCTTTCTGATGTACATTATCTGTGCCACTGTAATCCTTAACTAGATCAGATAAACGTTCATCTTTTGTAGTTGCGCTATCAATGTTGGTGCTGCCTGACAGATCCTCTATATAAATTGTCTTGATTATCTCTAAATCTATTTACAATCATTAACCTTTGTATTTTTTCATCCTTTCTTGATTCTTCGGCGACAATAAATTGTAAAAACTAATTCAATTATTTTTTACTCCATTTTTTCAGGTAATTAATGATGATTTAGGGATCGTGAAGAAGGTATTGATGACTAGTATGTGCTGTTTTCGTTTTTCGTCCTTTCAGAATGCATGGTTCTCTAGGATTTGGAAGATAAACACCCAATAACTTGGGTATTCATAGCTCTCAATTGAATATTCTGAAAAAACTTGAAAATGAGGTATTTGGTTCAGTATCTTCGTAGCTTTGCTCGTTATGAGCTGATAATGTTGGCCGAGTATGCATGTACATCAAGATTCAGCTTCTCATGTATGAAACCAAAATCTAGTCTCATTTTGATACCATTTTATTAGAAGCAGGTTAAAGTTGCATTTTCTTTTTCAGGTCAAATAGGTTAGGGGCTTTGCATGTTATGGTACACCCTCGAGTTAGTCATAGTGGAGAGCCTGTTATCTTAATAGATACAAATGTTAAATGGCGTTCGACCGTGTATGTTTCGGAATGAGAGTAGGTTTGAGCTCTTACAGTCTATGCTTTGTCAAAATATTTTAAATGGCATGATTTTTTATTTATCACTTCAGATAACGGATGAAGGGCAAGGATGGGAAACGCCAAGGGATCTTTATGAAGTGAAATCATGGTGAATATTTGCTATCTTTCTTCTAACAATTGCATTTTTTTCTTGATGTAAATTATGTACTATGCTTTCCTTTCTACCACTTTTTCTTCTATTCCTTCCCTTTACGCGTGTTTCTCACATTAAGTATCTGGGAACTGTAGTTTGCTGGCGTGCAACTGTTATGCATCTCTGTATTGTTGCATAGTCTGTGTTTTAATTACAATGCGATGATGACGGAGGACCAATGTTCGACCTAATTGGAGACCAAGTTTCAGAGCCGGGCTACATCTACAGACTTCAGATCACAAGGTCTCGGCCTATTGTGACATGTGTACTAAGGTGCATAACTGTTGGGTTGATGGGGCAGGTTAAAAAAAAAACCTTGAACTGGGAGTTCGGATAGGGGAAAATCAATACTACATAGCGGCCCCTTATGCCTGATCACAGGAGAGTTGTCCTGTGGGAACCACATGCAAACTCTGCTTATTGAGTCAGGTTCAACTGAATGTAGGGCTTTCTATGATCTGATTATATTCAAATGAAAACAAACCTTATCAAGTGACGTGGAATGGAGATCTAGAGGCTTCTGATCAACCATTAAATATCCATGTCAGTAGCCAATTTCCCGAGGCTTCTCTTTTTGACTTCTGGAATTGGTTTAATATTGACTGAAATGTTATTAAATTTTTTGCACGTGCATCCTTTAAACCACAAATAATGGCTGCTGACTGTTCCTGGTTTTTAATCATTTCATAAGCTTTTGAACAGATAAACGGTAAAGCGTCTCACTAGTCTTATATATGGCAGGTTCCAGCCTACAGTATTCACTGAGTTCACTTGGTCTATCTGAAGTTTTCTCTATGAAATTACAATTTTAAGTGAATAGTTTGTATGGCAAATGCTTTTTACAGTATCTAAACTGTGATGCTTCCATTGACTTTGGTGCACCATTCTGCCGAACCATTCGAAAGTTCCTGTTAGAAATTATGGTACCTCCTTTAATATGCATCACACATTAGAAAGCTTGATCACTCTGTAATGTAACTTATTTTTTCTGTTGGCCAATCTTTCTCAAAATTTTCTCCCATATAAATTACCGTCTACCGTTGAGTTATGCCTCGAAATCAGAAAATAATTACAATGTGAAGTTGAAGGTGGAGTAGTTGGTGCAGGAGCATTCAGTAAATTCAACCACGTGTTTCTTATAAGAGTGTCGTGAGATGTGTATTCAAGAGCAATCATTCCTTAAACAGATTTACATGGTTTTCTTTCCAGGATCACTGCAAAGTCAGGCGATGGACGGGTGATTCTATCACGCACGAAAGAACCTCTTTTCTTCATATTTGGAAAAGCTCAAGTAGGCGAAGTTACTTTTCTTTATCTCCTTTCCTTTGTAGGTTTGCAAATCTTCGTGTCTATTAAGCATCTCATAGATATGTGACAACAATTTACATTATAGGGATAATAGACTTGAAACAAATGAGCCAGTTGAACCATCAAAGATAATGGTTGTGAATGTGAAGTGTCTTGAGTAACTTGTCGGCGTTTCGTCATCATTCGAGTTAACTTTCTTCAGTCCATAACTTTTTTGCCTTACTCCATACCTTTGTTGGTTGTGACCTGTGAGAAATACGCGTAATGAAATACCAATGTCGATTTAGTGCCAAGCTAATGACTTTCAGTTATTCATGCTGCATTCTATTCTTTCTAAATGTTGTTTACTACTGTTTATATCATAGGTGCCTAAGGGACTTGAGATGGGAATGGGCACAATGACAAGGGGTGAGAAAGCAATAATATATGTCAACCGTCCTTATCTGTCTCAGTCTACTTTAATTCCGTCTATTGAAGATTATGATGAAGTTCAGTTTGAAGTAGAGTTAATCCATTTTATTCAGGTAACTCATATCCTTCATTATGCTACATGTTATCCATGATATAATTCTACTGTGCATTATTAGAAGAATGTTTCTCTGTGGTGATTAATTTGTTTATAATTAGCTTCTGACAAGATCATTTCCCACACTTTTTTAGGTAGGGTGGTGATTAATTTGTTTATAATTAGCTTCTGACAAGATCATTTCCCACACTTTTTTAGGTAAGGGACATGCTTGGTGACGGCCGTCTGATCAAGCGTCGCATCGTTGATGGACGAGGTATTATATTGGACCATTTGATTGTTAAGTTCAATTTTTTTTCATCAGTTTTTCGGGTTCATTGTTTCTCTTATCCTCCATTAGGATAAGGTGAAGCTACGACAGTATGACCAACATAGGATATTTTGTATGTCTCTGCCGTTGGGTTCTAGGATCATAATTTATAGATTAAGTTTTCGAGTTGAAGGGAAACTTCATCTTTGTTGAAAATCCGGAATGAAGCTTTTCTGTTATCATACCCCTGTATCCTGCTATTTTCTTCTAGATGCTCTTTTAGTTTGGTGAGCAGATGATGGTGTTGTAACTTGATTTCCGTTGTTATTTTCATCACATTATGTTTTTTTGGGATTTAATTTTTCAGATTACGTGATAAAATTAGTTTAGATATATAAGGTTGACAATTAATCAGCACCTAATGGAGTGCTTATATTTCCCATTATACACGTCAGGAAACCTTCTGTAAACCCTTGCTATACTATCATATTATTATATTCCCTCTGCTAGTTCCTGTCTTGCTGGGACAATTCTCAGGTAAGTGCCACAAATTTCCGGTTTCCACGATGAAGATACATCGATTTTTAGTCATTCTGGTTTCTTAATTCCCAGAACTGGTGGTGCTCAGTGTTTCAACCTGTCAATATTTTGGTATCAGGTTTTGGCTCCTATTGATAAGAACTATTTTTTCTGTCCATACTATCTCTGGAATTGAGCAACAACCTAAGAGAATCCTATCTGGTTCTTTATGTGCTACTATTCTAATTGAAATAGTCTCTAAGATATAACTGCTTCTTTAGCCATCTGTAGTCTAGGTTTTTTATTCGTTTTCTTTTATCCTCAAATCACGAGTAAGATAGTCACTGCATTTATAGAAACTTACTACAAGGAATCTTATTTTGACCCGAACGTTGGGCACCTAATCTCTAATTGCGACCTCTTTCCCGTAATTTTCAGTTGGTTGATTTCTGCAGTATTTTTTTTACGCTTCCTAAGATGACTCTTTTTGTTCTTGGGAGACAACAGGTGAATTTCCAATGGATTGCCCGATTCATGATAGTTTACTACGAGTTCATTATAAGGGCATGCTACATAATGATGAGAAGACTGTTTTCTATGACACGAGAATCGATAATGATGGTCAGCCACTGGAATTCAGTTCTGGAGAAGGACTTGTGAGTTTTGACGTTTCTTAGCTCTTTTATTGTTCGCCATGCTGATAAATTACGCCTTCTCAATTACCGGAGTTTGGATACAGAATCATGAACGTGAAATGTCTCTATGTGACTGATTGACTATCGGCTGATGTTATTGATGTTAACTGTTTTTTTTTTTCAAAATAATTAGGTTCCTGAGGGACTGGAGATGTGTGTCCGTCTGATGCTGCCTGGAGAGATAGCCCTTGTCACCTGCCCTCCGGACTATGCCTATGACAAATTTGCAAGGCCTGTTTTTAGGTTAAGTCATTCAGCTGCCCTTTCAGAACAGTCTTGCCATAAGTATTATTATGGTTTTGCAGGCCTTCCTCCGTTCCAAGGGGTGCTTATGTTCAGTGGGAAATCGAGCTACTGGGTTTTGAGATGCCAAAGGTAATTAATAATATAATTTGGTGCAAAAAATAAAAAACTAAGACCTCTGCCCTTCGGTTATACTTGTTTTGAGTTGACTCTCAATGTCATGTATAATTGAAATTCTTACAGGATTGGACGGGCTTAACCTTTCAAAATATCATGGACGAGGCAGAAAAAATAAAAAACACGGTATGTCTTTAATTCAGGAACTTTGTAGCGATATTTCCATTACAATTGATAGACCTCTGAAAGTTAGGGTTGGGATCTCCGTCGAGGAGGGTCATCGGAGCCCCGCTTCCTGTTACAACAAATGCTGCTAGTGGCGGACCTATCTGTTTGCCAATACAAGAAGGGGATCTCATTCACCCCTAATGGGAGGGTTGCCTATCCTGTATTTCTATTAATTTCGTTTTTTTCACGATTTAAGTCGGTAATTAGCTCGCCAAAACTTTATTTGGACTCAAAATTTAAGAAGTACTAGTTTTCCGGTAGTTAAAGCCCAGGTAATCCTTTGTTCTTTGACCGACTGTTGAAAAGCAGCTACCGGACTAGTGTAGGCATCCATGTATTGATTTTATATGCGATATAGCTAACGCAAGTGAATTCTTATATTCCAGGGCAATAGGCTTTTCAAAGAAGGGAAGTTTGACCTTGCGAAGGCAAAATATGAGAAGGCATGTGATATTTCGCCTCCTACGCTATTTCAGAATTGATCCATATCTGGTCCTCATTCTTTCCTCTGATTTGTAGTTCTGTGCTGTCCACCTGCTACCTTGATGAATGCTCTTCTGTTAAACTCTATAAACTGCATCCGTAGAGGCTTTTTCTCTTTGAGAGTGTGTTTGGGTGGGGGGCGTCTCCCGATGTTACTGCGTGGAATTTAATTTCGGTATCACCCATTTGTCCTTCCATGTGTATATATGGTCATCCTCAATGATGGATTTTTCTAGGGTATCCGAGTTTGTATGATAATATATCTGTGTGTATTATCACTTTCTTCGCGACAGTTTAGAGCCTGAGACTTCTGAGCTATTGAATGCTGATTTCACTGAAGAAGAAGAAATACTGCTCTCTTCGTTGTTGTTGCCCACGGATAACAGCCGTTCTCTTTGGAAATCGACCATCTCATAGAATTAATGACCTTTGCACTGATTAGTACCTTTGACTCTATGCTTTCATGCGAAATTTTTCCGCCGCAGGTTCTTCGAGAGTATAACCATGTCAACCCACAAGATGATGAGGAGGGAAAGATCTTCTTAAATTCCAGAGTGAGTCTCTCTGCATCGTATATTGCGGATCGCGACTCTGCATCTTGCATTCATTACATCTTGACACCACTTGCATTCTTCGTCTGTCGGGCTAATTACTTTGCTCCACCTCCGCAATCTGCTTACACACCGGCCGGCGCAGGAATCGCAGAACTCGTCAGAGAGCAACTGATTCTGCTTGGTCTTTTTTATTGTTACAGAATTCTCTCCAATTAAATGTGGCAGCTTGTTACCAGAAAATGGGAGAGCACAGGAAATCAATCGATGCATGTAACAAGGTATCAGGATCTGAAATATTCGATATTTTTTTTCAAGGGGTGCGAGATTTCTGAAGAGTCATATCCCGTTCCTAATGAGATCGTGGGTAGGTATTGGAAGGGAGCCCGGCCCACGCCAAGGCTTTGTACCGCCGCGGCACGGCCTACATGTTAGCAGGAGACTTCGAAGAAGCAAGGAGCGATTTTAAAAGGGTAAGTCTGATTTATACGAGCCCCACCTTCTGATGCAGGAAGTCAACGCCAAGATGATCATCATTCTCTCTGCCTCCGTCTCTTAGATGATGACCGTCGACAAATCTTCCGAACCCGATGCCACAGCTGCCCTCCTGAAGCTGAAGCAGAAGGAGCAGGTGAATCCCTCCCATGGCGCATCGTCTCTCTTTTCCTTTGCACAGCCTGTTCACCCTACGAAGCCATGGAACGCAGGAAGCGGAGAAGAAGGCCAAGAGGCAATTCAAGGGGCTTTTCGACAAGAAGCCGGGGGAAATCTCCGAAGTCGGGAAGGACTCTACTACAGACGACTCCCCCGCGGAATCAGGAAACCTAGACGCCGACGTGGGCGGCGCCGCCGTGGACGAGGGCAGCTACGGCGAGGGAGGTGACCCCTCCGCTGACAGGCCAGGGCTGCTGTCCCGTTTCTGGCCCTCGGGTCGAAGATTCTTCTCGGGCGTTGGGCTCGCCAAGTGCTCCATCCTGTAAGGCAGGCTGGCGCCGCCGTGCACCAGGTGATCGATTGGTGGTGACAGGTAGCGAGGTAGCAACGCTAATGGTCAACTCTCTCGATCCATGCAGAGACATCACCACCGGTGCGTTGATGTTACAAAAAGAAGAAGAAGAAAGAGCGTTCTTTTCTCTTCCATTATTTAAAAACCTTACTAAAAGAACCCAGCTGGACACACGAAGCCCTTCTAGAGCTTGTCCTCAGAGAAGGCGGCGCCCCGGCCAAAGGCGCCGCTGGCGGAGAGGAGGAAGCCCAGGGCGTGCCCCGCGACGGCCGCCGCGAGGACGCCCACGTTGAAGGACATGACCGCGAGCATCACCACGTAGGCGAGCCCTACACGGATGGCGTGGACGGCGGTCCGGGCGAGCCCGCCGGAGAGCCGGGCGGCGCCGCCGCCGCGGTGGCCGACGGACGCGAAGCGACGGGCGGCGTAGGAGAGGAACTCGACGGCGGCGGCGAGGGCGAAGACGAGGCAGAGGGCGAGAAGGTAGGTGCCGACGCCCTCGCGGCTGCCAGGCCAGCCGGAGAAGAGGATCTGCACGTCCTTCCCCCAGAAGAAGGTCATGTGCATCCCCCCCATGCCCATGCGGTGTGCCCCTCCTGCCGTCGACGGCGCCGGCGGGGCAACCTCTCCCATCATACCACCTTCCATCGTCCCTCCGTGGTGGTGCCCTTCCCCTGCCATCGCCCAATGCTGCGCGAACCAAGATATGGCGCCGCACGGGAGTCCGGCTACGAGAGAGAGGGATAATGATTTACGACCACTGAAAGCGGACTGGGTTCTCTCTACTAGTGCGGCGAGGGCAGCGCGGCCCACCAACCGAGGAGGGGGATGCAGGGGGCCATTCATTAAGGAGAAGACGTTCTCTGGCATTTGACGGACAGAGGGTCCGTCGGCGTTCATCACGGGCCGTGGGGGAGAGATGGAAGAAGCAGGCAACCTGCCGAGCCTCCCGGGGTTAGGCTAAGGTTTTAGAACACGATCCGTTTGGTCCCCGGGCAAGTCGGATCCAAAGGGCTCGGTCCACGTGAAGAGCGTGGGGCCAGTGATAAGTCTAGTCGGTGAAAAGATAAAAAGGCAGGGTTTTTATTCCTTTCTCCGATGCCGTATCTACGCGTATTCAAGAAAATCCGTCAGAGTAAAAGGTCTGTCTTCCTCTCTCCATGCAGGAGGAGAAGGGTGGGTCCGTGGAAGATGAACGTGAGGCCAGGTAGAGAACAAGAGCAAAATCCCCTGAATCTGCCTAAGGAGCCGCGGTCTGCATTGGGCCTGGATTCTGATCCAGAGATACCTAAACAGGAGCCTAGTCCCCAGACTCTGCCAAATAGATGGGTTTTATTGGGGTGGAGAGGGAGGAGTAGATTAGGGTCGTCATCCGTACGAAGACGACCGACGGAAGACAGAAGAGGGTCAACTTGAGGCGGGAAGAATCAGGAGGTATCCTCCGGATGGAATCGACTGCGCGGGATTTCCCAACGAGGATTCTTGGACGAGGTTCTTTTGCCGGACAATCTCTTCAAAAGATCTGCTTTCACAGCCTTGCTTCGGGAGTGCGGCTGGTCTCTTCCTCAAAAGGATAGGCCATTTTTCATAACGTAGACGTAGTCGTACGAGCCGTGTCGACGCCCGTATTGACGTCTTAATCGTTGTTTTGAACGGAGGTGTTCTTGGTATGGCCAGCATACGTGATTCTCCTATGTTCCTATAATCGTCCAGTTCTACGGGGGCATTCGTAATATCTCTCTCTCTCGCTCTCTGCCTGCCGGGATAAAAGGAGCCTTAGTCGTAGTTATGGTGCCATAGTTTCAAAGATCACATGATTCTATGTGCCCATGGCCGATTGACATGAATTGGCTTGAATAATTCGTAATATCTATCCTTCCGACTGGCTCCATTTAGATCGGATAGCTGTCATAGAAGGAAACGGCCCGAATTCTCATGATCTGACCTTTTATGCGCTCCGGCGTCCCTACGCGTTCTCATCAGACTTGAAATGCCCGTTAGAAAAGCGGTCGAAGCCCAGAGTTTACTTTCCTTCCTATAGTGGACACATCTTCCATGGGGGTGCCAGAGCTTCACGTAGAGGCACGTTGACCGGCGAGAGATAAGTGCAGAGAGTGGAAGAACGTTGTTCTCCAAGAGAGAGAGAGAGAGAGAGAGAGAGAGTGAGGGATGCAAATGAGTAAGTTTTATTTACTTGAAATGGCGCACACAGACATAGGTGGACACAGTCACACACGAAAGTGAAGGGACGACTTTCATGCTTCTCACCCGTCTTCTCCAACCGCCCTGGTCGAATGAAGCGAATAGAGAATCCGGAGTCGAATGAGGAGCAGCCACCTTCAACACTTCGTGGAGGAGACCTCACCCGGCCGCCTGGCCCAGAAGACAAGGCTCTGGAACAGCAAGAAGCCGGCGGCGCTGCCCCCGATGGCCACCATCAGCACCCCGACGTTGTACGACATCAACGCCAGCATGACCAGGTAGGCGAGCCCCGTCTGGAGCGCATGGACTGCCGTCCGGAAGAAGCCGCCTAGCAAGGGACTGCGCCGCCCGAGTTCGGTGAGCCGGCGGCATGAGAGCATCTGGATGAGAAAGGTCAGAAAGAAGACGAAGACCAAGGCCACCGCGTACATGCCCCCCCTTGCGCCCGGCCATCCCCGGAACAGGACCTCCGTCCTCCTCCCCCAGAAGAAGGTCATGTGAAGGTACCGCGTCTCCATGGCGACGAGCTCGTTTCCGCTGTCCTTCTGGGCGGATTGGCGTCCCGCTATAAATTCTACGCCGGGGGCTCGTTCGTTCGTACAGCAACGGGACGACCACCGGTACTGCTGTACTGCAAGAACTAGGAGGAACAGTGGGAACTTCTTAATGACAGGTGTCCTCTGGTCTCTGGGCTCCGAGTTTATTGGTGTACTTGAGACCTGGATGAAGACGTAGAGAATGACGTCACCGATCAAGTTTTACCTCATCTTCTCTCCGATTACTGAGCGTTGGCGTGCAATGAATAACGTTCTGAACATATTTCTCTCTAAAAAAGTCAACTCCACGTTATCTATTTGATCTCAGCTAAGCCATGAGAGTGATGTGGAAGAGAACGAACCCATTTGATAAATAAAAAATATCTGGAATAAAAAGTGTGACGTAGGAAGAACTTATCCACAGGAAGAAAAAACTTGGTCAACCGATGGCCCAAGATCGGCGTGAAATCTGTGATGTTTCATGTACACTTTATTCTTAATTTTAAGAGGTTATTGTAATTAAGTCGTTTGAAATATAAGAGTATCAATGGAGTGCGTAAATTTTTACATTGCCCGAGGACTATTTTTTTTCGATATTGGGACTCAAAATTAATTATGAAAACTGCTTAATCAAACCTGCTAAAAAATCTAGACTATCTATGTAGACTTAGGAAGAGCGACTAATCAATAATTACTCAAGTATTAAAAATATGTAAACCAATAAGTATAATGATGATTACCTCATATTGAGAGGTTGATGGTTAGTATACATAACAAACATATTTTATAACGGTAAAAAAAAGGAAAGAAAATCACTAGGTGTTTGATCACTGAAGATCTCATAATAAAGAATATCTCAGCTTGGTGGTATTTACGTTTCATGGAATTTGACTAATTTCTTTGAATACATATTTCCCTACAAAACACTTTTTCTGTTGTTTTCTCTCTGGAGGAAGGATTGTTAATGTCAAATATATCTGGTTTTGATTCATTCTTCCCACAGAGAAAAAAAACCGGTCATTGGCTGCATATATGTGTGAACAATTGTCTGAACCCATTTTCAAGCCTAGGCTAGAGCAATGGCTCCAGTTTATCATAAGTTCTAAACTATTTATCTCATTTTTTTATGAATTGAATGGGTCAGCTATTTTTAGTGTCGCATGTAGTCCTCCAAAAACCAATAAATCGTTATACTTTTTTTCATTAATTATCTAGTGATTGTAAAATCTCTAAGGATCGCCATTTACTCATCTTATCAAGCTGTCTTAGGATAGTCCTAATTTGTTAATATAATGATCACACTCAATTAAATTTGACGGAATTACTTATTACTCGAATTATAGGGTACAATAACTTTTATCATACTATTTACATCAATCACTGTTTTTCCCCTTTACTCACGGTGTTTATATTCCCGTCATAAGATTCGACCAAGAGTCAACCTGCACGTGAGTTAATATACGTAATTTAATTTCATGTTAATTTTAACATTAAAATAATAATAAATTTTAATGAGGATATCTCCACTCGGTTTATATTTAGTTGGATAATCTCCCAAAAACCAGATGAATGATATTCGCATGTGCGGGGGCTTGTACCTCCGCGTGCGGTGTTCATTCCACGAGGTTCCCTCCTCCCTGGTCGCTCCGGCCGAGTCTGCCGGCGGAGTCCCGGTGGGGCCGATGGTCGCTGTTGGCCAGCCACCCAAAACCTCATGCAGCTGCTCTCTACCGGCCGCAGCCAAGCCTCCGAAGCTGACGAGGACGAGGGATCTATTCTTTCCAGATGCCGGAGAAAAGAATGGGACAACATGTTCGTCAGGCTTGAACACTCGGGGAGGGATCCAGCGGCGTAAAGGACAACTCAGTGGCGAGGAGACTCCAGGGACCTTTGGTTCGACTGCTCCGCCGGGTCACCGAGGCCCAGCGATGGCGTGGAGGATTTTCGGCGTTCTTGGTCCTCTGCACCGAGAACGTAACTGCTTTGATGATTTCCGGGGTCTGCGTAGGGAGTGTTTACCGTCTCGAGGTTTCCTACTGCTGGTGGATGGCAAAGGAGGCCCGGAATCTGCCGATCATAGGGCCTAAGATGATGAACGGAAGATCCAGCAACTCCTCGGACGATGCCGCGGAGAAGGCCTTGGTTAGATGGGCGATGGGACTGGTGGCGTCCTCCTCTCCGTCTTTCTCTGCCCGTCTGGAGAGGATGAGATGCTTGAGCGTTGGCGCGCTGGGCCATTCTCCTTCTCTCGATGTTCCAGGCTGGGAGACAGTTGGAGATGTGGCGACCTGGTGGAGAAGGCTCTCCTCCGCGTCGCCGGAGCGACGGAGGTGATCTCAGCCACGGTCGGTGTTCCACCGACTTGAGGGCAGCATGGCGCATCATCGGATTGTGGAAGGGGAGGTGACACAGTCTGAATGGTGGAAGACCAAGATTTTGCGCACTTTACGCAGCCGAAGTTACAGAAGTAATAGATTTGCGCCTAGAATATGAAACTTCGGAGCTTAGAAATCACTGTTTGAATCCACAAGACCTAGAATCCCCAAATTATTGAATTTATAAGGACTGAGTGTTGGTGATCTTTGAGTCTACAAAGGTGGAACTGTGGCCCATTCAATTCACAAAGAGAAAAGCTTGAATCAACAAATAGAGAGAGAAAATTCGCACTATTGTAGATACTTTTAGGATTACAATGGAGTGGCTTTTAAATAGGTTGAACATTAATCAGGGCATCCCGAAAAATCAGAGCATTATGAAAAAAAAAACCCTAATAAATGTGTTACTTACTAAAATTGACTCTAACTCGTACCTTACCTTGCTCACACAAATTTAAACAACCCAACAAACAAGTTAGTTGGTAAAAAGTGACCCTAACTCATTATTCATCGTACTTTATTTATGTCTTATATAGTTTTGAGCCCCATTTAGGTCTTGGCATCTTCACACCCCATTTATAGAGTTGATGGCCCTTTTTCTTTGGGATTTTTTATTGCTATGCACGTTGTGCTACATTAGGAGACATCGAGCACCTCCAAAAGCTTGACTCCTCATAGAACTTCTTCTCCCTAGTCCAGAAGTTTGTGGAGAAATATTTTAAAAATAAGGAAATTAAAATTACCTTATTTTAGAAAGAGTTATTCCCGAGATAGCCCCCTACGAACAACTCTACAAAGGAATAAGCCCCTCATCATCTCACTTGGGCACTAGGTTTGGTAAATACGTTTTTGCTGTGGTAATGCAGGTATTAGTTAAGACAATTAATAATTTAGTACATTACAATACACTTTTTATTTAATATATATGATCTAAATAAAATGTCCGATTTTTTATTTAAATAAAATATTTATTTTAATTATTTGTACTATTTAGTACAGTAAGTAATAAGGCGAGTATTAGTGTCTTCTGAAAATAGCAAACAGAGTCTGCCAAATAAAATCAAAAAGTTTCGAAGAATATTCTTCCGCTAAACCGAGGGAGGGACTGCACGCTAATAAATAGTTCAGCCTACTTGGACATTGAACGTACAGAAAAAAGATAACGTACTGTCGATAAATTAGTATGGTTTTTGGGGTATTAAACTATATAAGCTTTAATATATTTTAATGCAACGATGCCTTATCTCAGCCTCACCCGAACTGTGGCCTAGGAGTGATGATTTCTGCGAGAGGCCATCCTCCAGATTTGCTTTCTCCCCTCGGCAAGGAGGGAAGAGCCATACAGAGAGCTGTTGGTCTCCCTCCGCGAGCCGTGGCCGGTGACGTGCACCATCGTGGACGCGTCTCTGGGGTCTGCTGCGGAAGTTGGGCAAGAGATGGGGATTCCGGTTCAGTGCCGAGTGCTGGCTACAGAGACATGGCATCATCGACCCAGAGCACACAACCCGCTACAGAGGTCTCATCTTCAACACCGGGGAGCCCATCGACGCCGCTGTGCTGGCCCACATCCGGTCCAGCTGCCCTGTCACCTATACAGTCAGGCCGCTCGACACTATCCTCTGCGCACTGGATCGTCCCACCGGGAGCGCCGCCTGCCCTCTGTCGTCCTCTTCCCTTAGGTGTGTGCGAGCAGACGCCCGGTCCCCCAAATCCGTCGTCTACGTCAACTTTGGCAGCCTGACTGTGCTGAGCAGGCCCCAGCACCTAGAGTTCTGGCACAGCCTGGCGAACAGCGGCCGCAGATTCCTCTCTCATCCGCCCCCACTCGGTGGAGGAGACGAACGAGGCCGACGACATCCCGGCTGAGTTAGCGGAGGCGACCAAGGAGAAGGGGTGCCTCGTGGGATGGGTGGACCAGCGGGAGGTGCTGGGCCATCCGGCGGTGGGGGCCTTCCTCACGTACAGCGGCTGGAACTCCACGCTCGAGGCCATCTCCGCCGGTGTGCCGATGATCTGCTGGCCCTTCTTCTTCGACCTGATGGTCAACAGCAGGTTCATCAGCGAGGTTTGGAGGATCGGGGTGGACATGAAGGACACCTGCGACAGAGCCACCGTGGGGAGGATGGTGAAGCAGACGATGGAAGGGGAAAGGGCCGAAACCATGAGGAAGAACGTCACCGGACTGTCAGAGATGGTGCGGAAGTGCGCGGATGAAGGTGGTTCCTCCCGTATCCACCTGGACCAGTTGATTGAGGATATTCGGGCCATGAGTCTGGAAACGTCCCCCAGCAGGCACCGCATGAGTCGCGATAAGTAGTGCCGTCCGTGATCTATGTTTGGGGAACATCAATATCTATTTGTTATATTTTCTTCATTATATACTCTATCTTCTTTTGCTTGTATGCGGAAGCGGAGTAGTTTTTGACCCTGGTTTATATAAAGGTCAATGATAACGAAGATGAGACTCTAATTCAATTAGTATACAATGGGGAAGAACGATAGACAGTGAATTGAATTCATTAGAAATTATTTCTAGGTTGTGATTTTCTATTTGGTTACCATTACGTAGATTTGTAACACTGTAAATAAATACTTCATACTTATATA